CTTAACACACCACAAAAAATAATAAAACGTCGGTTCGTGTCAACAGACACTTCCTTAACCAAACAACGGTAATGAACACTTCAACTTCTGTGAAAAAGAACAAAAACCATTTATTAAAATTCCTGTAAATTTGCGTAATACTGTAAACGAAACAATAAAACCGATAAAAGTAGGTTACCAATAAATTCATAAATTATTAATGGAGAATGATAGAAATATGTTTCTTTTGATTTTATAGCAAAATGCACTTCGTATAAGTACAAGGTGATCGTTAAATTTAACTTGACTTTTCCTTACTCAATTTTAAGACAGTAAGTTCATATAGGTAAACGTAGATCCAAAACGGATTTATTTTCAAAATACAATGTTGAATATATAAATATATAGAAGACGAAACATAAGATATTAAGTCAACTTTTTACGTTTTTGCGTATTAAAATTTAATTCTTATTTATATTCTTTAAAACATGATAGAGACTAAGAGACAGTGTTGCCAGTCTAGTACAATTGTAGGAGATCTAGTACATTCTTTAAAAATCTGGTACTCTAGTATACTCGAAGCAAAATCAAGTACTTTTTTTTCAGCGTATGTTTCCATTTGACGTGTAAAATATATTGTTGGGGTCTTCCTTGTTTGTTGTTTTCGTGTCATCTATAAACTTTTATTTTGCTTTTTAATGACCACACTTCACAATTCGAAAAATATGGTACATTTTATAGAATTAGTACATTTTTATGAAATCTGGTACATATTTTAGACAAATCTGGTACATTACAAAAATATATTCTGGCAACACTGCTAAGATATCATCAAGTTAAATTGAAAAAAGAAAACTATAGGACTAATATAGACAATATTTTTTTAACGAACATATTCTTTGAAGAATGGAACAGCTTTTCCAACGATGTTAGAGACTCTACATCGATAAACTTTAAAAATAGATTGAACAATTAATAATTTTCAATTCATATTAATTCACTTTTGTTTACAAATCATTGTAAATTGTTAGGCTATATGGAACGTAGTTATTAGACTATAATTGTGTTTAATAATACTAATAAATAATAGAGAAATCTGGATGCGTTAACAATTGCGGGTTCGAGCCCCGCTCGGAGCAGAATTTTTTCATTTTTCAAATTTTTTTTGGATTGTTAACGTACCAAGATTTCTCTAGCATTTATTTCGACATTTTAAACCGACAAAACTTTCATAATAAATAATAACCTCCGAAATCTCTATAATACGTCCATGGACAACAATTTTAGTAGATGAACCGCTGTAGAATACCTACGTTGATTCTTAGTCGAAATAAGTCTGGAATATTCGCAAACGTCACATAGCTAAGATTTGGCGTTTAAAGTCAGTTTTAGTTAAGATATATAAATTAGTGTTGTATTTAAGTAGAAATAAATTGAATTATAATGTTATAAAACAAATTAATGTCTAATTTCTTTCTACGTTTATATACCTACATCTTTTGCTACTCAACTATTATTTTGACTGGTACTGTTTATTGTATTTAGTATAATATTTTATATTAATCTCTATTAGTATCAGCTGTCACTAAAGCATGATTTATTATTATTTTCCCTGTCTATATAAGAACTTTTATTGTATCAATTCATATACGAAGGGGAAATAAATTCCACTGTTATTGTTTGTGCTTAACATCTGTTATATGAGGTGTTTTTTAGATGTAAATAACACACAAAATAATACCTACGAGGGTAATGCAGTAAAGTTCATACTAATTATGCAGATTTTTAGAAAATCCATAAATTTCTTCCGAATAAGTATGTCAGAATTTTTAAAACAAGTTGGGGGATATTTCTTTATTTTTTATATTGGTTTACCCGAGAAATTAAAAAAAATGGACAAGTGCAAGTAGGGGGAAAGAAAGGGCCATTGGACATACTAGCTAGGACTATAAATATTAAACGAGTGAAATGGGGAATTATACTGTAGGTAAATTTTTTATTGCATGACTTTAAAGCAATTTTAAAACGCTATAAAATCAAAGATAATTTCAAATTTTTTTAATTTCGTGTAGGGGGCCAATCCTTTTTTGACCTTGACCCTTTTTGACCCAATAGTAACTGTACGGATGTGATTGTATCAGATTCTATTTTGGAACTAGAGTATTTTGTAATTTTTTTCGAATACAGTAACCTACTCTACTGAGATGTTACTCTAAACACAATAAATATCCTTTTAATTTGGTACCAATCGTTACTGTATGGTGGTGCCTTCCACTAACATATCCTAACCTCAAATACATTTTGCAAACATGTAATATTCATGATACTATAAAAAGAACGTATGAGATATTATGCCGATTGATACTACGTCACGGTGACGTATTGTGGCGTGGAGGCGTAGATTTTACGAATTTGAAGTATCTGCTGATAGAAAATAAATTTTAATCTACGCATGGCCAATCAGATATTCCACACCATAATACGTCATGCGCGAATAACGGGTGTGTGCACAAATCCCAACAGTCAGTACTAGGGTTGGCAGGTACAGGTTTTTTGTACCTAACTTTTTAGGATTTTTAAAAACCTAAAAGTTATAATTCCGCAATTTTAGGGTTTTTGTTTTTTTAAGGGTAAACATTAAGGATTTAGAGTTTTATTAATCAACTCTCAGAAGAAAGGGTGTAAAAACTAGTGTAAGATTAATGTAAAATTAATGTAAAATTAATGTAAAATTAGTGTAAAATTAGTGTAAAATTAGTGTAAAATTAGTGTAAAATTAGTGTAAAATTAGTGTAAAATTAGTGTAAAATTAGTGCAAAATTATACCTACCACTGTAATTTCTTTATATTGATATTAATGATAGTGACAATTAAAAAAAACCATTTATTTATTTTTCACATTTTGTGAGAGTAAAATTTTACAAGAAATCCTTCGTTTGGCAGAAACAAAAATAATTTTTTTTGTTTGCAGATTGTTATTTTTTTAATATATTATATAAAACTCTATTTTTCAAGTTTTGCTGGTATATTTTGTTTAATTTTATCAATAATAACTTTTGACATATCTACATAAACTAAAAACCTTAAAAAACCTATAAAACCACAAAAAACCTACTTATATATTTTTTAATTCTTAGGTACTTTCCAACCCTGGTCATTACTATATAACTTTAACTGACCCCTAGCCTAGACATTGTTGTTTACATGTGAGCAGCTGTCATTTTGAAAGCTGCCAAAAATTTTGAAAAGTAAAATTTGACAATAAATCCCTCGTTTGGCAGAAACAAAATAGTATATTATGCAACGATCATGTAATGATGGTTATTAATACACGAGCATTAACCGGGATACGAAACGAGCCAAATGCGAGTTTCGTATGGTTTATGCGAGTGTTTTAATAACCATTACATGAGAGTTGCATACGCTATTTTTTCTACACCCGATAAATAATCAAGACCTATAAATATTCTATTTATATTGGCATTGAACACAATAACAGTAATTACTCGTATTTCTATAAAAAATTCTACAAAATTGTAATTAATGGTATTACCTTGGGTATTGGTATTACCACAGATTTTTGGGGCAAAATATTTTGTACTGCATTTTCTCCTTTCTCCGATATGTGTGGAGGAGTCTTCTATATCGCTGATATCAGACATTTTAATATTATAATTATCGAAGTTTAGCTATCTACGAAAATTTAATACGTTTTGACAACTAAAACAATTACATAGGAATTTAGGACAAACGTCAAACATCATGCTTGATTGAAAAATTGTAGGTTTCTATTGATTAAAAATCTGTATCATAATGAAAAATCTGTATCATAATGGGTATCATTATGAAACGGATTTTGGGCATATAAGTGCATTATTATAATACGGGTGTAGAAAAAATCATTTTTTTTGTTTGCAGAATGTGATTTTATTATATTATATAAAACTCTATTTTTCAAGTTTTGATTGTATTTTTTGTTTAATTTTGTTAATAATAACTTTTGACATACCTACATAAACTAAAAACCTTAAAAACCTATAAAATCTCAAAAACACCTCAAATAACCTAAAAACCTACTTATATACCTATTTTTAATTCTTAGGTTTATTCCAACCCTGGTCATTACTTATATAACTTTAACTGACCCTTAGCCTAGACATTTTTGTTTACCTGTGAGCAGCTGTCATTTTGAAAGCTGCCAAAACTTTTGGAGTGTAAAATTTGACAAAAAATCCCTCGTTTGGCAGAAACAATTTGTTTTTTTTTGTTTGCAGAATGTGATTTTTTAATATGGTAATAAAACTTTATTGTTAAAGTTTTCTTGTATTTTTTATTTAAGTAACTTTATTAATAACAACTTTCGACATACCTACAGGAACTAAAACCTTAAAAAAAAAACCTATAAAATCTCAAAAACACCCCAAATAACCTAAAAATCTACTAATATATTATATAATTCTTAAGTTTCTCCAACCCTAGCCATTACTGACTCCTAGCTCAGAACATTTTTGGTTACCTGTGAGCAGCTGTCATTTTGAAAGCTGCCAAAACTTTTAGAGAGTACAATTTGACAAGAAATTCCTCGTTTAGCAGAAAAAAACATTTTTTTTTGTTTGCAGAATGTGATTTTTTTTAATATATTATATAAAACTCTATTTTTCAAGTTTTACTTGTATTTTTTGTTTAATTTTATTAATAATAACTTTTGACATACCTATATGAACTAAAAACCTATAAAATCTCAAAAACACCTCAAATAACCAAAAAACCTACTTATATATTTTTTAATTCTTAGGTTACTTCCAACCCCGGTCATTATTATATAACTTTAACTGACCCCTAACCTAAACATTTTTGTTTACCTGTGAGCAGCTGTCATTTTGAAAGCTATCAGAAATATTGACGTTTGGCATAAAAAAAATGATATTTCTAGCAATAAATTACCAAAATATTATTTTTTTTGCAATTTATTATAAATAAACTAGTAACTCTTCATATTTACGTAAAATAAAGATGTTTACCTTGGTAGGTGATATATCCATGTCTGCATAAATAGTTAAAGACGACTTCTTTTCACTATTAACACTAGTATTAGATCCAAAAGAATGATATTTCATTTCAAATAAGACAAAAACAATCCATCAACAATCACGTTTGAGTCGTTCACTTTAAACTTGTCTTATAAATAAATAGGAAGCGAAAACCGAAATTTTCTCGCCTTGACCATCGTTGGAGTCTTTTCGGTCTTAAAATCGAATAAAAAAAACGCGTTTGAATTTTAGGAACTAACAATACACTCGAGGTTCGCTAGATACAAAAACACGTCGGTGATCGTGTGGTCTACAGCATCTACGCTATACGCCAACTTTAACTTTAGTTTGTATAATGTAAGTAAATGTTGTGGAATTCCAAGCTTCGACTCGACAGAGTGGATTTAGACAGCGTTGCCTGTTCTACGAAAAATCGTAAGAATGTCGGATCGCTTAAATACAGTGACAGGATGACAGGAATAACCCTCAGACTCTCAAGGATGGGTAAAAATTGACCACCTTGTGTTTTTATATCCAGATTTTACATAAAAAACAATACAAAAACCTAAAAAATTATTGTCAATCTTATTTTTCTATATTTACTATAAATTGAATACATTTAAATTAAATTGGAGTAGACTTAATATAAAAGTATTGTCAGTAGTATGTCCTAAGTGTACTAAATAGTCTGATACTGAATAAAAATTTATAAATAATATTTTTAGGATTTTGTTTAGATTTTATTCTCAATTTATTTCAATTTATTAGTTACAGTTTATACAGGATGGCCCATCGAAAACTTAACATGGGGGTTTTGGGTAATAATATAATAAATGTAAGGAAACGCTTAGACACGTCGATTTTAGTATGGAGGGGGACAATTATTTACCACGCCTTCCCATACAGCACACATTATTTCAGAAGCGTTTCAGAAATATTTCAAACGTTTCAAACACATAACATACAAGTTTCTGAAATATTTTAGTTCAATATTTCACTGAAAATGTTTCTGAAACATGGTATACATGTTACAGAAAATGTTACTAAACGGGTTATGTTGTAAAAGACCAACACTTAATGAAGAATTTCTCATTTGTAAGAAGATCAAGATGGGATGTGGGATACGTAGTTATTTTATTTAATCCTGTCCAGCCAGAGACAACCCTATGTTCTAAATAATTATAGATTTGAGTTGTCCTTTTTTTATATATTGAACCAAAAATATAATTTTCTTTGTTTTTGTCTTGTGGCGATTTTTGATTGAGCCATCGATATGTAGTTATTTTATGTCATCCTATATCCATCCAAAGACAATGCTATATTCTTAGGTTAGGTTTCGACTAAAATTGGTATCTGAGATTTTTAGAAGCCAAAGATAACAGATCCTAAATAAGTTTTAAAAAATTCAAAATGGCGTTAAAGGGAATCGCATTTAATCAAAAAGGTACGTTTTGGGTAAAATACTTTGCCGACTTTTTATTAAAAAAATTGTAAAACCTATCACTAACAAAATAAGTACCTAGCATTATCTTAAATACAGTTCCTAGGTTTACCTAGTTATCTCATGCAAATAATTTTCTAATTTTTCAATCGTTGCCTTGGCATTAGTTTTTCTACTTAGATACATTTTTATATATTTTGAGAAAATACCTATCTGCAATTACAAATAGGTTTTTTTTTATTTCTTTGATGCCTAGGAATTAAATTAGATAAATAACACTGCACAACAGCATTTCTAATGATTGAGTTATATTACATGACACTAGCTTTATTTTTAATGAAGACTTCAATTATGTAATCTAAATTTCTGTATTAGCTCTAGTTTAGAAAATATGATACATGGCCGTTTCATAGTAAAACACAATTTGTTTAAAGTAAATCATATTTTATTTAGTTCTTAAGGTGAAAAAAACTTTCTTTCATAAGACTTTCTTGCAGAGGTTGAAACCATAGAACTGTTCTGAATGCTCCAATAATAGTCAGCCATCATGTGTGCGTTCCAGTAGCCTTGATACCGTTCCTCCATCTTACGAAGGTCCTGGTGGAATCGCTCGTCCTGTTCTTCACTTAGATCCCCAAGATTAGCGGGAAAATAATCTAGGTGGTTGTGAAGAAAGTGTAACTTGATGCTCATATTACATCCAAGGGGTTGAAAGTGACTCATTAGTTGTTAAACGTGTTGAGAATAGTTAGAACTTTTCTTATTTCCCAAAAAAATTTGAACAAGCCAAACAAACTCATTCAATGCGTTTTTTTCAATTTTTGTCATAGTATCCGTAAATTTTGTTTCTTTTATTAATGATCTTATCTGTGGCCCATCGAAAATGCCTGCTTTTATCTTTTCTACACTCGGTTTCGGGAATTTTTTTGATATAAATAGAAAACAATTTCCAGTTTTGTTAATACCTTTGACAAACTGTTTTATAAGCCCTAATTTTATATGCAACGGAGGCAAAATTATACGATCTCTTGACACTAAAGGCGGCTTTATCACGTTTTGTTGTCCTGGAACTAGATCTTTTCGGTAGGCTAATCCTTTTTAACCCAATGTTGATTTTTAGCTATACTATCCCATAAGCAAAGAAAACAAGAATACTTTGTGTAACCACCTTGCTGGCATAATAGAAAGTTGACCATTTTTAAATCAACACATATGATCCAGTTATTTTCCACATATAAGAAATTTTCATTCTTTTAGCCTTGAAGCCAACATTTCTGAAGCTGACTTTGACAGTCCCAGATCTCTAATTAAGTCATTTAAATCATCTTGATTGAATGGTTTTGGTGTTCCCAGGTCGCATTCAAAGTCACTATCACTACGGTCGTTTTTCGTCTCAAAATCTTCTGGCTCTTCCTGTAAAATACCAGATTGAGGTTCAGGTGTAGACTTAGGGCTCAGGACACCCCTGTATGGAAGGATATTCCCATTTGGCTCGATTTTTTCGGTTAATACCAGTTATGTTCACCAAACAAAAATAACAATCGTCATGGTGGTTCATGGGTTCATTCGAAATCATTGCGGTTTTGTACTTGAAGCTATATCTTTTCTTATTTGTCCATAAACGTAGGAACTCAACACATGTTTTGCATACTTTTTGCGGAATCCAGGGCTTATTCTTCATTTCCAGCGAGTCGTTAAAGAGGATTATAAATTAATATGGTATTTCCAAATAAAATTAAATATGTATAATAATTCAATAATTATTATTAAATAAACTGCAAATAAACACTATAGGTAATACAGCGAATTTTTAGTGAAAGCTATAACTCGTAAACAAGAGCTGTCAGAAAAAAAGTGGGGGTACACTTAGAATCGGCGACTTAAAATTAGTAAACATGATGTGACATAAGTCATTCATCAGTCAAAACGTGTAATTTTGTTGGCCAGTGTAATCAATCACTAACATAGTTTTTCAACTAAAATTATTTTTGGACTCCCCTCATTGTGCCTCTTTTGATTCTTTGCTAATTGTCAAATTTTATTTATAAGTACCTATTTGGTTTAATTTTCAAAATCTATATAACTATTCTTAAAGAATCGCCCTATATGAGGCAACAAACAATGTATTAAAACAAATACAAAATATCAATAGAAAACTATTTAAAATAAAAACCAAAAAAATCATGATCTGCATCTTTTTATCAACCTTTTATGCAGCTGCTCGGGCATACTCTCCAACCCACAACTATTTGGAATTTCTCCAAGAATGCATAAATCTTCCGCCATAGGCAGGCACACTCTGCTACAACATAACATTCTTCGGCTACATTAAAAAACGAAAGCATTCCTCGTCCGTTAAAAACAAATCAGACGTGGCAACGTCGCTAGAAACGGTTAGAGATCCCCGCCGGCCCCACCGAGTTACCTGACCGAATAAGAAAGCTGGCGCGAGATCTACCAAAACCGTGGCATAGGCAAAGAAGGTAAAAAACAGACAAGGAAGGATGTTAGGCATTCCATTATTTCACCCTCATTTGGTCCGAGTTCACCCTCTGTTTAAAATTTACAAGACCGTAGAAAACTAATGAGGGTTTTTACCAGCGGCGCATCATAAACTACTTTTGTCCCGTTTAAGACCCAACTCAACTGTTTTCACTATATAATTACGATTTTTTTTAGGTTATAAAACTTCGCATTATTCGAAGTAAATAAGGCGTCACTTTAAATTTCTATCTCATAATGTCAACAAATACGTAACACGATTAGTTTATTAAAACGTATGTCTGGAATTAGCACAGTTTGCTAATGTCTGGTTATCACCAAGTTAGATGGCGCCACCTCATTGACAGTACCTACATTTTTAAATCTAATAAACGTTTCCCGAAGTAAAAATAAAAGACTGCATTTTGCGATTTAGGTTTTAAATATCATAAAAAATATTGGAAAGTCCATAAATTATAAATATTTGTAAAATATTACTTATTTGAATATTATTCATCAAAAGTAAAACAAATTGTGAACTTTCCAATATTCTTTATACTATTTAAAACATAAACCTCCATAAACAGTATTTTATTTTTGTCTAATTACTTCAGGAAACAATTGTTAGAAAAACCACTGTCACTTGTTAAAATTCCAATTTATTTAAACGATAAACCTATAAAAAAGTATTTTCTCATAAAATTTAACTACAAATCAACCATTCATAATTAAATGAATTGACAACGCGTTGAAATTGGACTTAAATCACAGAAAAAAGATGTGGACGCCATTCTTGCGAAATATTCTTGCCCCGCCCTTGGTCCCCTGAATAGAGTTGACGGATTTTAAATATTGGGGAGGTGGGCGCTACGTAGGGTTGCCAACTCAGAGGAACAGAAATCCGGGAGATAACACAAATAAAAATCAAAGAGCAACAAAGTGCACTTTCTAAAGTCAATTCGTACGTATGAAGTTTTAAAATATTTGGTTACTTTTTTAATATATATTTTATCAATTTTGATACTAAGCGCCGACCACCCTGTATATATTAGAGCGAACATGTGTATTTATGCGTGTATATGTATGTAATAAAACCATCAGTTAGTTATTTACCTTTAGCGGTCTATTACGGTTTTGGAATTGTAACAATTCATCACTATGAAAAACTACAGATGCAGAATCGCTTAGCAGCTGTTTTTTTGCAAACACCATGTGCGTGTATATTTTATGCATTTATCCATAATATCATACGCATGCAAGGCAGAATATCAGAACTGACAGATTGATGTACCTTTCAGCTTTGCTAACTTCAATTTTGACATTTTAATTTTAAATTTCGTTATCTGGGAATTTCCCTTATCAATATAGACTTAAAATATTTTATATTTTTTATTTGTTATTTAATATGGGTATATGAACATGTAAGTTGAGCTGCAATTTATATAAAGAATACAAAACGGGACAAACCCAATATGAGATAATTGCATTGACATATGTCAAAATTGCCAAAAATGCAAAAATAAAATTAAATGGATGGCAGATGTGTAATAATTTTTGGTTTTTGGATGTTTTAACTGTGATTATTTGTATTTTGAACTTGAGAATTGGAGTGTTTTAGATTTAGAATATTATAAATGGAACAGCGTGGTTCGCGAATAACGGAAAAACAGCGTGAAACTAGTAGAATTTATAACATTGTTTAGTGCCTGTAAAACTCCTATTTCTTCTATATCATCCATACTAAATAAAATATACCAAAATAAACTGGCACTTAAGCGTCCAATAAAAGAGTTCACGGTACAAAAAGTTTAATTTTTATATTCTAGTAACTAATAAAATGTTCAAAAAAGTCAAATTAAAAATAAATATTTCCCAATAAATCACAAAACATAACCAAAACCAATACATAGAAACATGAATCAGAATCACGTATGATAAAGCAGGATTAATTGACAATTATAACCTTACTTTCACCTAAACGAATGCGATAAAGTGGTTGTCAAACGGTCATGAGCGCTCTTTGAAAATAATTTCTTAGATTTTGACGAATGCCGCCAGCTCAGGAATACACTTTCATCAAGTCGCATACGTTATCGCATGCGATAAGTTAACGAAGGCGTCAGGAATTGGGCCCCAGGAGAGAGCGCCGAGAGCGGGGACTTGACGTTCGACCATCCGAACGCTATGAAGTGATAGGCAATATGCCGTTAAAGACATTCTTTATTTTGTTCCTTAATTAATTACATTACAAACATTTTTTTACTATTTTTTTACATACTGCATACAATATATTATTTTAAAAAATCGGAAAACTCGAAGTTAAACAACACTGTGCTACGGACGAGGCCAAAAGGAAAAAACGAATAGCTAATATGATCTGTCAATGAAAACTTTTGTTCTTGTTTAGATTATGATGGTTTTTTTAACATTATTCATTGCGTTGTATTTACGTGGCATTTAAATTGAATTTAAAATAATATTTGATGTATAAATAACTCATCTGAAAGCTAAATTCCTGGAAATATATAATTTTCCTTTTTCCACACTAATCCTACTATTAATATATAAATGCGAAAGTTTAGATGTATGTATGGATGGATGTTTGTTGCTCAATCACGCAAGAACGGCTGAACGGATCTGGATGAAATTTGGCACAAAGATAGTATTATACCTAGTCTGGAATAGCACATAAGCTACTTTTTATCCCGGAAAAACATACGGTTCCCGTGGGATAGATTTGTTTTTGTTTTTTCAGGCGTGATTTTTTGCATAGTGGCTGTGAAACATGTAAATTTGAAATACAGCTACTGAAAATAAATAAATAATGTGTTTCAGGGTTGTTGGATTTTCACATTTAAAGGGGTTAAAAGTTTCTATGGAAGTATCGATTTTTTTTAAATGTAGGAACTTAAAAATTGGTATTATAGCCTCTCATCACAAATAAATAATGGTGTGTTCCAGGGATTTTGGAGTTTCATATTTTAAGAGGGAAGGAGAGAAAGGAAAAAAAGGGGAGAAAGGGGGAAAAGAGGGTGAAGTGTGTATGGGAGTATCCGCTTTTTTTTTAAGTAGAAAATTGGAATTGTAGCTACTTATCATAAATAAATAGACATTAAGAGGGGAAACGGTAGGTGAAAATTTGTATGAGGCCTTCGGTTTTTTTAAAGGTAAGAACTTGAAAATTCAAATTGTAGCTACCCATTTTCAGTAAAAAATTACTTATTTCAAAGTTTTTGGATTTTAACATTTTAAGGAGGGGGAAATGGGGAGTATCGTAAAAATAATAAATAAAAATGAATAAAAATAAATATAAATAAATAGATAAAAAAATAATAATTAAAAAGATTATTAAAAATTATTAAAATGCAATAAAAATTAATAAAAAAAAATAAATTTAATAAAAATTAATAACTATTTCAATCTTCATAAATTGAAAACAATTTGATCTTAAATCTGAGTTACTGCTTATTTTTTTTATTGGGTCTAGTGCTAAGTCGTAATACTGTAGATTGGACATTTTAACCCCTAACCACTCAACTTTTGAGACAATCTCCAGTGCTTTTATTATTTGTGTTTACATTTTCTTTGTCAATCAAGAACATGCCTTCAATAAATTTTGTTTGCATGTAATCAAATCTTAAATCGCCAAATGCTGGAAGCACCATTAGTTATAATACTAACAGTTACCTAACTGAATTTTGTTCTGTAAGTTGCAGACCATAAAAAAGAAGATCTATTTTGTAATAAAATACCTACGGCACTGGCTCACATCTAAGGATTTTTACTTTAATTTTCACCAACCGCTGTTATGACGATTTGATCACGTGGGTTTCGGGTATTGTTGAAGACCCTACAGATAAATTAATTTATCTATGGAAGAACTAGTATATAAATCAGTGTTGCCGATTTGCGTATAATTATACGATTTTCGTATATTCTAACTTGCCAGCGTATCTTTTTCTAACTCTTTGAAATTCCGTATAATTTCCGTATATTCTGGAAAAAACTATGGATCTTTTTGGATTTCCATTTATTTTAGAAATAAGTTTAGGCACTTATTCTGAGTTTATTTGGACAACTTAGTTTTTCCAGTGTGTCTTCTGCTCTACTTTTGTTAAACAGTGGCTGACTGGTAGCTAGCTGGCTGCTTATTTTAGAGAAAGCCACATTGACAAATGAAAACAGGCCCGAAACCGGGTATTCACCGAACCGATATTGTTCGCATTATTGAAATGCACTTTTCTTTGGAACTTTTTGCTTTTGGCAGTCTATCATCTGAATGAATCTGCATTGCCACAGTTATTTTCTCGGCAGTCCCCCTTCTCACAAACCTAAAGCCAAACCTGGCAGCAACACAAATTTGATATCCTCAAATGCAAAGATGTGCGGCTACAAAGCTAAATCTGCAATTCGTATAAAACGCGTATCTTTTGTACCCAACCATCGTATAATTTCAAATTTGGGTATTGGCAACACTGATATAAATTTTCTTCAAAATTATCGACCATGGAGGAAGGATAATATCGACTATGGAAGAGATTAAACAAAATATTTTAAATCTAAAGTCAAATGCAATGGGTAGCGACAACATCTCCGCTAAAATGCTTCAGATCTCACTAAACTCAATACTGCCCTTTTTAACACATATAAGAAATTGTTACCTTGAATGTGGATATTTTCCTGATGTTTGAAAATATTCATTAGTAAAACCGTTACCTGAAATAAGCAATCCTAAAAATGTTAGTGACTTTCGCCCTATCAGCATACTATGCGCTATGCGCCAAAATTAATTAATTGTTTCGATGAAATCTCTCTAAGATTTTTTAAATTTTATCTTAGTAATACGTTCTAAAAAGTAGTAATAGATAATGAATCCTTTAACTTTAAATGTGTTACATCTGGAGTTCCACAAGGATCAGTACTTACTCCGTTGCTCATTGTCATTTACACCTCTGATATCTATAAAGTTGTGAAATATGTAAACATACACTCATTCGCAAAAGGTATACTATTCCTTTCCTTCTTTCCTATTTAACAAATTCCATCGACTACATAAATTCCGATTTAAATAGAATAGTTGATCAAGGATACTTAACTGTAGAGCAGTGGTTCTCAAACTTTTTTGGTGACGGAACCTTTTTGAAAAGTGAAATATTTGACGGAACCCCACATTTCGGAAAAAAAATTCCTCCTTGCTCCAGCCTCTTGCTAGGCCCGTTTCTTTGCGGAACCCCTACAACAAAATTCTCAAAATCATATCATCCTCATCCTAAAATCATATACGCCTTCCTCTTCCTGACTTCTAAAAAAAAAGGTCCTTCAACCCAAAAACTTATACTCCTTGCAACAAAAAAATTGAAAGATCCTCAAGCCGAGTCCCGTTTGTAGCGACAGGTACTGCTTTTTTTTATTTTCTTCGCGGAGCCCCCGCAAACCCTTTGCGGAGCCCCAGGGCTCCGCGGACCACACATTGAGTAACGCTGCTATAGAGAGTTAGGTATCCTTGACTTGTATCTGTAAAAGCAAGGCCACCGAGAGCAAAGGTCAGCTCCGGGAGATTGTTATAAAAAATCAAGTCCTTTCTGTTGCATTTTTAAACAAAAAAGTCCTTACCTTGTATTTTTTTGTAACCCAGGTCCTCCCTTTTGTGGCAAACTTCTGAAAAAATAAAACGTCCTCAGCTAAAGCTACTGCTGGGCCCCGGGAATTTGTCCCGCCTACCTCCCCTCACGTCGGGCCTGTCTGTAAGTGCGCCATATTTGCAAAGTTGCAGACGTGGTGCATTTTCTGTAAACTCGCCCTTATTCCATATTCTACAAGGTAAAATTGAATGAAAAATGTGTAATTTGACCTTGTGTAAATAACACACGTAAAGTGTCACTGGCTGCTCTGCCATTAAAAAATAAAAAATACAACTGAAGATTTTAATAAATAAATACTTAAAACAAGTTTTAATATTTTATTAATGGAATGTTAATAGCAAGTTTTACATTCAACTAATATCCAAAAAAATTACTCTTATATTCAAATAGGAGTAAAAACATTTTTTTCTTAAAGTAGAAGAAATATATTTTTAATTCAAATCTTAAAGCTAAGAAAACTAAACAATATTCAACAAAAAAAAATATAGTAAATAATAAAATGTTGAGTTATTTTCCAGCTCTTCCCCTACCGGCCCTTCTAGGACCTCGCGCTCTGGGTGTCCTTCTGGAACCACCAGCACCTGTACCACGAAGAGATGGTTTTTTCGTTTTTCCAAATAATTCAAACATACTGCCATTAACACCAGCAGCAGGCTCATCATCACTATCATCATCATCATCTATAATCACAGATACTACATCATCATCATCATCATTATTACTTTGTTTACTAGCTTTTTGTCTCTTAGGATCATTTAAAATATTATTGACAAAATTAACAGCATCTTTTTCTACATCATTTTTAAAATTCAGAATACACTGCTCAGTTTGATCAACTTCTGGTAAATCCTTTTCCAAGTGTTTAAGAGCTTCTTTCATAAAATTATCAGCAACATCACTAATAGCATTGACATCATTTGAATCAATGTATTTTTTTACTGCTTCATTTAGAGAGTTAAGGGCAAAAAATGAAAGAGAGTCTTTTTCTGTAAAGTGTTGGGAAACTAAATCTTCTACTCTATCTGCTAAAACTGGACCTTCAAATTCTACTTCTAGAACACCTTGGGCATTTTTTTTGTGGGTTCGTTCTTTCAAGCAGCTAAATTTTAACATATTTTCAGGATTTGCTACTTTGCCCACATAAGATTGGCCAAATCTAATTGTATTAAATACTTGTTTTTCATTTTTATATCTCACTATTAATCTTATAAGTGGTTTTTCACTGACTTTAGGAGTATGGCCCATTTCCTTAGCTTCCTTTATCATTTCTTCAATTATGGAAGTTACTAGTTGCTTGCTGTATTCACTAGATACAACAGTACTATCTTCATCATAATCCTCATCTTCTGGAGTATCATCTTTTAAAATAATTTCTCTATATACAAAGGGTCTAACAGTTTTTAATTCAACAGGTTCAATTTTAAAATCTTTTTTATGAATTTTTAGTATCCCAACATGTTTAGGTTCTGCTTCTCCTCCTATCAATGATGTTGCAACGGAGCTGCCAGGTTGACTTATATGCACCCCATTTGGTTTTCTTTCAGCCACAATTCTGCAATCATGTTCATGTCCCCAAATAACTAAATCCAAAAATTCTGGTAGAGTGTGATCAGGAATAAAATTTTTTGAACCTCTACTAGCCCTATTTTGATGCCACACTAGTAAATGAAACCAATCATCTGCATTTCCTGGAGATAACATCTTCACTTTGTCATCTAAAAATAATCGACCTAACCTTTCATCACGAATGTGAGATAATCCATATAAAGCCAATTTGGAATTCCCTTTTTTTAAAAGTATTGGTGAAATTTCTATATGATCAAAATTGGACCATTTACCGAAATAATTAACAAGGCCAGAAGTCGCCAATAAATCTAAGGAGGATGTATATTTTTGGCCTGTAGGATCGTCATGATTTCCGTGAATTGAAAACACTGGTAACTCTATGTTTAAATTAGGATCTTCATAGTTTACAGTAGGGTTTTCAGATTGGCTAAAATTTTGAGCAGGATCGGATAAAAATTCTATAGTCACAGGTCTGTCGCCCAAACAGTATTTCTTGAAAAGCTCCATACACTTGAAAATACAATAAGGACTAGGTTGTGCATCATGGAATAGATCTCCACCTAGAAGAACGAAATCTACTTGTTCAGTAGCTGCTATTTGAAGTATTTCTTCTAGGGTTTCAAACGTATCGGGTCCTCTGACCGGATCGTCTTCGGCGTAACCCAAGTGAATATCCGTAGCTATCAGTATGTTAAAAATGTCTTCTTCATTTCGTTCTGAACTTGCATCGGCGGAACGTTCACTTAATTGAGACATATTTATTACGATTACAAATATTACTTTTTGGATAAAAAATATAACAAAACTAGCATTAGCGGGAATTTTTGTTTTTGGCAGATGTCATGTCAGTCTTCTTTTTTTATTACACTTGGGGTATGGTCTTGGTCATTGGTCCGTTATTAACCAAAATATCGGTTACTCGGTCCAAAACTAACCGTTCTGCTTGATAAATCGGCAATGAACTGGAGTGGGGTCACATACTTTGATTACTATACGAGGCAAAAGAGAGGTCCGACACGCCCAACATAGGGCGCGGCCATTTTGAACCCTGTGACACAGTTTACAGCTAAAGAATCAGATCGCTCACTCTGCGTCGGCACTTTTGATCTCAATGTTTCAGTTTATACACTGTGCAACTCGGATAATACAATATATGACAACCGCCTTTAATAAAACAGCGGTCTTCTGCGTATCCTGAATTTGTATCCCTGGAGTGGATGTTATTTTGGAACTTTCAACTGGTCCGAGTGAGCTAACTGATTCTTTAGCAATAAACTGTGACTTCAAAAATAATATTCACTGACACCACATACTTTGATTTTCTTTTACTATACGGAGAATGGTCGCACTGCGCAGCTTTCTGAGTGCCTTTTAAAAGGAGATAGAAAACTCCGCCATTTTGAACCCTTATTACGTGTTGCCTACATCTTGGCGCAATAACAGGAATGACAGTGGCTGTTTTTTCAATAGCTCCAGGCCAGATGATAAAACCAGAATATAAATGTGTTTATTTGAAACTTTTCATTCCAAATATTCAATTTGAGCTGTTTCTAGGCCGTTGGGTCCATGCCAGTAGTAAAACCCTGTAAAACCAAGAAACTCTTGAGCAGGAAGTAACATATATATGTAAATTCTAAAAGAAGAATTTAACCTGTGAAAATAACTGTCACTTGTCAGTTATTAGACCAAAAAAAACTTTATATTTTTACCCAACGTATTTGTGCACAACATAAATAAATGCCATAATGAATAAATCTAAAGAATATATAATTCCAATTCAAATGGAAGATGACATTATTGAGCAAAAAGAAGACGAAGAAATAGTTAAAATTAATGATGGCAGTCTGAACGAAACTAACGAAGATACAATAGAATGCAGTCCCAATGGATCACCGGAAGAATTCATCATAGAACCAAAGAAAACGATCAAAATAAAACCGTTCACAGAAATCAAAGACTGCGAGGAATATTTAAGAAAATACGACGAGTTCGAGGAACGCAATAAATACTCATTATTAAACATAAACGTCCCAGAAAAAATTATTTTAGTCATAGATCGTGCTCAGGATGAGAATTGTACTAATTTTACAGCAGGTAATGCTAGATATACCCCAATGACTATGCTAAGAAGGTGTTTACACTTATTTGTAAAATTAAAAAATAATATAAATAAAAACCACGAATTCGCTATAGTTTTATTAAACGAAAACGATGTAACGTGGGCCATGCCTTTTACCAGTGATATGAGAAAAGTGAACAATTTTATAGAAAAAATTACTTTGTGTGAAGTTGAAGACACTTTTGATATGAATTTACTATTTGAAGAAATTCTACCGAATATCAATGTACCAGAAGAAGAAATAGCCCCTCCCTATTTAATTCGTATGATAATATTTTACGGTCGATCCTATACCATTCCTAAAATAGAATTTAATAAAGAAATTAAGGATTTATTGAAAAAACCTTTCTTTATCTGTGATGTCTTGATGACTCATGAACCTGCTGATAAAAGCAATCACTGTAACAAGATATTTGATTGTTTGGGGAATATGGATAGAAAAGGGATTTCTTATTTCATTCCTGTAGGTAGAAATACTTTGAGATTACATAATGGTATGGCTAAATTATTGGGACATGGATTGCAGAGGCCTATACAGAAATTCTTGAAAATTTAATAATTCTTTATAAAAAAAATTATCTGAACACTTTATTATTTTGTATATTTGTTACTTATTATCAGTAGCATCAATTTATAAGCTGTATAATTAAAAAATAAAAGTATTGATTATAGTGTTTATTTAATTGATAAACTGCTTAAACTCACATGTACCCCATAAAGTAATTTACTTCATTTATTTAACACACTAAGCACCAAAGTGATTTTCAATTTTTTGAATAAATGTTTTAATTTTTACACAGTCGTTTTTTCTTATTAGCTAAACCCAAATACACCACAGTAATTGACCAGGCCAAGGCTTGGTTTTCTTCATATAAAAGGCATTAAAACCGTGTGTATGTAAGATACACAAACATTTAAACACAATTTGTTGGATGTATCTTTTTCGATTCACAATGGTTCTGACAGTGTGCATCGAAAAGGATACATCGGCGCTTAGAGTGTTAAGACACGCCTTACTATTAAAGTTAAAATCAAAATGTAGGATTAGAATTCAACATAAATCTATTTGTAAACAGTTCAATGAAATATAAAATTGGTTAAAGCACTTAATCATGTGATATTTTAAATTTTGATGGTAGCATTGAGTTTTCTCTCAATTTTTACCTTTTTTTTTTCTGTATATAGATAAAGAAAGTATAGGAATCATGATTTTTTTGACGGATTTTTATGTAATACAGAATTGGCATTTATAAAAGGACGTACTGTTAGAATAAAAACTCACTCTACATTAAATATTTTAATGAACAAGACATTGTGAAAAATATTCAAGATAAATTACCTATATTAAAAGGCCACATACAATTCGAAATAGGGATGTATTTAAAAAGAGGCACAACTGGCACAGTCTCTTAAAACGATTTTATTACAATTAATTAAAAACAAGTAAATTTGTTTTTATTTAATTATATGTATTCTACTAAAAATTAAATCAATTTTAAAATAACTACCGAAATATAGTGGTATAAAAAAATTAAATATCATTTTAGCTCGATATTTTAAAAACAATATGTAATAAAAAATAGACTAGAGTGCCTCCTAGAAATAAATGGCAAAATTTTAATCATGTATACAATTTATCTAACGCCAATAACTGTTAAATATTTTTTCCTAAAACCTCCTCAAATAGTAGTTTTTTTAACACGTTAACTGTCCTAATGGTATTTTTCCGCAAACCGTTACACGTCTCCATTTAAATTTGTATGCCCCATATGTGGTTCACAGGACTCTGTGATAAATTAATGTAAGTCCTACGACCTATATATGGATCGTAAAATAAAACCTTGAATATTTGGCAACGTTTCGCAATAAGCACGTGTTCTGTGTTTCAGCCCGCCAATATTGATTGGTAGCAAAGCGAGTTAGAAGATATCGCGGAAAATCTATCCGAAATAAGTTCTGCCAGTGATTTTGATTCAGACGACAGTGTGGCAGACCCGCATTACGGAAATGAAGATGGCGATTCAAGTTTTAATAAAGAAACGGATGATAGTGACATTCAAGATGAAAGATGAAAGAATGAGAGTGATCCCGATTTTCTACTATAGAATGTTACTGGAAAAACGACCCATTGTATTACCATTAACTTTTCCACCGACTTCCTATAAGGTATAACCGTTTTACATTTCGGCATTTCAAAGACAAAACAATACCTTCAGAAGCCGCTTGTCAAAAATTGCACACTTGTGGACAAAACGATGGTTCCTTTCAAAGGCGTCTGCAGTTTCGTCAGTATAATCCATCAAAAGCCCATAGATATGGTATCAAACCATTCAAAGTGTGCTCTCCACTTGGATACACTTGGGATCTAAACATTTACAGTGGACAAAATGAAAGACGCCAAGGACTAGATCTTCCTGGCAGTACAGTTGTTGAACTAGTTGATCCCTTGTTAAATGCTGGAAGATTAGTTATAACTGACGATTATTATATAAGCATTGAACTTGCCAAATACCTCTACAAGAGGAAAACAAATTTGTTAGGAACTGTGAGAAAAAATAGAATAGGCCTGCCCAAAGATGTAGTCAACTGCAAACTAAAAAAAGGACAGATAATTACCAAACAAAATAATTGTATAACATTCTTCAAGCGGCACGATCAAAGTGATGTCCATATGCTATCCACGTGCCATGATCATCAAATGAAAGTTTATGAAAAAAAGAAATGAAGAAGATAAAATCAAACCCTTAGCTATAATAGAGTATAACAAGGGAAAGTAGGGGGTAGACATATCAGACCAATGGTTCAAAAAATTGGCCATTGAAATAATTTGTGGGACCCTCATTGTCAATACTTTTATTCTGTATAATTCTGCGCGTCCAGTGAAAGATCAGTCATCAATGATTAAATTTGTGAATTGCACCATATTCCGACATCATGAACAGATCTGGGCCATGAGCTTGTAAACCATTAATTTTAGGAGGATACCCTTTTCGATTTATGTATTGATTTCCATGACCACGGATCTTTTTTATACTTATGTAAGTACAATCAATGACACCTACTGCGCAGGAAAAACTATATATTGTTTTGAACTTTTCTTTGCCCATATGTATATCTTCGAAGACATTTTATTTAAGAGCTAGGTTTTTCTATAATTTTATTCATAACCTGCGTCACAACTTTTGAAACTGAAGATGGTGGACTCCCAAATCTTCTCCTAGCCCAGATTGAAAATCTGGGTATGCTACATAAATCAAAAATATTTTTGGTTAAACTGAAACTGCCTCGAAGGAGACTCCACTTATATGGAGTAGAAACTCAGATTTTTAAGCACAAATTTATTTTTATTCGTAAGAAAATTAAGTTTGTACTCACTTCAAATTGTACATAAGAGTATCTACTAATGATGAGCAACTACCTTTAGTTTTTATTCATACAGATTGAAGTATTTACTTCACAATTATTAGCATGAAGTACATGCTCTGCTTTATTCATATTAGCCATTACTGGACAAGTAATTATGAGGTATTGATCAATTTGTTTGCGAATTTAAGAGAAATAAAGAGTATTCTAAAAAAAAAAATAGTTATACCGCCAAAAATAATCTGCAAAAGGATGAAAGAGACAGGAAAAAATAAATCAGATACAATTTTAACTACAAGCTCTCACCATGAATGTCCACACTTCCTCAGTAACATCAAGTGGTAAATAGAGGACTGACTGCAAATCAATGAAAAGTCCATAACAAAATATCATAAACCAGAATCTTCAAGCAGCTACCATAAAAACGGAAATTAGTTCTTTTTAGTCCAAATGTTATAAAACAAACAGACTTTAACATGTTCCCAGCATGATTCTCTATAAAACAGAACACTTAGACCAGATCTACGGGACGTTAAAAATATTAAATCATAAAAATATCAAGCTTCTTTCTAACAGTGTTAACATTTTTCTGCTTAAATCGCCATATTTTTTAAGTTAAATCTACATATAATTTACTGTAGATACGTTTTTTGGCATTTGAATTTGTTTTTGTAAATTTTACGCAATAAAGGATGTAAAAAAACCTTTATTAGTAAATCTAATTTGTTACGTTTAGAGATAAACATTGAAAAAATATATTTTGAGAACTTATGAGATTAAAGAAAAAAATATTTCATAAAAGATTTCCGATACGTTTTTTGGCATTTGAATTTGTTTTTGTAAATTTTACGCAATAAAGGATGTAAAAAAACCTTTATTAGTAAATCTAATTTGTTACGTTTAGAGATAAACATTGAAAAAATATATTTTGAGAACTTATGAGATTAAAGAAAAAAATATTTCATAAAAGATTTTGTTGTTTAAAATGTGGTTGGGGGAAAATATATAGAATTACAAAATATCGAAACGACACATTTTCGAAAACGAAATATAGACATCACAAAATATCGAAAACACAAAAAATCGGCAACAAGTAATATCGCCAGTACATAATATCGAAAACAAGAAATGTCGAGATAATATAACATCGAAACTACAATTTATCGAAACTACTTAATATCGATGTACAAAATAACGACACAGCATAATGCCGAATAAATAAAATATCGACATTACATAATTTAGATTATGTAAATATATCGAAAAATCTGTTTCAAAGCCAAAAACATCAATTTTCCTGTAACGCCTAGTAATAAATAACTCTCTTTAATGAATTAAATATAATGTACTTAATGCAAAATAACAAATTACCGAAATTACAAAATATCGAAAGTGCAAACTAGTACCTACATCAAAGAATACCATTCTGTGCCTACATAACAAAATTTCGTTTGTTGTCAACAACAATCATTAAACAAAATTTCTGTTTGTTTGATTTGTCTGACTGACATTTGGAAATAATCAAAAAGTGGGTGTGTTGTGCACAAAGAGGTTAAAAATGGAAAAAGACTGCGATTTTGAATACTTAGAGAGCAATAAAGGCGGAAAAATATTATATTCCAATGGATATTACTATACCAAAGAAAAATCTGTAAGTACAAAAATATATTGGAAATGCCAGAATTGGACTAGCTTTTGCAGAGGCAGAGGTACACTAGTTTCAAACACCTTTTCACGGACCGCTGATCACAATCACGAAGGAAATCCTGTTAAAGTTGAGGTCAAGAAAAAAATGAGTCAAATAAAGGAAAAAGCACTAGCCAGCAATGATGCTCCTCAAGTTATTGTCTCAAGTGTAATGTCAGATGTAAGTGGCGAGGCTAGTACTTCGTGTCCGTCGATAAGTAGTATCAGGAGAACTATCAGTCACATTCGAAAAAAAAAGTATTCCCACTACTCAATCCCAAAGGATCTGGAAGATTTAGTTATCCCCCAAAAATACCGAAAAACTGGGAAAAACGAGGAATTTATATTATATGACAGTAATGACAAACAGAGAGTAATTATTATGGGAACAAAACAAAATCTAAATTTTTTAGAACGAAGTACTAAATGGTATATTGACGGAACTTTTAAAACTGTGCCTGAATTATTCCACCAATTGCTGACGATACATGGCGATATAGAAGGTATTGTTTATCCTTTAATATACTGTTTATTACCCAATAAAATGGAGAGAACATATATTAAAATATTTGAAAAAGTTCGAGAATTTATTAAAAATCCAAAAGTATCCCTTATTCTAATGGATTTTGAAATAGCCTTAATAAATGCTACGAATTTGCTTTTCCCAATAGCTGATAAACAGGGATGCTATTTTCATTTTCGGCAGGCACTTTACCGACGTATTTGTTCTTCGGGTTTAAAAAGAAAATACGATACAGATAAAGATTTCAACAAACAAATTAAATTTCTAATCTCGCTTGCCTTTGTTCCTGAAGATTTAGTACTAACTGCATTTAATGTAATAGAAAAATCCGGAATCCTGACGGATCAAACTCAACAATTCTGTAGCTACTTTAAAAAGAACTGGATGGGAATTCAAGATGATAATAAAAAGAAACATGCATCGTTTTCGTTTCACTTATGGAACTATTTTAATCGTACCCTAAACGAAGAGCCAAGAACTAATAATTTTAGCGAGTCCTGGCACAGTGCTTTAAAAAAACAAGTTCAATCTAAACATCCGTCTATTTGGAAATTTTTCGAGTTTATGTTAGATCAACAAAGTATGCAAGAACTTCAAATTAACCAACAGTTAACTGGCTGCGAAAAATCACTCAAGAAGAAAAAATATAACGACAAAAATAAAAGACTTGCTACTGTGGCAAAGAATACCTACCCAAGAAGCGACACTAAATGGGCGATTCGTGGACAAAAAATTGCCAAGTTTTCTCAGTGTTTTAGAGGTAGTTTAACGTCAAATATAGTTGTCAGTTCATGTAGTGTATGACGTTTGGTATATTATTCTTAGCGTATTGAGAAAATTTCAGTAGGTTTATTTAAAAGTAGTAATTATATATTAAATAGTTTAAAGGTTTTTATTACATTGAAAAAAATACATTGCGTTGTTCGTGGTTGTGTTACAACTTCAGAACAAGGGCTAACAATGTTAAAATTCCCAGGAGATGAAAAATATTGAGTTTCAACATCGTTTATTCTTTCCAGAATTGTATATTTTAAAATTATTTATTAGGTTAAAAATATATTATTTCTTAAAATATTGTAATTCGCATAACAGAAAAATGCAGAAAAACGTTAAAAAAAAGAGTAAGGCCCAACGTAAATTAAGTATATTGAAACATTTATAATAGCTTTTACATTAAAAGGCCGGAAAAAAATTCATTAAATTACGAGTTTACCAGCCGGTTGCAAGAACGTTTGTTAACATGTATTAGACTGTGAGTATTTGAAAGTTTATATCATATCACTTTCTCACTCTCTGTAAAAGTTTATCAGGCTTATACATTTTAATAAACGTTCTTTCATCTGGCCGTAAATGTTTTATTTTTAACTTCTAATTCAGTATTATAATGATAATTTTTCTACACCCATATTATAATAATGCACTTATATGCCCATAATCTGTTTCATAATGATACCCATTATGATACAGATTTTTCATAACGATAGAGATTTTTATTCACTAGAAACCGATTATTTTTCAATTAAGCATGCTGTGCATTTGACGTATGTCCTAAGTAATTGTTTAAGTTGTCAAAATCAGTACGTATTAAATTTTCGTAGATAATTGTATTATCAAAATGTCTGATATCAGCGATATAGAAGACTTACCATCGACTCCTACACACATATCGGAGAAATCAGAAAATGCAGTACAAAATATTTTGCACCAAAAATCTATGGTAATACCAATATTCGAGGTAATACCATCAATTACAATTTTGTAGATGTTTATTTATAGAAATACGAGTAATTACTGTTAGTAATATTTATAGTTCTTGATTATTTATCGGGTCTAAAAAATGGCGTATACCACTCTCATGTAATGGTTATTACATGATCGTTGCATAATATACTATTACGTCTACTTATTATGCAACGTTAAATTTCAATCTTTTTTATATATATATTTTCCTACGACCACTTAGGAAAATGACACATATCACACTATGGAAAGTGCCCTATATCACACGCGTATGAATAAGAATTTACTTTCCACCCGTGTACGAATATGCTACTTTCCGCAGTAGCTGTCAGAAAATGTTAAACATATAATTTCTATTTTGATCTATGTAATGTCCATATTAATACTAAAATCGATATGATTGTTAAATTATTGAAATTGTTGTAAATTAGATCCTAGATATTTATCTTTAACAATTATTATTAAAATAATTTTAAAATAACTAAGATAGGTTTGCTTTTTATTCTGGTTAAATACATAACCGATTAGATCATTCAATTGACGTAAGGGCTATTAGCTCAGATGGTTAGAACGTCGAACTTATTAACTTTGCCATTTGAGACTTGGCGAGGGACCGCGTTCAAATCTTGGCGGGGCCAGAATTTTTTTTTATTTTTTTTTTATTTTTAGTATTTTTTTTGTTTATAAAGTATGAAAATTGAATAAATACGATTATTGTTGATTATTTTTTTAAATACATTTTAATTATTATAGTAATAATAACCTGGTTTTACATTTTTTGATGTCATTATTTTGTGGTCGTAGAAAAAATATTGTACATCATTTGTGTGAAAAGTGATTTTCCACACTCGTGTGATAGTCGCACTCAGCTTGTGCCTCGTGCGACAATATTTCCCACTTGTGTGAAAAATGTCACTTTCCACACTCGTAATGTAATATACTATTTTGTTTCTCAAACCATACGGACTGTGATCGATTTAATCCATTAAATAATATACATATAAACAATTTTATAGTAAGGATTAAAACAGTAATATATATGACAGACTCACTCTGAGGAACCAAGTCGCTGCTATCAGGATCATGCAATCAAAATACATTTACAGCTACCTACAGTACTTATTACTAAAATTATTATTATTATTAACATTATCTATTGAACATAGTAAGAATTTTCCGTCATTTTAACTTTAGTATGTGTTTAATTCTCATGAACCAAACAACAAAAATTGATTGGAATTATACGTTTCCCAGTGTATTAAGTTCCCATTTACGTCAAGGTCGCTGCTACTTTGGTACATAGAAAAACTCATTCAGTTTCGCTTCTTGGGTATGTATTCTTTGACTGTGGTTCAATCATTTGCTCGAGATAAATGTACAGATACATACTTGTTAGATTATTTGAAAGCTATTACCCTTACTCTGTAACGACATTAATTGAATAATTTGTTATTTGATATTTAAGCACTTTTTTTCATCTCGATGTTATCTAGTGTAGTGTACTCCATCTTTTTGGTATTTATGTACTGATATTTTGTGTTTCCGATGTTTATGTTGTATCGTGGTTGTTGTTGACAATAAACGAAATTTTGTAATTTCGACGTTTTGTACTTTCGACATTTTGTTGTTTCGATAATTAGTTATGCTGCATTTCGTATTTTCGATATTATAGAGTGTCGATATTATGTGTTATCCTTTAAATGTAGTTTCGATATTATGTATTTTCGAGATATGGTGATTTCGATATTTTGTAATATCGATGTTTTGTAGTTTTTTCAACATTATGTACTTTCGATATTTTGTTCATCGATATTTTGTAATTCGATATATTTTCCCCCAACCTTAAAATGTTGGCACTTATTTCTGGGATATACTTAAATATTTTAAGTACACTTGTATAAAACGATTGTCCTTTAAGTAAAAATCGTTTTGTGATTTTTTTTTATAAAATTTGTAGAAAAGTGCATTGCAGTGTATAAAGTAAGTACATAATAATAAATATTTATTATGAAATATATTTTGTACGAACTATTAAAAAATATATGAAGCGAATTTATTTGCAATGTTTTTATATTTCATGTTTATAATATATTTTAAATGAAACTATTTTGTATTATCACAAAACTACGGATTCTTAGAAGGACCACGAAATATTTATTTTTATTTTCTCGACTTTGAACTCGAAAAAAATGCGTTTTTCTGACTTACAACTTGGAAAACAGATTAGTACTACTTAGAATTCGGAAAAATCGATTTTTATGACTTACAACTTCGGAAAAATTAGATTATTCCGACTTAGAACTCGGAAAAATCGATTTTGCTGGCTTACAACTAGGAAAACTAGATTATTCCGAATTAGAACTCAGAAAACTCGATTTTTCTGACTTAGAAGTCGTAAAAATAAATGATTGACTTATTATATATAATCAGAACCTTAATATACCCTAAGGTGTTTTTTTAAGTGTGTACAAATTTAGTCCATTCACGTTTATTTCTAGCCTTTATCTTTCCCTTCTGACAATTTAGTCCACGTTCCTTCAGGATTTCCGCTACTACATTATCCCAGGTTTCTCTTGGTCTTCCCCTTAATCGTGTTTGCCAATTATTCTGATTTAAAATTCGAAAAAATTGATTTTACTGACTTACAACTCGGAATGATCTATTTTTTCTAAGATATAAGTCGAAAAAATAAATAAAAATATTTTGTAACCCTTCTGCGCTTGCGTACAAAACCGAATACCTTAAATCTGTTAAAACGAAAACGAACAACAATCGATAAAAAAAATTAGTCTCAAAATTTATTCACGCTAAATATCATTTTTTCAAAAATATCTTATTGAAAAATAACTGGTGTGCGTATAAAAGCAAGAGAGTCTTAAAAAAATTAAAACTAAATAAATAATAGATTTACAAATTTATATAAACAGTAATTAGACGTTAAATTCAAATTCATATGTTAATAGAAACTTTTTAATGTACATTTGATATATCTTTCGAAGTTATGGAAATAAAAATTGTTTAGAAAATAATCACTACCATCACTAACAGTTGTTAAGTTAAATGAAATAATCATTATTTGTTTTTAGTTTAAAAAAAGCTAAAAAAACAAAAAATTTTATAATTTTCCGGGAAAACGGCGAGTGGTAGTTGAAAATGTTTCATACAAAAGTTATAGTCAACAACATTTTTTACAATTTATCTCATTGCGTCACTACGCTACGATGATAAATGCAAAAAGTAGAGAGCATCAAAATTCTCAAAAACACGTTTTTTCGCTTTTTAAAACCAAAATTATTTTCTTGAGATGTATAAATTTTATTGTCTCCTAGTGATTCAGAAATTAAAATCGTGTAAAAATCTTTTTCTTGAAATAAAAAACTTATTTTTATGTGACGACTATGGCGGAGGCACTTTCGCGAACATACCTGAGTCAACCGGATAATATTTTTAGTCTATTCCAAATATAACGTGATAGTATTTCTAATTTTTGGCGAGAACGTTCTGGAGCCCCCACCCGTAATTTAAACTTTGTATATAAATACTGGTGGAGGAACACAGGTATTATTAGTTATATATGGACAGTGAATATAAATAGTGAACAGTTCAAAGACATTGGAAATATATATAAATTAGAATAGTATTGTTTAAAATAAATAAGTGTTTAAATAAATTATTTACAAATAAACTGTTGTTTGAAAATAAACAAACATCACATTAATTTTATTGTACTACGTGATATAAAAGTTTGGCTATTATCACTAGACTGTGTTATAAAAACTGTATGCACTTTTTAGAAACAATAAAGATTAATGCAGAAATTAGATTTTTCAAAAAATCTTTTAAACTTTTTGAAAAAATCTAATTAAAGACCATGCGGTTGACAGCCTTTGCGTTTTTTGTTTTTTCTTCATAATCTACTTTCGGACCACTTTAAAATTTATAAAATTGAAGGTTTTATCAACATATGACCATGTAATTTAAAATAAAAAACAAATTTCAAACTTTTTCCGTCTCACTATGATTGTATGGGGGCGGAGCTGAAGCACCGTCAGTTTGTAAAGGTACCGACGCAGATGTGGGTGGAGCAGCGGATCCTGGGGGAGACTGCATAGAAGGTCCCATGTTTACAGGAGGCGGTAAAAGTACTTCAGAATGCTGACTTTGTCCAGATAGTTGGCGTTGCAATTCTGCTCTTCTAGCAGAGCGCTTGGCCCGTGCTTCCCTTAGCGTTCTAAAGAAAGAGAACACTACGAACAGACCCAATCCCTAAAAAATAGAAAAAGATGTTTTTCAGTTTTCATTTTAGATTTTTTTTTCAATTTTGGCTGGTTTCGATCTTTTAGATTTTTGGCTGACTGAAGAATCGTCTAGTCTTCTTGATATTGTAAAATAAATAAAAATAACCCTTTATTGTATAACAAAATGAAATATTAGTTGCACAAATTTGTTTTATATTGGAAAATAGCTGTACCTTGAGGTACTCCTATAACTCAGATAGTCCTTCTTATCTAACAGTCCAATCTGTCAAATAACTGTAACTTATACCTCATACCCTTACTTCACCCTTAGCAAAAAGATATAACCGCCACTGCAATTTGGGATATAACTCTAATCATAATTAAATGTGGATAATTCTCCGATTTAAGCAGATAGTTAATTAATAGAAACTGATAATTATATTTAAATTTATGCGCTAATAGCGGAAGACTTAATTAGTAGTAAAATAACTTTTAGTTTCATCATAAAAACAGTGGTATGAATGATTAAACACATTTAAATTTTCAAATGATTCATTAACAATAGCAAATGTTAATATCACTCATATAATTTTTTTTATGGCATTACAACTTTAGATTGCAGAAAAATTATAAAAAAGAAAATTAACTATTTTCCGAGGATATCATCTTTTAGTAGAAAGGCAATTTTATTGTACAGATTTAACTCAATTTTATTGAGTTTTGTAGCATTGAACAAGCACATTACTGAGCGTTCCTCGTTGAATAAAGGAAATAATAATAAAGAAAATAATAAAGGAAATAATAAAGAAAATAATAAAGAAATAATAAAGGAAACGACATAAAGGAGAAAAGAAAAAAAAAGAGAAAAATTAAAATATAAAAAAATAAACATAACATTTTATTACCTGAAATATGGCGGAAAGGAATCCCATAATAGCACTTTCGATCAATATTAATTCGACGTATTTAACAAACATTTCTTCGCAACCTTCTTCATAAGGCACGACTTGCCCACCTGGATTTGATACCTCGTTATTTTTGCAAGATAAAAAGGACAATTTCATAGCCCCTTCTTCTTCGAAATTTATATAATCCTGTGGACCATGCAATCCACAACATTGTACCTAAAAAGAATAATAATGGTATATAACATAAATATAAACGAAGGAAATAAAAAAAATAATAAAGGAAATAATAAAGAAAATAATAAAGGAAATAAAGTAAATAATAAAGAAAATAATACCATACCACACCATCTATTGACCAAATATACATATGAACAATGCGTTTGATGTCACAATATCTTAAAAATGTATTTATAAAATACATAAAATGTTAATCAAAATATAAATAAAAAAAGGAAGAATAAATAAATAGTGAAAAGTATCATTAAAGTAAATAATAAAATTAACATTATCCTATTATAAATAAATATCTATTTATATTGTAAAAGTTCATCTATAGGACAGAAACAGTTTTTTAACAAAAACTCTAACAGCCGTATTAATTGTGGATCGCCAGAGATTCATTTCGGTGTACCGCCAGCGATTCGCCCAAAAAGCTGGCGACTCGCCGGAGATTGTCACCGGAATGTCATTTCGTTCATTATTTTTTGAGTTTTAAGAAATGAATTATGAATAAAATGCGAGAGATGCCGGTGATAATCCCTATAAAAGAAAATAAAAACTTGCGTGAAATGACATTCCGGTGACAATCTCCGGCGAGTCGCCAGCTTTTTGGGCTTTCGCCGGCGGATCGCCAGCGAATCGCTGGCGATACGCCGAAATGAATCTCTGGCGAGTCGCTGGCGATCGACTATGCATACGGCTGTAACTCTTTTCTGAAATAAATTTGTAGGTATATTTCTGAGGTTACTTTTTAGTAGAGAGGTGATTTTATTGTAAAGATTTAACTCAATTTTATTGAATTTTGTAGCCTGAATCCTGGAAAATTGAACAAGCATATTACTGGCGTCTCTCGTTGAAAAAAGAAAATAATTAAGGAAATATTAAAGGAAACAATAAAGGAAATAATAAAAGAAATAAAGGAAATAAATAATAAACGAAATAATAAAGAAAACAATTAATAAAGGAAATAATCAATAAAGGAAATAAATCAAATTTTAAAGGAAATAATAAAGAAAATATTAAAGGAAATAATAAAGGAAATAATAAGGGAAATAATTAATAAAGAAAATAATTAATAAAAAAATAATTAATAAAGGAAATATTAAAGGAAATATTAAAGAAAATATTAAAGGAAATAATAAAGGAAATACTAAAGGAAATAATAAAGGAAATAATAAAGGAAATAATAAAGGAAATAGGGGTCTATTCTGTAACAATTCCTTTATATTTAACGGCCTTTAAAAATATTGGCGGCCTATAAAAATATGTTCGTATTCGCTAATTTACTTCTGTCATTATTTAAACAGATTTCTTTAAGATAGTCCTCTAATGTATTTTAAAGATCCTTTTAAATAATGACAGAAATAAAGAAGAAAATATTTTTAAAGGCCGTTAAATATAAAGGAATTGTTACAGAATAGACCCCACAATAAGGGAAATAATAAGGGAAATAAAAAAGGAAATATTAAAGGAAATATTAAAGAAAATATTAAAGGAAATAATAAAGGAAATACTAAGGGAAATAAAGGAACTAATAAAGGAAATAATAATAAAGGAGATGATAATAAAGGAACTAATAAACGAAATAATACAGGAAAAAAAGGGGAAGAAAAGGAAAAAGGGAAAAGGGGAAAAAATAAAAAAATTAAAACATGAAAAATAAACAAATGAAAAATAAACAAAGGGAAAAGAAAAAGAAATGTTTACACCGAGTTTGAGACACTTTCCGTAAAGGGAGACAAAAAATAAATACATTTTTGGAAAGTACGCCTCAAAATCTTTAGCTTGCCATGAAAAATTTTTGTCCATTTGACCGAAAAAAATCATGGTATTAGTTATTTATTATACAATGAGCATCATAAGTCTTACCCTCCCTATCTAACTCGTTACTGGAGTCTTGTTAGGAAAATCGCCGACACGTCGATTTTTTATTTCTACAATGTACATTTTGGTATGAATAGTTTACCCTTAATTTCATCCCTTACTGGAGGGGAGTAACCCTTTCGAAAAATTTAAATGGCATGAGGTGGTGAGTGATAGCTCATTTGAAAGGGGGTTTTATTCTCTATTGAACCGTGCAAAATTTTTTGAAATTTGCTTCATTAATTCTCGACTAATTATTGTTTCAGAATAACGGAAATTAACGTAGCGCACTCATCCTTAGAATTAAAATTCGGCCCTGCATGATATCGGTTTTGGTTCAGACGTGAAGTAAGACTTTTTGCCATTAGATAAGGTCACTATTAGTTTAGTTGCTTTCCTATTTGTGATGTTTTGTTATTTTTAAACATTAACAAATCAACATGTAATGAAGTAAATTTTAAAATTTTTTGCACGGTTGAATAAAGAATAAACCCCCTTTTCAAATGAGCTATCACTCACCACCCTATGCCATTTAAATTTTTCGAAAGGATTGCTTCCCTTCAGCAAGGGATGAAATTAAGGGTAAACTATTTATACAAAAATGTACATTGTAGAAATCAAAAATCGATCTGTCTCGGCGATTTTCCTAACAAGACTCCAGTAACGAGTTAGGGGGGTAAGACTTATGATGCTCACTGTATAAGTGGGATAAGAGCATTATTAACGTACGCATGCGAAATTTGCAATCGCAGAAGTACGTTAATAGAGCGTTATCACAAGTATATTGTACAAATTTTTATCTACGACTCTAAATGTAAAAATAAACAGTAATTATAATTTTTGTCTAATATTGTTCTCCACCAATGCCTACATGTCGATTGGCGAAATATCGAAATGTTGACAATTTAATAAAAACGTTTTGTTTTCTTAGCAACGATAATATTGTCATAAACAATAAGTCAAAAATAATTAATTTTTAACAAATTTTTATATTTTCTAATAATAAAATGAGTGATTCGGAAAGTTTGCCATCTGATATTGAAGAAGAAGCTTTAAATATAGTTACTTGTTACTTTAGGTAGTGACAGTAATTTGTTATTAAATTTAAATAGATTTTGACTTTTTTATTTGATTGATTGAAAAGCAGTGAAATAAGAAAAACGCGTGCGTTAATAAACTTATCTCACGCAAAATGAGTGGGATAAGAAGTTCTTATCTCACAGGCGTACATAAAATATATTAGTGCATGGTTACCATGAAATAAAAGTAGAAAATATATTTTTTTTTATTGCAACTAAAACTGTTATACAATATTGTTTCACTCACCCTGTATGATTTTACTTAAAAATCTGTGCCCTCAAAAGTTTTATATCTGGTTGAATAATGATTTTAATTTTATTTAAATCATTTAATAGGTTATTTCATTTTAAAACAAACTTATAATAAATGTCCTTAAATGTAAATAAACACCAGTTTTTGTTTTATAACGGCACACCTAATAAAAACATACTTTTCATTTCTAAAAGTGCCACAAGTTCATTTTTGCAATTATTAGATAGAGGTCAATACTGTTGTTATTAAAATTTCTCGAATTGTCCATTTTTCACGCATCAAAAGTGTAATTTTTTTGACTTGCGTCAGTTTTGCTCTGTAACATTGTCTAAAATGTTTCTGTTATAACGTCATATTTCGAGTTGCAACACTTTGAAACAGACAACACAGTACAATAAAACAAAACAAAAAGTAATCTTATCAAAAAGTTTAACACCAACTTTTATTAATAACAATTAATAGGCAATTAATGTTTTATTATTATTGTTATTTAGAATAATTTTAATATTTTTAACGTTTCCTGGATTTTTTCTATTTAATATTTATATGACAAACACAGATAATGATTTATTGATGTCAGTCACTAGATCAAAATTTGTTCATAGTCACAATAAAAAAAACGACATAACTCAAAAAAGATCGATATTTACTTACAATAAAAAGTTATTTAATTTAACTACATATAATTCAAAGAAAAAAATAAAACATTATTACCTATATGTGGCATTAAATAGGTATATTTCACTAAACTCAGAAAATTATCAAATCATACTAAACCATTTTAAATCTCATTTTTTGACAATTTGTATTTTTAATTTTATATCACAAATTAAAATAATAAAAAAAAAAAATTGACAGCGGTGGGATTCGAACCCACGCCCTTTCGGACTGGTGCCTAAAACCAGCGCCTTAGACCGCTCGGCCACGCTGCCTTGACGTTAAACTTTCCTATCATGCATAATTAAACTCACCTCAGCTTGTACTTTAGACCAAGATTTGCTGTAAACTTGTTCCTTCATAATTTCGTTAAAACTTTGAGTCATTAAATCGGTAGAAGGCACTGCAACTGAATCCCATAAAACCATCGACCAAACGCCGATGGTAAATTCACCAATTAGTAGAATAAAAGTGAAAAACATGAACTAGAAAAATAATTAATGGATAAAATCAATCAAGGTTAATTCGATAAAGCATTTCCTACCAATATTATGTGGAAATTGTGCTCCCGCGTTGGTCCTTTTACGCCTAACCATGTTAATAATAAGTGTAAAATTCCTAATATTATTAATAATATCAATGGACCTGTTGTACTGCCAGGGATAAAATCAAAGTGGTGGAAAATCCTATACAATAATATCGACGAAAGCACGATTAATAATATTCCTGAGCCCTAAAAGCAATTCAATTTCGATTGATCAACAAAAATAACATTAAATGAAAGTACTTACGAAAAGTAATCCGGAATATCCAACGCAAAATGCTTTTTTACACCTCAGTGATACCATTTTATCCGAATTTTATACATAAATAATTCAGAAATGTTCAAATCACATTATCAACATTTTTGAAAAGATTAAAACTCTGATTAAACACGCATTCTCTAGGTAAACAATTTTTTCTCATTCACAACAAATAACACCTGTTTATTATGTCTGTTTATTACAAGGTTTTAATTTAATTGTGACTTAAACCATTATTCACGGGAATTAAAAGTATTTTATTAACGTACAGTAACATCCTCTTTTTTGAATGAGTGGAACTTATTTCGGTCATTTGTAATTGTAATGTCTTAAAATAACTTCATTTCACCTTTTAAACTCGTTTTCATTGGTCATTCAGTTTAAATTTACAGATGTTCAACTAAAAGTTGATGGCGCTAGCATCGCGGTAGTGATTTTTGTTTCCTACTATATACGCAACCAGTTTTACGAATTGCTTTTCCAAACACTTACTGAACAGAACCGTTCTGGCCCAAATATGTATTTGAAAACATTTTTGTTGCGTTGTAAAATTGAGTTTCCTTATAGCACATACTTCGATTTTCTCTTACTATACGGAAAATGGTCGCACTGTGCAGCTTTCTAAGTACCTTTTAAAAGGAGATAGAAAACTCCGCCATTTCGAACACTTATTACGTGTTGCCTACATCTTATTGCCGCAATAGTTTTAGTGGTTATGCCTAATATTTACCCAAAGTCAATTATTTACGAACCTACACTTTACAAAATCATTAAACAAATAATGAATATCTTGAAAACCTTTCTTTACTTGATTTTATGTTAAATCTTTCCATTTGTAAGTAACAGTAACTTCTTTAATTATGTTCCTATTGTATTCTAAATGCTTTTTATTTTTCACATTTCCTAAGAATTTCGAGCACTTAACTTGAACAGTGTTTACAAACCATTATTCAAATTGTTTAGTAAATTATTTTTAGCTAAACTGTGTTATGTCTGTTCTCAGCATTTTGAGGAAAATGCTTATTGCTCTTATGTAAAAAGGTATGTGATAAATCATTAAATAATTTTTTGTAGAAGACAAATACCAAGAAAATCGAACCATTTACTTCAACAGATAGGAGCAGTATTAAAATCAAACGAAATAATATAAATAATCATGTAAGTAGAATTGTTTAATTTTTTGGAACATTTATATTATAATAATTGTTTTTATTTATTTCAGGTTTACTACCTGTGGCTCATCTAGACACCTGAAAGTAGAGGTAACCCACAGCCTCACTAAGGACCGATTCCACCGTTGTGTTAAACGGAGATTAAAATGACATTGTTAATGTAAAAATGTCATTTTAAACTTCGTTTAACACAACGGTGGAATTGGTCCTAAGAAAATAGCTCCTTCTGCTAAATAGGATATCTGGAACAGTTTGAAAATGACCTGTAATATTTAATTTTTTTATTTGATACAGTAAACTGTGTAACAATTTCGGATAAATGGAAATTTCTGAGAAGCAAAAGTACTGCACTGGTCCAGGTACATGTTAGACACAGCTTTAGAAATAATTTAAAACCACTCACCTCTATTTCAACATGGAATTATAACTTTACTTTAAAGAAGTTTCTTGTATATTATTTAAAATAAATAAACGATTCTTCTACATTTGTTGCCTTCATTTAAAATCTCAAATTATCAAGATGTAGGATACCAGTTTAACATTTTGGAAAAATGTGTTGCCTAACCTAGTAGTAATTGCATTAAAATGACTACACCCTATGTTGGGCGTGTCGTCGGACGTCTCTTTATATATAGTAATAAAAGTATGTGCCTTATAGTCAAATAATACTAATGGGTCAATTCTAAGACAATCTATAAGACCTGTAAGCCAAAATCTGTAAAAAGTTACATTACGTTACTATATTTTACAGATTCTGTAGCTTATAGGATATTTCCCAGAATCCTACCATGAGATTTAAAAAATTTTAGACTAGTCTCGTTTCAGAAATAATACTTTATGAAATGGCAATATGTAATACAACTTTGAAAATATATGTAAACATCATAGATATGAGATATAAACTTTGATAAGAGATGAAACCATAATAGAGTAAAACCCGACATTCCCGGGATGATAATTTTAAGTTTTCTTTTTTAATATTATTTTGCGATACAAATAGCGTCCCCAGTCGCTTGCCTTGGTGAGGCTTGTAATAGTGATTTTTGTTTCCTACTATATACGCAACCAGTTTTACGAATTCCTAAAAAGTACGTTTTTAATATCTTTGTTAATTAACAATATAAAAAATTAATGGAGTCATTTTCATATTTTTGTCACATGTGATGTAATAAATTATAGAAATAAAACATGTTTCTTAAATTTCTATAAATTTTAAAATTGAGCTGGTTTCAAGCACCGGTATAGATATAGATCCTATTATTTGACAATTGATATTGACATTTTGAATATGACGTGTTTACAAATCAAATAAAAACAACAAATCAGCTATTTTTTATATCAATGGTAAAAAAATGTGATTTGTATGAAAAAATCTGGTTAAAAAATGTATTCTTTGGTTTATGGTTTTTACAAACATATGGTACAAAAAGACGAATTCTGTGTTTTAATATTGGGCCTTGATAATGCAGGAAAAACGGTTTGTTTATATTATTTAATTTACAATTATTATTATATTAAATATTTCAGACTTACTTAGAGGCTGCAAAAACGAAACTCACAAAGAACTATAGTGGAATACATCCCACAAAAATTACAACAACTGTTGGACTCAATATTGGCAAGGTAGATGTGGCTGGAATAAGGCTAAACTTTTGGGACTTAGGAGGGCAAAATGAATTGCAATCTCTATGGGACAAGGTTAGTGAACCCCTTTAGTATTATAATTTATATTTGAAAAGTTATCTTAAATATTGTATTTCAAAATATAAACAGATGTTCTACTTTATTTTGGGTGTTCGATAATCAAAATTAGAGTTAAATTAAGTGTCTCTATATGCTTTTCTACAATACAATGTGTAATATTATTTATCTAAATTTCTATAATTTTAAATTGGAAAATTATATTTTCTAGTTGTTTATCATTTTTTATAAGGTAATATTGCCTATAGACAGAAAAATGATTTAAAATCCTTAGGCAGACAAATATTGTCTTATATTTGTATTACTTCTGTTTTAAATCATTTTACAGCCATGGCAAATTCATAATACCTATTTTTTCAATAAATTTATTTAAAAATTGCTTTGTTCATTTTGTTCAATAAAACTTTAAATTGTGTTCCAAAATACTTTTTTTTTCATGTTGCTAGAAATTTATGTTATAATAAACAATAAGGGCATTTTGGACCTTTTAAGGGAATTTCTTTTCAGTTATGAAGAAAAGAATGGCAACATTAACACCTGTTCCTTTAATATCACCTCTTGATGTTTTTTCATTTCCCATCCAAATTTCTATCATTTAAAATTGACAAATAACATTTTCTAGTAGGTGATTCAATATTAGAAGGTTTAGTAATGGTAATTTAATATTAAAAATTATTTTTCATCAGATAGTATTGCCTACAGACAATAACAATGATTTAAAATCCTTAGGCCATACAAATATTTGTATTTCTTCTGTTTTTAACAATTTTACATCAATAACAACTTCCTGATGTCTATTTTTCTCAATAAATTTGTTTAAAGAATGACTAAATCATTGTCAAATTGCTTTATTATTTCCTGAGTACCTATTTATCCTACTAATAATTATCAGCAAATGTTCTTTCTCCTCATCTTCTTATATTTCCTTATTTATTAATTTACAAGCTAGTTAACCAAAATTTTCACCTTTTTCTTAGAGCAGCTGTCATCTTTCTCAGTTATTGGCACTTCTACATTTCAATCCAAAGTATTTTTCAGTTCTTTATCTTCTATTTGTCATTACCAAGATGTCCAATTAATACAAAATACATTCATATATGTCCAGTTAGACATTATTTTATTTATTTTTAGTATTATGAGGAATCGCATGCAATAATCTATATTGTCGATTCATCAGATAGAGAAAGAATGGATGAATCCAAAGATATCTTCGGTATGTGTAAAATTTTTAGTAATGTTTCGGTGTGATACTATGCTCTAATTTTTATTGCTGCAGATAAGATGATAGCTAGCGAAAATTTAAAAGGAATACCTCTACTAGTATTAGCTAATAAACAAGATATACCTGAATGTATGGGTGTAAGAGAAGTTAAACCAATATTTAATAAAAATTCTCATTTGATTGGTAAGAGGGATTGTATGGTGATGCCAATTTCAGCATTGACAGGGTAAGGCACAATTATAAAAAATTCAAGCAGGTGATAAAAAAAATGTTTTTTGATTTTAGTGATGGTGTAGATGAAGGAATTAGGTGGTTAGTGGACTGTATAAAAAGAAATGCGTATTTGAGGCCTCCTAGAAATCAAGAAGAAATGTAATTTATCTACGACACAGACTGGATTAACTATAGTAAATTTAATTTAAATATTACTTTTTCTGTTATTATTCTTAGGTTTCATTAAATTTTTATTAAAAAATTATTAATACATTACAGAAGGTGGACACTTTTCTGTTTTTATAGAAAATATTTGTTGTTGAATTATATTTGGAAAATACATTTTTTAGAAATTTTCCAAATTCATTTAAATGTTAAACATGCATAATTTTTCTATTTTCATTCCATTATAGAAAATTATAATTATTTGTGATACAAAACATATAGGAATTTGATGAATGAGTTTTTTTATTTAACTATTTATATAAATTGAATATTCACTTTGGGCAATATTAATTTTTCTTCTTTTAGATGTTCGATTTTAATCATTATTCTTCAACTTATTTTCACTTTCCTTGCTCACTGACTCTTATTTATTTGTTGTATCTTTTTTAATTATATTTTTTGCACCATTTTGTTCCTCATTCCATATTTTTTTGCTTCAATTTAAAAATGTAATTTCAATTACATAAGAATAAGTTTAAATCAAAGCCAACTCTGGCAAATGCAAGAATGCAGTTTAATGTATTTCAAAGTTCAAAGAAAAACATTCTATGAACACCTGCAGCATATCTAATGGCGCAAAATAGTTTTTGAGTAATTTAAATATCTCGGCAATTGTTCGAGATAGTTAGCCCTACAAAATGGTATATAAATCACGGTTGAATTGTTCGTAGGGACAGAGAATAGGATTTTAGATCGGATTTGAGGAAATTTTAACAGAAAAATCAGGGTTTCTGTTAAATATCTCGGCAGCCGGTAGAGATAGGAAGATGCGTTTTACGGCATTGAATTTGTTTCTTAATTTCCAACAAAATAGTATATGAATCAGGGATAAATTTTTGGTAGGACCAGAGAATAGGATTTTAGATCGAATTAGACGGAATTCTAACAGAAAAATCAATACCTATATGCGCTTATTTAATAGTTACAATCCGTCACGTTCTCAAAAACTAATCACAAATTACTCTCTTTCTCACATGTTCCATCTTCTTTCCTGTCCATACCTACTCAATTGTTTTTATGGGTTATTTTTTAAGTTATCTGGTGTCTTTATCTTCATTTCTGCTCCATTAAATTTTATTTTCCAGTTTGATAATCTCATTGTAAATTTCTATGAAAATACAATTTAAGTGGGTGATATATAATTTAAAATTGAATATCATAATGGTTGAAGCTTAATAAAAATAAAAATCTTCTTGATGCTTCAATCTAAAAAAATGAAACTTGAAAAAATGTTTCGCCTTCTTGCCAAGCTAATTTATAGGCAGCGAAAAAACGTTTTTAAAAGACCCATCGGGGTATTTTCATTCCCTATTAATGTCATTTTGACAATTTAACGTTTGTTTAATGTCACTGTCAGACGTTAAACGAATTAACTTAAAAATTGTTTTTAAATGATTTATCACCCTGTATACTATAACACCTACTTCACAAAACACGTGTTAACAAGGCTTTAAAATGTTTTATTATTAAATATCTCGAAAAATCTAAACTAAATAACTTTTAAAACATAATTTATTAAAGGACAAAATAAAAAATATCTTTACCGGCCCAAACGCCTACTTGCTTGCTTTCGCCCGATCAAAATTCAAGTGTTCCCTGCTCTTTACAGAATTTTCTCTACGTTTTACTCCTTGAATTACGTGAATCCAGGTGCGGATCTGGGAAGATTTTTTGAGGGGTAAATAGTTTTATTGGTCGCCGGCATCTTATTTTTTCTAGTTTTTCGTATAATTTTGAGGTTAAAATTTAATAGTATTTATTTAAGGAGAGAATGTGTGGGGGTAATTATCATATTATCTCCCCTTGTATCAACGCCTGCGTGCATCAAGGGCTTTCTTAAATATATAATCAGCGAAGGGAATGAAAATGAACATAAAACTTTATATCAAATTATTTGTTATATTCCACATCGTTTTTACAATCGTTAATGGGGTTTTTATTCATATTAAAACCACAATCCATTAATATCCTTGTCAAACCTTCAACTGTCAGTTCAATTTTCAAATAAAAACTTCGTTAAGTATTTAAAAAGAAGTACTAAATTGTTTCCGTATAGACGATTTAGATTTTTTCTTATTTTCAGGAGTAGCATTTTCAATAATGATTACCTTCTTAAATGAAATATGTTGTGATAAAAGAAGTTTCGATCGCTATTTGTATTTGAGAGGCAGTATTTTACATTTAAACGTACCATCTGTGAACGCGCGACATACGACAGCAGAAGCGACGTCGAAGGAGACCAAAAACGGTCTCTTTGCGTCTGAACACATGTAATTATATGAAACACATTTCGCAAGACGCGATCAATGCGAGAGACCAAAGAGTGAAGCGTAACGTAAATACATCTGTCTCCTTCGCCGTCGCTTCTGTTGTCGTCTGTTGTATATCGCGCGTTCCCAAATGGTACCTTAAAAATTTCAAACTACTGGACACAAATAACAAATACAAATCGTTACACCATGGTAACGTTGTTTATCCGCCTTTTTATTCACTTCATATTTTTGTAGATATATTTAATATTTGACTGGTTAATACCAGATATTGTCGTTTTGGAGATATCGGATATGAGTTAATTCGGAATTTCTATTTGTTTTGTAAAATAAATACCATTACTATCCAATGTACACATGTAACAATTTGTGGTAAAAAAATGTTACTTTTTAAGTTGACCTGTTTTTTCTTATTTGCTGATATATCTCCTATACCTCTGTAAATATTTTTAATATGTTTAGTAGATAAGATAATAACTTTTAATAATAACCTGAATGTGATTTATAAATAGATAAAATATTTTTTTCATCTCGGCTTTTTTATTTGAAATTTTACCTGATTATCTGTAGAACCAGCACAAAATTGGTGTATTATATGAATCATAAGAATATAAAATGTTAAAAACAATGACTCATTCATCGTATTTTACTTTAATAATGCTTTATTTAATTAAATATAACATATTCAGAGGTATAAATAAGTATAATACTTATAGGTACATTATTTCGCTTAATTCAAATTTATTTTAAAGTGGTATAATGACATTTTTTATATTTTATAAATACGTTACTAACACATATTAGGTCTTTTCCTTTGCATCGAAAGTGTAGCACTGGGCTACACCAATTCTGAAAATATCGTTTCATATATACAAATTGTATGGATGGAACGATATTTTCAGAAGTGACGTAGCTCAGTGCTACACTTTCGATGCAAAGGAAAAGACCTATTAGCTACAAAACTTGTTTCAATCGAACAGAAGGAAGCGTGCATTTTTTAAAGGATCAAATCATAAAAGAAAAACACCTAAATTTCAAAAACACTTATAAACATCTAAAATTACGTGTGCTGAAAATTGGGGATGGCAAAATCTCGCCAAATCTCATTCAGATTCTATGGGGGGAGGTAATGAAACAAATAAAATTTCACCTTCTATTTAATTCAGATTATATATATTACGAGAAATGACATTTTCTATTACAAAATCAATCCAGCACTAGAGAATATTAAATATTGTCCACACTGAGAGAGGTAATTTTATTTTCTGTTGACAAAATTTTATTACTATTTAATAAAATGTTTGTTTAACACACAAATGTCCATGGAGTGTCACACATTGTCAAAAATTATAACTTATGTGATTATAGTCTCGATACCAAAAGTTTTATTTAACAGATTATATTAGGAATTAATAAATTGTGACAGCTCAATAATTTACAGTTACTATTACAAAAGCAATGACGACATCATAAATGACAAGCTTGCTTACTAGATATTTATATTACTTGAATGGACTAACGATGCGAACCTGATTGGTGAGACAAAAGTATAATATTTATTATTTTCTTGTAACAGTATGTTATAAATAATAATAATTATTATTATATAATCGTTGTTAAATCGAGTGATTATAATCTTTATTTAAAGATTTTTTTACTTATAAGGGCATGTACGTGCAATACTTTTTTGCATTGATATAGATATAAATATAAATGAGAGACAGTAGCGTGACTGACTCGCGTTTATCACGTTCTTGCCCGGGCAGTGAATTGTGTGTATTGGATTTATCATATTTCGCTACTGTAGATATCGACGGAATAGCTTGCTGAAAATGAGTGTTTTTTGATCATTTTTCGTGAATTTCAATCGACTCTAGCGTATTAACTGCTTAGACATAGCAGCTTATGTTCCTCAGAAATTAAGTGTATATATCATAGATAAAATACAGCCACAAGTCAAACTGAGCAGCCCACTCTTTGCAGAAAAAAACATTGCTTGAAGTTTTGAAATTTTCAAAAATTGCATTATTCAGGTTATATAATAAACGTGTTGACTGCCAGATAAAAATCTGAAATACTCAGAATCTACTGTTCTTACCTTTAAATGACCGTACCACTTGTTTTGTTATTTTTATGTTTAGTGCATGTGCGAGTCATTTTTTACAGCAAAAATCAACTCAATTTTTTATTTCCTTCCAAATAACTAGATGCTTCTATTTTGAAAAAAAATTCGACTTATGTATAGGATTCTTATATATCTTTATGAAAAAACATCAAGAAAAACTGAATTTATAAGATTATAAAATAAAAAAATAATACTCTAGGATATGTTCCGAAAGCATATCCTTTATTACACGTTCATAGAATGTATATACTTAAAAAAATATGCGCGGTCGCACGTAAAGAGCATGTGTTTAGCACTTCAATGTTTACTGGATAAAAAATGTACCTATAATTTTGGAACATACTGTACGAAATTTTCTCAAAGAAGCGAGTAGGTAAATTCTTTTAAAAAAATGTAGATTATACATATAACTAATAAATACATAATAATATATACCTATTGTCGGAAATGCTGATCTTATCTATATAATGTAAATACATGTCTTCTTTTTTATGGTAATAGAGAAATAAATTAACAGATATATTTTAGTAGAATCACGCTATAGGTACCTACACATAATCGATTTCCAGATTTTTTGTAGATTTTATAAGATAAATATTACAAATATTAGAAAACAATAAATTTCTTAAAAAACTATATTATGTTACACTAATTTATTTTTTAACTTAGATACCTAGTTATAACACGCAGTTATTAGTATGCGCAATTACAACTAACAGTGTTTTAAAAGGTGATTAATACCTTGCTCATATTTTCCAACATTTAGAATAAAAATAGGCAACGATTCCTGCAATAAAACCTAAACGCCGTACTCTGATAAATTGATAATGAAATATGTGTGTAACTTTCTTATCTCTGTATTTATTATTATCAAGAATAAAAGCTTATAATAGGTGTATACCTAACTACTTTGGGCGACATGAATTTTTTTTATAATCCTCTAGTGAAATTGAAAAGTGATTAAATTTTTACTACAAATAAATAATAATGTACCCTTACTACGAATCAGATTGGAGTGTTTTACCTCCAGAAGCTAATCGAAGGTAAGAAGAAAAAAATCATTAGAAATATGTAAATAGAACAAATTTGTTTATCAGTCTCATCTATCGCTAACAATATTACTTAATAAACGTATTTTAAAACAACTAATTTATTTATTATAACGATTTTTACTAGTTAAAATCAGTATACTGTTGACCACTTTTTAAAAATAATTTTCCACCACTAACGGTTTTTCTTTTTCCCACTTCAATTAATGTACTAACAATAGGTTAATTCGAACACAGCACAGTGGATCTAGAGGCATTTCAAACTGGACAAAAATCAACGTTGAAAATAAACGAAGCTTGTTACCTATAACGATTTTACATCATTATAGGCTACTTTCTTAAAATAGTACGGCTTTGAGACGCCCATTTGAACCGCCAATGTTTTCTACACAAAAAGGTACTCTTGGTCGAGTATATATGACCATGTATTTCAACATTAAAATTTGATTTTTCTCGAAAACGGTCGACTTTAGAGCGTATGACCAAGAGTACCTTTTTTGTGTAGAAAACATTGGCGGTTTAAATGGGCGTCTCTAAACCGTACTTTTTCCAGTGGCGTAGATTTTTTTTTTTCAATTTCAACACCCTGTATCTCGAAAATGGTGCATTTTAGAGGGTAAGTTAATAGAAACGTTTTTTCATATTTTTGGACGAGCTATCACGTCCTGAAGTCCTGCGCATATATTATGAAACACCCTGTATAATACATATGGTATAACAATGAGTGTTCAAAAAAAAAAAAAAAATAATTTTTAAATCCTTTTTATTTAGTAAAAAGGATTCGAATAAAATCTGTGATTCGAAACATCGCGTGAATCGAATTTCGAATCTATTTTTTTGAGAATTCGTCACATTTCTGACCCTAACGTTTTAAGTCAGTTATGTGAAGAAATATGTTTTGATCGAGTGTTAGGACGTTGCATGCTAATCATGCCTATGAGCGTTAGAATAATGCTACAGTCAAATGCTGATGACGCACATGTGAGTTTTTAAGATACCTATCTATATCTTATGTTTGGCATAATTACCCTTGCGTATAAAAGTTTACTTTTTGGAAAAGTTTGAAGAGGAAATTAATTGTTACCCCCTATTTATCAAGCAGTTTTTAGAAAAGGACAGACAGTAGGTTAATACAAAGATGGCATTTTAGTAGAAAAGTGGAGAGATAAAATTACACTCCATACACAGGTAGAAAAAATTAATTTATATGAATATTGTTTAGAAATTTTTAGATATCTTTTACAAAACCGTGAAACATTATTGGTTACTCCAAAAAACAAGCTACAACACCGAACATCAAGCAAACATAACATTTCAAAAATTTTAAATGTTAATAGACGTCGGATAAAGAAAAAAAATGTTCAAAGAATAATTTAAAAAGAGACACCATATTTGAGCACAGCATGTGTCCTGGAAAACCCGCATTTTGTGTTGGAAATTATTTTGTACAGTTCCATAATGATCAGAACTTGTAATTATCATATTCTTTGTAATAAAATTTTCTATTCAAATTTCCACTAATTGTTTCTTTTGACATTAATTACTTTCTGCAATTTCTGCAATAATTACTCACATGTGCGTCACTTAGATATGGAAGAAACCTTAAGGGTCCAGTGCTAACGACGCTTATGAGCGTCACGCGTTAAAAAAGACAAAATTTACCAAAATTTTTCCAAATGTATTCTGCCAACAAGAAATCAATCACAGCTATGACTATGTTTTCAGAAGATACTCTTCAGCACCGTATTTAGCATGCAACGTGTTAATTAAAGCATTTTTATTTATATGCTTTAATCAACTTCTATTCAAACACATTTTTTCACATAACTGACTTAAAAAGTCTTAAGGAGACATTTTCGGACATGGGTTCATGAACTAAAATGTTTCTATACCTACATTAGAATTTGAAATTTTGTCCACTTTTGAGTGCTCTTGGTCCACGGTGCAACTCAACATGCAAATACGTCATCATTGTCCACATCATTCTAGGTTTGACGTCACAGTGCCGGCCATATTGCCAGTACCGAATGTCAAATTAGTGGGATGGTTTAAAAAACAATAATATTGTTTATATTAATTTTTAAAGGGTATTTTAAGTTTCAACGAGCTATTCAATGGTTTTAAATAATATTTCAAGTAATTGGTTTGTGAAATTCGTGTTTTCAGACTATTTTTTAATGTCATCTGTCAAATTTCAAGGTGTTAAAAAACAGGTGAATTTGTACAGCTCATATTTTATTTGCTAAATATTAACTTAATCATTTTAGTTCATTTAAGTGTTTAATATCTAACTTAATCAGTAGTTTAAATTGAAATGGACATTCAATAAAGTTTTCTTGTGTGTGATATTAACAGACTGTTTAACCTGAATTTTATCCTATTGTGACAAGCCAAATAAAAATCAACCATGAATGCTTCAGAGCACGGGTAATATTTTTCATTAAAAACTAATCCAGTTTTGTCATCTAATTTCCATTCATTTTAGATTTAATCCCGCCTTTAACATGGCTACAATTAAGCAAGTCGTTAATGAGGCTATCGAAAGAGGTATAGTTTCAAATTTTATTTGACAAAACTGCTTGTGTTATAATAATGCTTAATTTTCTAGTTCGAATGCCGACTCCGATGCGTTTACGTGATTTAATTCGACAAATTAGGGCTGCAAGAACTGCTGCAGAAGAAAGAAGTGTGGTAAATAAGGAATGTGCCTATATTCGATCTACCTTTCGAGAGGAGGATTCAGTATGGAGGTAAGTCGTTTAAAAACTGCTATTTTAATGGTACATAGTTAATTATATTATCTATGTAATCAGAACCTTAATATACCCTATGGTGTTGTTTTTGGTTTTAATTTTGTACAAATTTAGTCTATTTAGTCCACATTCCTTTGGGATTTCCACTACAAAATTATACCAGTAGTTTTCTGCATATTTTTTCCCTTATAGTTTTTACTTCTTCATCTTGCATTACATCTTAACATGTTGACTGCTGGTTTCATCCTACTATTCTGAGGTGGTAATTTTGAAGTTTTAGCACAAGTGTATTGAAGTAACTTACTTTTTATAATGTTTTAACTGATATTACATTTGTAAAATTATATATCACTTGTTGTTTTCATTTATATTATAATAAAATGTAATTTTTTGTCTGTTTTAACCTTTTAGAATCCTTTCACTATTAGGCATTCCAAGGACCTGTCCCAATGTCCCTGTGGACAAGTTGTTATTAACAGGGTCAATGATACCTATATAGTTATATAGATTGCTTAAAGCCGGTCATTTGCGAGCAGCCATATTGCCTGGCTAATTTAAATCAGTTTAGCAAAAATATCTATATAACTGTCTATATCATTGACCCTATCAAACCACCAGGCTTACAGTGTTGCCATATTATAACCTATTATGTGCCTGTCAGTGCACATTGTTGAAAAATAACATTCTCTTTGACAAAGTTATACATTGAGACTGAAACATTTTAAAAACTCACTTATATATAAAAATAACTAATGTTCTAATTATAGACAGTTACTTAAATCATATCTTTAACTATGAATTAATATACATATTCAACCTAAAAAATTATTTTAAAATTCACATCAAAATATTTTAGAAGGATTTATGGATGTTGACATTTTTCTATCATCATGAATATCAATTTTTTAATAAGATTATAAGTTGGTATAGGGAGATATTTATGTAAATGGTCATAAAAAATATCTCAATATCATTATTGTCACATGTAATAATAGTATTTCAAGAAAACAAAAATATATCAAACAAATATATTTAAATTAATTTTTGTAAGACTAAAATGAAACTGAATCCAAACTTTTTCATTTATTTAAAATGAACACAATTTACTTTTCAACAATATTATTATTATTATTTCCTTTATTTAGCTAGTTTGCTAATATCACAATATACAAATTTAGTAAAAATATACATATAAGTCAAAATATAGATAATTTAGATACATAATAGGTTTTTACTGTTTCTGGATAAATATTCATCAATTAAGAAATCTGTCACTTTGACTTTAAATGTAGTTGCAGACGTTACTGATTTAATTTTCTCTGGAAGTGCGTTATATTGATTTAGACCTTTAAAAAATAATGAATGTTGTGTTGCAGGCTTAACAACTGTTTCAATATAAAAGTTATTTCTGTTCCGTGTTGGATAATTGTGCACATTAGAGTGATAATTAAGCTTCTCTTTTAGGTACATTGGAAGTAACCCATGTTTGATTTTGTAAATAAAAATTAAAGAATTCTGTAATAAGAGACTTTTGATTGGCATCCACCTCAAAGTTTCAAGCATTAGATTAATGGAAGTATATTTTGAACAGGATAATATTCACATAGCCCTATTCTGCAGCTTCTGTAGTCGGTTCAACTCATTTTGATTTAGTAAAAAGAGTATTGTAAAGCAATAATTTAAGTATTATATATAATACATTTAGTCCACTGTGATAAGCCAAATAGGAAATTTAAATTAAATGCAATAGTTTTGATAACAGTGTTGGTATGATCTATGAATCTCATCTGCTTGTCAATCATTACCCCTAAGTATTTGAATTTTTCTACTAACTGTATAGAATTTCCTCCAATTGTTGTTATATTATTTATCAACAAACTGTGTATAGTTATAGTTGCTACTTATCAGCATACATTTTGTTTTATTTGTGTTAATGTTCAACAAATTATTGCAACACCATTTATAAACATGTTGCAGGGTTTCATTAACAACTCTTACCAAGTTATCTGAATCCTTACAAGAAAACTATATTAGGGCATCATTAGCAAACAGGTGAATGTCACATTAACTCTTGAAATCATCAATGTCATTGATATACACTAAAAACAACAGGGGACCCTGCAGAACACCTCTGATATAGTTAATTTCCTCTGACAAAATGTTATTTACTTTTAACTTTTTGTTTCCTCTTACTTAGATAATCCACACACCACTCCAATGCTTGCTCTACTATACCCATACTTTTCAATTTTTTTATCAATCATACTAGCAATCGATTGGATACTGTCTATGTAAAATTTATTAAGAGCATTTGGCATATCAAAATTATTTTTTATAATACCATTATTTTCTAGTTCAAGTTCAATTAAGTTATTCAACTTATTTTTTTTTTGGAATCAGACATTCAAGATATTTCCACATTTCCTTTGAATTTCCCCTACTTTCGTAATTATTTTTCTTTATGTGTTTACTTTTTCTGTTCTAATTACGTTAACGGCCCCATTTCTATGCATTCCAATTATTTTCTGCTTTTTCTTGTGAATAATTTTTATATGCAAGGTCTCTGTACCTTGTAGCTTTTACATTTTTAGCGCTACAAAATCTAATACATTTAAAATATTTATTACAAAATTATCATATTTTGCATTAATGTCATAAATATGATAGTTCCATGCTAATGTTGAAAGTTTGTTATTAATTAAATCAAAATTTAAGTCCTTACCGATTCTTTCAATTTCAAAAATAGATCGCCCATCACTATTTAATAGCACATTTGTTAAAAGCATAAAATGATCTGAAATTCTTGGTGTTTTGATAACCTCAGCTGAAACCGACTCATTATTTGTTATAACTAAATCTATTAGTGTACCTCCACCACTTCTATTTGGTCTTGTGCATTCTGTAACAATATTTTTTAATCCAGTATCAATCAAAATATCACTTAATTTCGCACTGTGATAGATACATTATCAAAAGGAGGAACAGTTAAATTATTTAAACCTGTCAAATCTATGGAACCCAAGTTACTATTATCAAAAGGAAGAGGAGTTAAACTATTTAAATCTGTCAAATCTATAGAGCACAAGTTACTATTATTAATAGGAAGAACAGTAAAATTATTTAAATCTGTCAAATCTATTTCTGCATTATTTGTGCTTTAATTAGTTATTTTTGATTATTCCTTAACGAATTTTAATTATTTAGCGTTTTAAGACTCAAAATCTCAACGTTTGAAGAATTTATATATCTGATTTCGCTCATCTTATAAGATTGTTTGAAGTCAAAAAGAGGAAGGGTATAATATTAATTATCTATTAAAAAGCCTGATTATGGGTTAAAAACTAATTAAATCATGAAGTAAAAATGCGTTATTGTTGTAAAATCAAAATATCTTTGACAATGTTAAACATTGAGACCGAAACATTTTAAAAACTTACTTAAATAAGAATATTTTACACTTTAATTTAGTTTTCAGGCATTTACTATACTATAACTTTAATATAACATACTTGTAACAGTTTTGTAATAACTATGATGATGTAAGACTTGTCATGTGATTATTTTTGTACAAATATTAATTATTTTACACTTATTTAGCGTTTTAAGATCTGAAACTACTAATTTAATAGTTTATTTAGCATTTTAACACTTAACATGAGTAGTTCAACGGTTTTCTTTTGATTCTTATCCATATTAATACAGTTGTTCTAATTTTGCAGTAAAAAGGGTTTTCAATTATTTAATTACATATCTTGAATGTCATTTAATACGTTTTTCTCTATTCTGTCTATTTTTGCACTAATTGTGCTTTAATTAACTATTTTTAAACGAATTTCAATTATTGAAGAATTGCTATATCTGTTCTAGCGCCTCTTCTAATAAGATCGTTTGAAGTCAAAAAGAGAAAGGTTGTAATATTAATTCAAACGAATCATAGTTTAAAGGCATTTTTATTCTGTACATGATGTTATTGGGTTGCCTAAGAAAAAATTAACACAACTTATGGTTGTCACGGTTTAAAAAAAAATCTGTTTTTGATGCGTGATGGAGAAGGAACAAATAAATGAATTGTCATTTGAAAATACGTCAGATAATGATCTATAAAATATTGCTTTCCAATTTTTTGTTAGACTATTACAAAAATACCAGCTTTAAACTGATAAGTTCGCGAGGATAAGTATCCCCATTAGTTAGTCAATAAAGCTAATTTTATTTTCTACAAAATGATAAGAAAAACTTGATCGTAATTATGATTGCAGCGGTTTGAAAAATACATGTTTGATACGTAACAGAAGGGGCAAGTGAATGAAGTATAAAAAACCTTGCTTGTTCCTATTACCATAATATTAGCATTAAATTATAAGTTGGTATACTTACCTCCACTAGTTATTCAAATGAATTATAGCTTAAATTAAAGCTAATTTAATTATCTACAAGATGCTATTAGGTTGCCTAAGAAAAACTGTACCCCACTTATGGTTGCCGCGGTTTTTATAGAATAACATCCAATTTCTGTTAAATATTTTAAAGCTTTTTTTAGGGGAGCGTTAAATAGCGTATAAATTTATGTTTTTAGGTGTCGAAATATCGCAAAATTGTTGTACATTCACATGCTAGGATATCCCGCACATTTTGGCCAATTGGAATGTTTAAAATTAATAGCAAGTACCAGATTTACCGATAAAAGAATCGGTTACTTGGGAGCCATGTTACTTTTGGATGAACGTCAAGATGTACATTTGTTGATAACAAATTGTCTTAAAACGTAAGTAAATTTCATTTTAATATTTGACTAAATATTATAGAAATGTACTAATGAATATATTTAAAAATAACACCAAGGTAAAAAATATGTATACACTTCAATTGTTTTAATAATGCATTATCAATTATTTACTATTAACTCATGGTTACTTGTATAAATTATTTATCTTCTATTCTGTGATTTGAATTTAATTGCTGACGTTTATGGTTGAATAGCAATTGATTGATTTTAAATTCTTACACGTGCTATTTACTTACATTTATTTAGAGTCGAGGTTTTTTGAAATTACATTATTAGTTTATCTACATTTTTTTATTTAATTTCTTTGTATGTTCTATTAAATCAAAAAAAATATACTTGTAGGTAAATTTATATCTTCTGAATTTCATTTTATTAAGATTTTTATTGTCTTACTTTCTAAATCATTTATACATCTTCATTTAATGTTATGGTTATTATAAAATCCTCAAAAGGTTTTTTTAACCCATATTTCAACTGATTCAACAATTATCTATTAATTATTGGCCATATTATTTCTAGTAAGACATTTTTTAAAATAGAATGTCTAGTACTAACTGTTCAAACTCTAATGTTTTTATCATTCATTTTTACTGCAAGCTATTGAAAGTTATTGCATTATTTAAAAATTAATTAAGTTTTATCAGCACCCCAGTAGATTATTCTGATAGTTATTTAGCTTTACCATTTATTTTTTACCTCATTTCCATTACAAATATAAATAGTTGGCTACTTATATGTATTCATTCATAAAATAATGCATATATTTAATTATTTATTTATTTAAACACAGTGAAAGTATGAACTTGTTTTTACTATAAGGTGGACATTAAAAAATCCCTAACTACTCATAACAAAAATGTAGTACCTAAACATAATTTAAAATCAATAAGGAACTCGCCTTCAAAGAGCTAAAAAAAATTCTTGTCTGGCGCCCTCAATCTGCACTTATCTCGGGCGCCAGTTTTATTTAGGCGGTTTGCGTCAAAATTACTTTAGTAGTACCAGATGGAGATATGAATATTACAGGGGTCATAACGTTCTTGATTTAGATTTAATAAAGTAAAAATAACAGGTTATAAAAAATTGTGTCAATTGATTTGTTATTTTTGTAACAAATATTTTTCTCTTTCTACGCTCCTTACTTAATTATATAATTGTTTTAGCGATCTAAATTCTAATACCCAATTCGTCGTGGGCTTGGCGTTGTGCACTTTAGGCGCAATTGCGTCACCGGAAATGGCCAGGGATTTGGCGGGCGAAATAGAGAGGTTAATGAAATCCCCCAACGCTTATATTCGTAAAAAAGCGGCGTTATGTGCATTCAGAATCATCAAACGGGTACCTGACTTAATGGAAATATTTTTACCAGCTACCAGGAGTTTACTTTCTGAAAAAAATCATGGTAATTATCTTTTTTTGGGGGGTTTAATAGTTAAACACGTTTTCTAGTAATTTTTAAGCACATAGTTGTTAAAATTTACGTTTCTAGGTGTACTTATTACTGGAGTGACGCTAATAACTGAGATGTGTGAAAATAGTCCAGACACATTAAATCACTTCAAGAAAGTAAGTATAACAAGTAATAAACTTCCTTTTCGCTGGTTTAAGAGTTATTGCTGCGTCCTTAATAACTAATTTCTCCGGTTTTATACCCTACCCTCAAATTTTAATAATCCGTCATTCTCCTATCCCAGAAAATGCTAACTCTTTAATATTTTTTTATTTGCAGGTATTTTTATGACTAATTTTGTTAGTATTGCCATTTTTTAACCGTTCATTTCTTTTGCCTAACCCTGTATGTTTAGTTAAACTTCCCTGCTCTGTACAAGAAGATATCAGACTCACAGAGCGTGTCAACATATAATATTTATTTATTTTAATAACAAAAACTCCTTGCGCGAATTTGAATTCTTAATTGTCATAAGATCGCTTGAAGTCAAAAAGAGAAAAGTAATATATCTTGAAATTGGAAACAATGAAACATTATTTAACGTTGACCACGCCAATAATTATTTAATTCTCAATCACTAATTTCTCCTATTTTATACCCTACCCTCAAATTTTGATAATCTATCATTCTCCTATCCTAAAAAATGCTAACGCTTTAATATTTTTATTTGCAGGTGTTTTTATGACTAATTTTGTTAGTATTGTTATTTTTTTAACCGATCATTTCTTTTGCCTAACCCTATATGTTTAATTAAACTACCTACTCTGTACAAGAAGATATCAGACTGTGTTCTCATATAAAATTCAGTTATTTTAAATGCAAAAACTCCCTGCACGAATTTGAAATCTTAATTGTGAGATCGCTTGAAGTCAAAAAGAGAAAGGGTGAAATATATCTTAATTCTCATTTAATATTATTTATTTCATTCTAAATTGAATGTTTTTATCTTTGTATCTTTTTGAGATCTAACATTATTTTTTTTTGGTAAATATGTTATTCACATTTATTTTAAATCGGACATGCTTTCGCACATGTGTTCATAAAGCATCACACCGCTGTTGGCGTTAATTTGTCCTCCAATTTTACATGAATTTAAAATCTTAACTGTAGACAATTTATCTTATCTCGCGTTTCTTCTTATAAGGTCGTTTGAAGTCAAAAAAAGAAATGTTGTAATATCATTTTTTTTTTAGAAAATTTAATTTTCATAAGATCGTTTGAATTCAAAAAGAGAAAGGATGTAACTTTTAATATACTTTAAATTTTATTTTTTTTTCACGATAAACTGGTTCTACTTGTTTTTTGTACATAAAAAAATATATTTTTCGATTAAGCCTTTCGCACATGTGTTAATAAAGTATTACACCACTGTTGGCGTTAATTTGTCCTCCAATAACATTTGGTCGTTTTAGAAGCTCAAAAACTCAACTTTACACAAATTTAAAATCTTAACTGTTGAAGAATTTATCTTATCTCGCTTTTCTTCTTATAAGATCGTTTGAAGTAAAAAAGAGAAATTGTGTAATATTCTCTATTAATTTTTTTTTAGAAAATTTAATTCTCATAAGATCGTTTGAATTCAAAAAGAGAAAGGATGTAACTTTTAATAAACGTCAAATTTTATTTATTTTTTCACGATAAGCTGGTTCCACTTGTTTTTGTACATAAAAAAATCTATTTTTAGATTATGCCTTTCGCACGTGTGATAATAAAGTATCACACCACTGTTGGCGTTAATTTGTTCTCTAATAACATTGGGTAATTTTAGAAGCCCAAAAACTCAACTTTACACGAATTTAAAATCTTAACTTTAGAAGAATTTATCTTATCTCGCTTTTTTTCTTATAAGGTCGTTTGAACTCAACAAGAGAAAGGATGTAACTTTTAATAAACTTTAAAATTATTCTTTATACATAAAAAAATCTATTTTTAGATTGTGCCAAACCTAGTAAGAATATTAAAGAATCTGATTCTTGCTGGTTATTCACCAGAACACGATGTATCAGGTGTCAGCGATCCATTTTTACAGGTAAATTTTATAATAAATTCGAGAGAAGTATATTTTTTTAAATTTGACAAATTCTTTAGGTGAAAATATTGAAACTTTTACGAGTACTCGGTATCAATGATGTCGACGCCTCCGAAGCTATGAACGACATTTTAGCTCAGGTCGCAACTAATACGGAAACGAGCAAAAACGTTGGTAACACGATTTTATATGAGACAGTTTTGTCAATTATGGATATTAAATCGGAAGGTGGTTTACGCGTAAGTATCAATTTTTTAATCCTTAACAAAATTGTTTTACTATTGTACGACCTAAATTTAGATAAAAACGTGATATAAGATTTCAATTGTACTTACAAATAACGCAGTGAATCTGCATTTATCCCGGGCGTCAGTTTTTTATGTGGTTTGCGACAGAAGAATTCAGGTAGCACCGGATGGAGATAGAAATTTTGCGGTAAAATAGGGTATTTAATACTTTTTTTAGTATTTTTTTTGAGTAGAATTACGTGTTTGTTTTAGTTTTTTGCACTATTTGTATTGTTTTAATTAGGTAATTTGTTATTTTAAAAGCAAAAACTCAACCTTATACAATTTTTTTGAATTTAATTTTCATAATGTCGATTGAAGTCAAGAAGAGAAAAGATGTAACATTAATTCTATATTATATATATTATTTCCTTTTTTATAGAAAATTTATTAAACTTAAAATTTTGTTTTTTGTTTGTTTCTACATAAAAAAATGTGTGTGTCAGGTCTTGAACCTAATACATACCTATAATTCATACAAAATTTCTTGATATTGTCACCGGAGCAATAACTGTTCTTTAATTAGGTAATTTGTTATTTTAAAAGCAAAAACTCAATTTCCACGAATTATAAAATCTTAATTATTAAGTAATTCATATATCTCATCTAGTTCTTATTCTCATAAGATCGTTTGAAATCAAAAAGAGAAAGGATGTAATATTAATTCTCTATTAAACATTCTTTTTTTTTTTTTTTTTTTTTTAGAAAATTTAATAAGCTTAAAATTTGGTTCACTTGCTCTCTTTTTACATAAAAAATTGTGTGTGCCAGAAATTAAACCGAATGCCTATAATTCATACAATATTTCTTAATATTTATCAGTTTATTTAGCGTTTTAACACTGAAAACGACCAGTTTAACGTTTTTCTACGGATTCTTGTCTATTTTATAATAATTATTCTAGCTTTAGGGTAAAATAGGGTTTTAATACCTTCAAAACGTTTTCTAGTATTTTTTAAGGAGAATGATGTGTTTGTAATGACATTTAATATGTTTTGGTTGTTTTTTTCTCTATTTCGGATTCGAGTAGTTCAAAGATTTATTTAGCTTATACACCATACTGTTCATAAGACTGGACAATACAATCCATTAGACTGGACCATAGTATCCACAAGGTTTCACCTTACTGTCCACAAACGGCGCCATATTATTTACAAGACTGAACCATACTCTTCACAAACTGCACCCTACTCTCCACAAGACTGGGCCATATTATCCATAAGACGACTATACTGTCCACAAGACTGAACCATACTGTCCACAATCTGGGCCATACTGTCCACAAGACTGGACCATACTGTCTACAAGACTGGATTATACTGTACACAAGAATGGACCATACTGTCCACAAGCCTGGGTCATACTATCCACAAGACTGGTATACTGTCTACAAGACTGGTATACTGTCTACAAGACTGGTATACTGTCTACAAGACTGGTATACTGTCTACAAGACTGGTATACTGTCTACAAGACTGGTATACTGTCTACAAGACTGGATTATACTGTCTACAAGACTGGATTTTACTGTCCACAAGACTGGACCATACTGTCCACAAGACTGAGTCATACTATCTACAAGACGACCATACTGTCTACAAGACTGGACCATACTGTCCACAAAACTGGACCATACTGTTCACAAAACTGGACCATACTGTTCACAAGACTGGACCATACAATTCATAAGACTGGGTCATACTATTTCAAGTATTTTTTAAGGGGAACTACGTGTTTACATTTAACACATTTTAGTTATTTATTTCTCGAATTTTCGCTATTTTGGCCCCTTCTTTTAGGTTCTCGCTGTGAACATTCTCGGTAGATTCCTCCTAAACAACGACAAAAACATAAGATACGTCGCTTTAAACACCCTATTAAGAACTGTTCACGTCGACACTTCGGCTGTACAGCGACATAGAACGACAATCTTGGAATGCTTGAAGGACCCAGACGTTTCGATAAGACGCAGAGCCATGGAACTATCGTTCGCTTTGGTAAATTCTCAAAATATCAGAACAATGATGAAGGAACTGTTGGCTTTCCTGGAGAAGACCGATGCGGAATTCAAGGCGCAATGCTCTAGTTCGATAGTTTTATCGGCCGAAAGGTACTCGCCGAACAAGAGATGGCACTTGGATACGTTGCTCAAGGTTTTAGTGGCGGTAAGTAAATATTAATAAAAATGCTTTGTATTTTTAATATTTATTAATTTCATTAATTTCAGGCCGGTAATTACGTCAGAGATGACGTAATAAGTTCCACAATCCAACTTATATCCGAAAGCATTAGTCAACAAGGGTACGTTACATTACAACTATTCAAGGCTCTGTCCGAAGATCATCAAAATCGACAACCCTTAACTCAGGTAGCCGTATGGTCGATAGGGGAATTCGGAGATCTCCTATTACAAGCCACGCCAGATGAAGAGAATGGAGTATTTCCACCAACTGAAGAGCAAGTGATTGAACTGTATCAAAAGCTCTTGTGGTCCCCTCAGAATTCAGTAACAACCAAACAATATACCCTCATGAGTCTGACAAAGTTGAGTACAAGATTTAACAGTACCAACAAGTAAGTACATGTAAAGTGTGGTGAAAAAGTATATTGGTTAAATTTTCCGATTCTAGTAAAATCCAACAAATCATCAGTTCATTCTGTTCGAGTCTACACGTGGAATTACAGCAAAGAGGCGTGGAATATTCGCAGTTATTTGGTAAATATTCTCATTTGAGGCCGCCGTTGTTAGAAAGGATGCCGCCAATGGAACTAACTAGATCACAATCGGATCACCATACCAACGGCGATATCAGCGATTCCGAACCAAGATCTGTCGAGGATAGTCCACAACATACTGTAAATAGTGAATCTGTAAGTCAATTTTTAATTACATATAATTATATAATTGTGGTTATTACAAAGTAATGAGTACAGTAAGAAATTATCATTTGCCTGCAACAAAAATTTAGCCATTAAGTATAATTAGGTTTATTTAAGCTTAATTAACTTTAATTTAAGCAAGTTTAAGTTTAGATATTTTAATTAAGTTTAAAAAAGGTTTAATTACAAAAATTAAATTATGTTCAAGCAAGTTTAATTAAGTTTAAACAAGTTTAATTAAGTTGAAGCAAGTTTAGTCTAGTTTAAACAAACTTATTAAATTTTAATCAAGTTTGAGAAAGTTCAAGCAGTTTAACCAAGAGTAATTAAGTTTAATCAATTTTAATCAAGTTGTATAATAATGACGGTGATTTTTACCTTTTTATTTAACACACATTAACATTATGAATATTATCAATTTTTTTTAGCAATACTTCCGTTTGGTGTTTAATTAAGTTTGAGTTTAATTAAGTATAATTAGGTTTAATTAAATGATTAAGTTTAATTAAATGATTAAGTTTAATTAAGTTGAAGTTTAATTAAGTTTAAGTTTAATTAAGCGTAATTAAGGTTAATCAAGTTGTATAATAACGAAGACAGTGATTTTTATCTTTTTATTTAACACACATTAACAACATAAAGAATATCTAAATATACTACATCAACATTGACAATTTTTTTGTTAGAAATAGTTCTGTTAGTTTCATGAGTCTCAATATATTTGATTTCAAATCTTGTGAATTAATTTTGGCTGATCGTGCACCACGCTTGTAAACACAAGTTTAATAAAGTTTAATTAAAATTAATCAAGTTTAATCGACTTTAATTAAGTTCAAGGAAAGGAAAAACTCTTAAGTCTTGATCGTAATTTTTCTTAATTATTATTGAAAACAGGGGAAGCGACTAGTTGTAGTCAGTGACCATCATCAGGGAGTATGTTGATGAAATTTAATTTGATTGTAAGTGAACAATTTATGGGTTAATGATACACAAGAATTCAAAATTTACAAATTGAAATGTGATAAGACCATTAGAATACTAACTTAGTACTACTTAAAGAGCTGATGGAGACTACAACAATATTTAAAGTATTTAATTTAAGATATGAATAACCTTCTTATTCTTAATTAAGTTCAGTCAAGTCTAATCAAGTTTAATAAAGTTTAGTCAAGTTTAAACAAAATTAATCATATTTAATTAAGTTTAATAAAGTTAATTTGAGGGTAATCAAGTTTAATTAAGATTCTTTAACTTCAGTTAAGAAAAATAGTCGAAAATTAATATGCTTTTAATAGTATATGCTAAGAGTTTTATCAAAATTAATCAAACTTAATAAAGTTTAATCGAGGCTAATCAAGTTTAATTAAGTTTCGTTAACTTCAATAAAAAAATAGTCGAAAATACATTTAATTTTAGTGGTATATGCTAAAAGTTTATTTGGTTATAATTATTTTAGAATGCCTTATTGGACTTATTAGGAGGGGCGGATAGTATTGCCGATTTGGACATAATTAAAACTAGTTCCCAGCCGATCCAGCCTATATCCAATTCGAATAACCAAGATCTGTTGGATCTTTTGGGCCTCGGTCCTATTTCTTCGACGCCTATGACGGATATGGGCGGTAACATGGGACTCATCATGGAGAACAACAATAGCGATGTTTTAATTAGTAGTAGTAATCAGAATTCGAATTTCCTGTCCGGAGATTTATTCAGTAATATCAGTAATGGTAAGTCAGTTTTTTTATCTTCACTTTATTACTTTTAAAATTTTTATAAGTAACTGAGTAACCATTTGGGTAGAGGTTTGTAAACAAAATAACTATAGGAATTCAAATCAATACATTACTTTGTATAGTTTATATTTTATTGAGTTTTTTTCTTCTTTTGGAAATATTTAGTTCCTAAGATTGTTTTCAAAACATCTTTTAAAATCTATATTAAAAAGTTCTACAATGGTAAAATTATATTCTCCACTATAATTCTGTTGGTAGAGTATTGAACAATCTCTAGAGAGTCCAGAATAATTTTATTACTTAACAATTATTTATTTATACTTCTTTAAAAAATAAACAAATATAGATTGATTCTGGTGTAGGGTTGTTTGAAATGTAGAGTAGTTCTTTTGTCTCATTAAATATTAGTGTTTTTTTTTTTAATAAATATTCTTTTGCGTTTACAGAAAGGAATGTGCCTACACTAACTGCCTACAATAGGGACGGATTAAAAATTGTATTTTCTTTAATCAGAATACCGGAAAATAACACTTTGTCCATAAATGTGACCACAACAAATTGTACCTTATCAACTATGACTGATTATATATTCCAAGTAGCTGTTCCTAGGGTAAGCTTTCATTTACTTTTATTACTCTATCATTTATAATTTTTTAAATATTTTTATATATTTATTTTTATGTACCCTAGTGGAAAAAATTTAGGGATCAAAAAAAGAACTCGATTTTTTGCGATTTTTCGAGTGGCTGTATCTTTGGTAAAAATGGTCATAGGTGAATAAAAAAAAAGCATTTTGAAGCTTGATGTGTCTAGTTTATGGATCTTGTGATAAAAAAAATTTCCAATTAACAATTAGCACAAAATCCTGATGAATATCATGGATAGAAAAACGCGATCCTTCAATTTCTTCAAAAATTCACTCGCTTCAGGATTTTGTGCTAATTGTTGGTTTGAATTTTTTTTCATCGTAAGATCCATAAACTAGACACTTCAACCTTCAAATTGCTTTTTTTTTCATTCACGTACGACCATTTTTACCAAAGATATAGCCACTCAAAAAATCGCAAAAATCGAGATTTTTTTGACCCCTTAATTTTTTCCACTAGTGTATTTTTATATATTTTATTAATATATTTTTTTCGGTTAACATTTATATATTTTTTTTGCAAATTGTAGAATTATAAAATTGATTTTAATTCAAAAAGAAAAGTTTTGCTTATTGTTATTAATAGCACTTTTATTTATTAGACATTCCAGTTGCAAATGCTGTCACCTTCAGGAACTGTTTTAGCGCCTAATGCTAATGTCACGCAAGATTTGAGGGTGACTAATCCTAATAAGGTGAGTAACTATATTAATCCTACGACGTTCAAAATGAAACGTTTAGCATTTTAATTTTAATATACTACATAGAAAAATGAATAGAATTTCCAAAAAGTTGATTTTGTCTCTTTCTAGAAATTTTTTGACATATCATTGTATAAATATTATTAGTTTGTTATTTCTTTAGTAAAAATCAAAATTTACATATGAAAATGCAGAGTTGTATTTTATTATTTTGATTTATCTGTTAAGAAACGATAAAAAAGGGAGTTTTTTTTTTTATTTGGTGTCATCGGCGTCGACTACTATGACCATTAGCCTCGTGTTCTGTGTAGGCTTTTTTACTTTTTCATAGCGCCACTTTAGGAACTGCACTGTTAATTAGAACCCAACAGTGAATGGTCGAGTGGGGAATCCTACCAAGGCATCAGAATAATTTTAAATAATTAAATTAAATGAAAAAATCCCGGCCAACGGTGGGATTCGATCCTGAGACCTTCCGATCTCAAAGTCATGACTCTAACCACTGAGCCAACCCACCCCCATAAAAAAGGGAGTTAATAAAATAAGCGTTTCTGAAGTGAAACACTTCATAAATAAAAATAAACAAGAATAAATAAATAAGAATAATTAATTATAAATAAAAATAAATAAGAATAAGAATAAATAAGAATTAATAAGAATAAATAAATGAATAAAAATGTATAAAGGTGAATAAAAACGAAGATCGAAGAAAAACAAATAAAAACTAATAGAAACGAATAAAAAGTATGAAACGAATAAAAATGGAGAAAACCAATAGAAATTAATGAAAACGAATAGAAACTAATAAAAACGAAACGAGTAAGAAGTATGGAAACGAATAAAAATAAATAAAAACGAATAAAAGGAATAAAAACCAACAAAAACGAATAAAAGCGAATAAATACGAATAAACGAATAAAAATAAATAAAAACAAATAAAACGAATAAAAATAAATAAAAACAAATAAAACTAATAAACACGAATTAAAATAAATAAAAAAAATGAAAACTGAATAAAAATGAATAATACTTAATAAAACAAAATAAAACTGAATAAAGCAATAAAACCAATTAGAACTGAATAAAACTAAAACTGAATAAAACTAAAACGTATAAAAACTATTAAATACGAATAAGCCTTAGTTTTCATCAATTTTAATCAGTTTATATAAAATTTGGTAACATCTGATAGAAACAAACTTATAAAAACCTATAAAAACTTATATAGAAACTTATATAGAAACTTATATAGAAACTTATATAGAAACTTATATAGAAACTTATATAGAAACTTATATAGAAACTTATATAGAAACTTATATAGAAACTTATATAGAAACTTATATAGAAACTTATATAGAAACTTATATAGAAACTTATATAGAAACTTATATAGAAACTTATATAGAAACTTATATAGAAACTTATATAGAAACTTATATAGAAACTTATATAGAAACTTATATAGAAACTTATATAGAAACTTAACTTATATAGAAACTTAACTTATATAGAAACTTATATAGAAACTTATAAAGAAACTTATATAGAAACTTATATAGAAATTTATATAGAAACTTATATAGAAACTTATAGAAACTTCTTATAGAAACTTATAGAAACTAAGAACTTTTAAGAACTTAACTTATAAAACCTTTTTTGCCTACCATATTATGTGAAAATGAATCATATCAACCCTAAAAATATGACCGAAAGTAACGTATATCATCCCATGGACTGCTAAACTCATAACAGTCCGATTTTGTAGTTTTTAACTAGATATCTAGATACCTTTGACTGTCACTTGCGTACTTTGACGTTTCACATAAATATTAATTACTACAATAAATTCGTACATTTTACTACTTAAGTTTCTTGTATTTGTAAAATTAAATTTTCGTTATATTTTCCTTTTTTTTGTTTCTTTTGGTAGGCGAAAAACAATTGTGTGTCACACATGCAGAAAACGCTTTAGCAGCCCTTAGCTATTGGCTGCCTCGCTTCGCTTCGCTCGCTCATGCAGCTAATAGCCGTGGGCTGCTAAAGCTCATTTTCTGCCCTTGTGACACAATATACTACATAAAAACACTAACTTATAAAAACTTATAAACCTATAAAAAACCTAAACTTAAAAATCAGTAATAAAATAATTGAGTGAAACTCTTGACATAAAAAATATGAGAAGGGAATTGATAAAAACGACCTGTCCCGACATATGTACAACTTAGTTTTTACTTGAAATGCCATTATGTTTCACTTCTATCGTGCGTTCAATAACTCTCTTTTTTTTTTACTTATAGAATCCATTGAAAATGAAAGTGCGGCTTTCTTATCTAATCGACGGCAATCCCGTCCAGGATCAAGTAGAGGTAAACAATTTCCCAGCCGATATTTGGGATTGACGGAGAGTATGCGGATGAAGGAGCAATCTTAGGGTTATTCCCGCCTTGTTGAATATTTATGTTGGTATGAAAATTCTAGGTCTATTTTTACTATAGACTTTGGTATACATGGTGAATCGAAATATTACAGCCATCTATTTTGTCGCGTGTAGATTGATTTGTGTAAATACGAGTTTAAGAAAAATTAAATTTTTTTAATAGATCTTCAAATTATTAAAAAAAAATTAAAAAAGAAACTATATTAGCTTTGTTCGCGGTAACAATCCTGAACTGATTCAGAATTACTAATTCATACTTTGAGTGCATGCCCGATTCATTATCATTTCTGAATTTTTACCGCGCGCGCAATCCCTATTATATCTCAATGTTTCAGGTATAGAGAGGCGGTTTAAAACCAATAATAATTTTACCGCGAACACAGGATAGAACCAATAGTTCAGTTTTTTTGTTCTGCGAACGCTTTTTAACTACTGCGCCTGCGAAATCGTTACTGTTAGTAATAATTCGGTTCAGGATTCTTACCACGAACAAAGCTATAGTTTTAAGGTATTTATTTTGAAAATTTTTGGCGCCCAACGTGGGGCCGGCGTTGAATTAATATAGATAAAATGTTTGTTTCACCTTGTATACCTCAAATATAGTTTATACAAAACAAATCGATGCACATCATCGATAGCGTATTAAATTTTAGGCTATAACAGATGATAATTATTATTTTTTTTTGCTCTTTTTCTGTGGAGTTTGGAGTCGTTTGTGAAATTTGTTTCGTTGTAATTGACAACTTTTATAACTTGCGACAAATTGTCAAAGTAATTATTAATCGTTTTATGATCAATCATGGCTCTAATTAGTTTTATTGACTGAGACATTCTTGTTAACAGTTCATCTTTATCTGGTTTTAGTATCTTTTTAATCCAGTTCTTACCAGGACGGTTATTTTTGTTTTTAATACAGTTTTTTGATCTTAATTGGAACCTCAAATCGCAATATTTTACTTGTGGGTATAATTAACATAGATTAAATACGTCATCGATGATTTGTATCGATTCTTGTTATGTTTAAACTATACATAAGATTCTTTTTTTATTGATTAGATTTAATTATTTTTTAGTGAGACTACAGACACTTGTAAATAGTTTTAACAATTGAGTACTTAACGAGCGAATCTTTATTAATATTTTTGCCCCATTGTTAAATTTATACATAATATTGAATCGGAATAATTTTCGGGTCTTTTTTTTATTTTGTTAACATTAAAATATTATTTATTTACCATACAATTGTTCGAGATTGTTTAAATGTTATTAGTATACGTAAAACAATTTAAATAAAATTAAGTCTACAAGAAGAAACAATCTATTTAGAATGCTGAGAATTTTCAAAAAAAAAGGCGGTTAACTGTTTATTTATTGAGTACTAAAAATTTACTAGTAAAAAAATTAAAAGTTCGAAATATCTAAACAAACTATTCTTGCCGAAATTAAATAATGATATGTTTTGATTAATTAATAATTAGGAATAATGAATAATTATTGATGACTATTCATGTTATTGATGATTGTTGATGATTATTGATGAATATTGTTGATTATGATTATTGATGATTGTTAAGGATTATTGATAATTGTTAATTATTATTAATGATCATCAATGATTATTGATAATTGTTGATGATTAATAATGGTTATTGATGATTAATGATGATTATTAATTACTAATGATTGATGATGATTGATTTTTGATTATTTATGGGCATTTATGATTATTGATGATTATTAATAATTATTTATGATTATTTATGATTATTTATGAATATTGTTGATTTTTGATTGATGATTGATTATTGATAATTTATTATTGATGATTATTAATGATTATTGATAATTAATAATGATTAATGATTATTGATTATTATTAATGTTTAGTGATGATTATTTATTAATTTTTTATGATAATTGTTTATTGATGATTGAATATTATTCACGATTGATTATTGACGATTGATTATCGATGATTATTGATTATTGATTATAAAGAACCAAAAGAGATTAATTATAATTTATCTACAAGTAAATTTATTAGTACTCCGATAATGTGTAGATTAAAATACATTATTTAAAGATCTCAAGTACTTTTTTAACTAGAGACAACCTGCGAGTGTTAACCGTTGTTGTTCGGTAAATTCTAGGCGAATAACCTTTCTGAACATGTGATCTTTTTTATAGTCTGGTATTTTGTTTGGTCTTTAATTTAAGGCTTGATTTATACCCTGTTATTTGCGTCCATAATATTAATTAGGCCAATAAATTGTAAATATTATTAAAGGAGCGTTTTATTTATTGTCATTGTATTGAATATGCCTTATACAATGAAGTTTCTCTTAAATATGTCAATGATTTTCTTTTTTTTTTATCAATATCTTCGGTGTCTTACGAAGCTGTTTGGAATGCAAGAAAACCATGTTAAAATACTGACCGTAATTTAATTAACTTAAGAAGAGCTGTGTAAACACTGGGTAAGTTTTTTTGTTTAATTTAAATAGTATAAATACTTTTAGTTGAATGTCTCTGCAATGTCCATGTGTTTAAAATTTTAAAATGAAATTAAAGTCTGCAATGTTTTTCTTGTGGCCCTTTTGGACTTAAAGCTACTCGTTGGCTCATGTTTATCGAATTTAACTCTATTTAGAATATAGGTTATTATTGTGCCATGTTTCGACATCATTTTTAAATATTTGAGCATTTATTAATGGGAGCATAAATTTGTAAACGAATCTATAGCGAACGCATGCGACTTGCTGTCAGATGTCAGGTCATCCGTCATCACTGTCAACTGCTAAACTTTTTTTTTTATTACAAGTTTAAAAATCAAACGTAACGTTAGTATTCAGTGTTGCTACAGAGAATAGAAAAATATATTATAAAGCTTGAAAATAGTAGCAAACCTAATCTTAAAATAGTTTTAGTATGTTTTGGAGCGTTTTTTCCACATTACCTATCTCTAGAGTTGCTACCTGTTCTTTTTTTCAAGGAAAATGTCCTTACGAGTTTTCAAAGTTTAAAATGTCATTTTTTACAGCAGATGTACTTGTCCTGGCTTGTACAAATATATACAAGCTAAGTTTTTTTTTTTTAGAAGCTTTATAGAAGGATAAGGACTTATTTTGTTATGCACACTCGTCGTATTTTTTTTTTTAGCAATTCAGTAGAAGGATGAGGACCTTTTGTATAGCGGATCCCCTATCAGCATCATAGTCGTTTATTCGCTTTTCAAAAAGGTGGCAACTCTACCTACCTCCAACACAATAATGCTTTTGAAAATACGGTACAATTCACTTTTTCCGTTTTCAAACCTTTAACAGTCAACATGTCTCTAGGTCGTCACACATCTATCACTATACACTCATTTCAATTTTAAACTTCGACACGAAAGAATGCCTCTGATTTATTATATTTCGCTATCGCTAAAAACACTCTTTTCAATTTAGAACTTACCAAGAAAAATAGGAAATTTTTTGATAAAAGTAAAAGTTCTTGGGCATACTGTTAAAGAATTATTAACAGACAATGGTAGCGAATTTAATAATCAAGAAATGAAGAAAATCATAGGTGCAGTAGGGTTACAACATCGTACAACTATGCCGTATATGCCAGAACAAAATGGGGCTACAGAGCGAGAAAATCGCCCGCTGGTAGAGTCTGCAAGAACTATGCTCCATAGTAGGAATTTACCTGAATTCTTGTGGACCGAAGCCGTCAATATGGCAGCATATATCTTGAACCATAGTGGTACCACTCCAGTTAGTAATAAAACTCCAATTGAACTCTGGCGTGGTGTAACTCGCATCATTTTAAAATATTTAGCACTGAATGCTTTGTTCATGTTCCTAAACCAAAAAGACGGAAATGGGATAGAAAAAGCATGAAAGGGTACCTCGTATAATATTGTGGCGAAAAAGATGGCTACAGAATTTGGATTCCAGAAAAGAAAGATATCATACTAAGTAGGGACGTTGTATTCAAAGAAAAAACGATAAAAGAAAATTTCTATGTTCTTGACACTAATTTACCAGAAGAAACTGAAAACGTTCCTAGTACATCCGAAAATAATAGATACAATGAGGCAGAACAGAAAAAATAGAGATATTTTCTGAGATCCAGAACGAAATTAACCCTGCCTACGGATATTGATGCTTTGGCGATGTTAGTTGAAGGTACTGCTTCTATCACAGTGGAAACGTGACCAGGTACAAAGCACGTTTGGTCATAAAGGGTTTTTGCCAAAAACCTGGGATTGATTTTGAAGAAATGTTTGCATCAGTTCTTTGCTTTGACACGATTAGAACTGTTCTAGCTAGCTAGAAAAATTATTAATGAAGTAATTTGTTATAAAAACACCTTTCCTATATGGCTTCCTTGAAGAAGAGATTTACATGAAACAACCTCTAGGTTATGAAGACGATACTGGTCGAGTTTGTAAATTAAAGCCTGTATGGTCTAAAGCAAGCTCCACTTTGTTGGAATATACGCTTGATCGATTTCCTACGAAAACAAAGTACATCTGATTCATGTTTATTCGCCTGAAAAGTTCCAAAATTGCTCTTAGTATTTTACGTAGATATTTATAACTTCAAGAAAGAATTAGAGTTAGAATTTAAAATGACGTTTTTAGGTATGCAGATTATTCAAAAAGAATAAGGAATCTTTATTCGCCAAGAGCGATACATTAATCGTGTACTGGATGAGTACAATATGTCTGAGTATTTTCCTCTAAAAATTCCTATGGAAAAGAGTTATATTTTAGATGATACTGGTAGCACACCGATTGCAGAAACTGTTCCTTCTAGGTCTGCCGTAGGTAGTTTAATGTACTTAGCAGTTGTTACCAGGCCTGACATCACGTTTGCTGTAAATTGTATTTCACAATCTGTAGAATCTCCACTAAAACAAGATTGGGTGCTAAAAAAAATATGAAGTATTTAAAAGGTACATCAAAATTTGGAATTTCAAAAGACCTATTAAATGTATATAGCAATGCAGATTATGGAGGGGATATAAAGATAAGGTTTACATCAGGTGTAGTCTGTAAATTTGGAGATGGAATTATTACATGGTTAAGCCAGAAACAGAGGTCAGTAAGTTTATCATGACGAAACCACTATCAAGAGCTAGGTTTGAGAAATTAAGAAATTCTCTTGGTTTAAGAATTTCGGAGTGTCGAAAAAATAAACACGAACCCCTTATCGTTATTCGACATTATTTTTTTTTTATTGACATTGTATTTTTAATTTTTAACTGATGTCACTTTTTGAATAATAAAACCTTTTAATTCAAGTTGCAGACCATTATTCATTCAGTCCACTACATCTTCACGCTGGCATACGCTCGCGTTCAGATCTTCTACTCGTATCGAATTTTTATTCTAACCTCTACAGAATATACTATTATGTTTTACACTTAGACTATGCTGTAAAATACAAGAAGATAAAAAACTATAAATAATGCACCATTTTTAAAGAACTCGTTTGCGAGTTTTGCACTCGACCAATGTACCCTCCCATCACAGAATCAAAAGAGAAAATTATTTTGATTGTTTTGAGGAAGTTTTCATTATCATATTCAAAAAGTATTTTAGAAGAACCTTGAAAGGCAGACATTATTTGGATAACAATTTTACAACTGCAACAATTCTTTCCAGAACTGCATGCCATTATTTTTTCAATTATTACATGTACTTATTATTACGTACTTAGACCCAGTAGTCACTACCAAAAAGTAAATTCTAAATTCAAGTTGGCGCTGGTGAGTTTGACACTTTTAAACGGCAATATTTCATTGGCAGAAATCCTAGATCACCGCACAATGCAAATCAAAGTAAAATACGTGAACGGATGTTGTATTGGTCTTTTATAGTTAAAATGGTTAAACGAATCCAATAATTTAACTTTGTGTATTTATAACTTCTGTGACTTTTAAATATAATTGTGATAGTTAGAAATCTCCTATCCCTATGTTGAAGATAAATAACGGTAAATAATTTTCAATATCATTTATATTTCTTAATAAATCTAGGCTGCTTTTTCTGTGATTTATCTTTTTAGTTGAACGAGAATAATAGTTTTGTTGACCAATACACTGCGCTGGCAATAATATATACCACAATTACAAATGCCTTTTTTAACTTTCAAACAAACTAATTGCAGGATCAAGTACTTCTTATAACGAACGAGAATTATAATATAAATAACAGTTATCATTAACTATTGCACATCTTAATAACTATTGCACATCCTAATAACTATTTTCCCATTTTATAACAATTTTACCATTTTTTATTATGTATAATACATTTTTAAAATCAATTTTTTCACATTTAATGTTGCTACTTACAATTCGATATAACCTTGAAGTGTTACAAAACTGAGAAAAGTCAAACAGTAAAAATAATCTCAAAAAAAGCAACGTAGATGAGGATTTTATATAAAATATGTCGTTTAAATATTTATCTATTGTAAAAAAGTACATTCGTGAACAGGATCTTTGGGTCTTGCTAACTGGATAATTCTCTTAGTTGGCATATAACTTAAAGCACTAATTTTCACACGTGACGTAGTTGATACTATGCTGTCAGATTCCTTTATCGTATTGTCACGGAGTTTCGGTTGTGCTAAGTTTTTTATTCTTTCTGTTGCTAAAACAAATTAAGTTTAACTAAAATAAAAAATTGCAAAAATATACTTTTTTAGTTAAGTCTGAATTTTAGTTTTATTTGGTTTGTTAAACCCTGTATTTTAGTCCATTACAACACAGAAAATCTGTACTATAATAATAATTGTTATTATTAAAAATCTGTACTATAATAATAATAATAATAATAATAATAATAATAATAATAATAATAATAATAATAATTAAAGCCCGTTATTTTTACCTTCTTTTAAATCTAACTCAAGAACATTTTTATCCCCTGGAATATTTATCTCCATCTAGTGCTACTCCTGATCGTTTTAACACCGTATCGTACAAAATTAAGACGCGCTGTATATTTCTTTTAAGTTTTTAGATTTTTTTTTTCGTTTTATTTGGTTGCAAAATGGCAAAAATTAATATTAAGAATATACAAATATTAAAAAATATATACAATATCAGCAACCATCAGGATTTTTGTTAAGTATCTCCGAAAATCGTTATGGGAGGTTTTTTGAGGCGCTGAATTCAAATGTGGCATCGGCGAACACCCCCTGGGCACCTGGTGCACCCAAATTTGGACGTGGATGACATCCCCGAGAAGTTTCTTGACAAGATCGCCAAAATCAACCCGAAAATCATTGTAGGGCCGTTTTTTTAGCGCCTCTTCCAAATTTCACGTCGAAAACGATTCCCCGACCACCTAGTGCACCGGAAGCTGGCCCTGAACGTCAAGACAAAGGTTTTGGTGCACCAAGTGTTATGAGGGTCGTTTTCGATGTCAAATTCATATTTAGCGCTTCAAAAAACCCCCCATAACAATTTTAAGTTCGTCGTTTTCGATTGTGTGAGGAAAACCCTCGGAGATGAAGTTCAGGCCCAGGTTCCGGTACACTAGGTGTTTGGGGGATCGTTTTCGACATTAAATTTGAATTCAGCGACCCAAATAACCTCCGGGCTCCGAGTTTCTCTCCTTCCCCGCGTGAATTTTGGGAGAGTCCCTCGAAGATGACGTTCAGGGCCAGGTTCCTGTGCACCAGGTATTGGGGGGTTTGTTTTCGACGGGAAATTCGGATTCGGCAACCCAAAAACTCCCCATAACGATTTTGGGTTCGTCTTTTTCGATTTTGTGAGGAAACCCCACGGAGATGAGGTCCGCGTGCAGATTCCGGTGCACCAGGTGTGCAGGGGATCGTTTTCGACGTGAAATTTGGATTCAGCGCCAAGAAAAATGCCCTTACAATGATTTTCGGGTTTTTTTGGCGATCTTGTCAGGAAAATTCTCGGTCATGATCTCCACGTCCATGTTCCGGCTCACCAGGTGTCCAGAGGGGTGTTCGCCGCTGCCATATTTGAATTCAGAGACCCAAAAAACTCGGGCGCCGAGTTGCTCTCCTTCCCCGCATGAATTTCAGGAGAGTCCAACGGAGATGACGTTCATCGGCGTTCCTGAGCTCCAGGTGGGCTGTGGGTCAATTTGAACATCATAATCGTGATCAACGACCTCAAAAACCTGTGGGAATCTGATTTGGGCTAGTTCTGACTCTTATTTATAAACTTCTTTAATCTTCCAAAAGCCGTCTCAAAAAATGCATTTTTTGAATGCATTTTTGGCTGCAGCAATGCGATTTCCGGTTTGTATAAGATAAAGGGTAGAGACATTTTTTTTTTTTCAAAAAATGTTTGAATGCGAATACAAAAAACCGCATTCGGATCCGTCTTGAGTCCAAAAATTTTCGAACTTTTGACCTCGACTATAGGAAGAAGAGGTTTTAATCGTTGGATTTCTTTTTAAAAGCTCTACAAAATGGTTTTCAATAAAACACCACTGGAATATCGAATTTGGGGGAATTTTAACAGAAAAATAGGGATTTTTGCTAAATATCTCGACAATCGTTTAAACTAATGAAAATGTCGGACATTTTTGACCAAAACTTGGATGGCTTATTGTTTCATTACTGCGAAATCATAGAGGACACTACACTACCTACCGACGTAGTTAAGAGCAGACTCCTTTACTTTGTAAACATCATCTGTTCTGGTGTCTTGAGTATCCATTAAATAATTTTGTGCTTTAAATCGTTCTGACAGTACTATTGGAATGGATATCATCCACTTCTAGAATACAAAAAAAAAGGTAAATAATATTAACTACACATGACAAAACATGATAATATTGTTATGCTGATTTTTGGTAAACTCAAACTATACAACTACGAACAATATTGTACAACAAATTAGTAAACTTTATCTGTATAAACTTATCCATGTAATTAGGCCTATTGGCCTGTTTGGGTAAATAAATAAATATGGGATTTTCTCACAAAATAAGATTACATATTTTGAGTAATATACTTTTCTATAATATAATTTGGTAATATACTAATTGTATCTATTACATAGTAGTTTAGATTATAAAATCTGTTGTGTGAGGAGATGTCGGTCCCATTGTAAAGTTGTTTCAGCCTCCTGTAAAATTTTTTAAAACCTACATAACAGATTTTGACTTGTCATGTTAATAATAGAATAAAAATAAAATAATATACAGTCCATTATTAACCTAACATCAGATGTGGGGTTTATGTCGATACTAATGTGAACTAATTTCATTAACAAAAGTTGGATAAGTTCTATATAAGTGGAGCCCTTGTGAGAGCGAAATATTTGGACTAAACCTATTGCGCACTGAAATATTTAAGTCTTCTATAATGTTTGTCAGTTCTACAAGATGAAGATGCTGACCTTGTTCAGTCTTCAAGGAGCTAAATTAAAATCTTTAAATGGTGTAATTCTTGAAGCACATTACTAATTTACCCAGCAAGTTTAAATATATTAAGAAGAAATTCTGGAGTAAAAGAAACTCAAGAGGAGAGGAAAATATGGAGGAAAGTACCAGATACTATCCCGAGTTATTTTTAATAGACTTCAAGAAAAGGAATTTATTTTTTATATTTGGTCAGCGATAATTCGTTAACACGTTACTAGAGGTTTGTTCCAACAACAATTAGAAACCAGTTACTGACATCAGGATTCTGCACAGTAGTTTATTAGGGCTGCCAAGTTATCAACTGCGCAGAATCCTGGTGTCATATCTAATAATGAATTTCTGTTAAACAATAACTACCGGATGCCAGTGTTGCTATATCTAAGGGGGTTACGGCATTGCTTTCCATCTTTAACGATATTTTTATTTGAAATATAAGCCGAGAATACCGATCAATGAGAAGCGACAGCTTGGTGTTTTCAGTGTACCGTTTTGTAACGCGCATGTGCGAAAATAAGTTGTGTATCACTCAAAATTATGTTATCTGTCAAAGTCAGTCCAAGTTGTGTTTAGTACGTGAGCAATGTTAAGTGATATTTTTTGGTGTTTGTTTTGTGTAGTAATAAGATGAAGATTTTTACACACTTAGGTATTCTAATACAGATCTAAAATGTGCCAAAAAAGTTATTAGGAAACTAAGAATTTTATCACATGCATAAATATTAAGTATAATGATTTAATCATTTTTCACATTTTATTTTTCATATGTAGGTATTGTATTTTGTGAAATATATGTTTTTCTTCTTTTAAATAAATTTAATAAACAATGAACAGCAGATTTTGTTTATTTTATTTTGAAATTATATTTAAAAAATATAATAAATTTGCGTATTTCAATTAGGATTGGTCAAAGTGGTCAAAATCGCTTTATTATGGCTAAATTGTTAAGTTACAATTATGTCAATATAAAGATGTTTTGCCCATTCATATTTACATTTATTAAATGGATCATACTGGAGTTGATTGTGGAAATATTAGTGCATACTTAAATAAGTACTATTTCTAAAAATTCGTCTATGCACACATAGTCCAATGGACGTCCACTTTAGATCTATTTGAGGGTCAGGACGTCCATATCCGGGCATCCAGTGTACGTCCGTTTATGCTAATTAAATTGACAGCTAAATATCGATACCCAGAGAACGTCTGTTTTTGGACTTAATTTTAAGTTAAGTAGTATTTTGACGTCCAGTGGACGTCCATCTTAGGTCATTATTTAATAAGCCTACCAGATAATACCCATCTATAATATATACTTCTTTTTTAATATAACTGGTCATTAAAAATTGACAAATTGAATCTATTGCATTTCATTCTATCAGCGGAAGTTTGAAATTTATTCAATTATAACTGTATCTAGTAAAAAGTTTTCAAGTGGTTCCTTGGTCGAGCTCGTCTAGTAATTGAAAGCGTAAAACGATAATGGATGTGTCGTGAGTTTGATTTGTGCTCAGGTCAAGCAATTTTTAATAAAAAAAAATAAATGGTGTATAGCGGTTTGCGAAAATAATAAACAAATTATTAATAATATAAAATAGGGTGTGGTAAGTTGCGGTTCTGTAAAAAAAGTGGGGATGTGGTCTCAATGGAAATATAATCCTGGACGTTTTTTGAATGTCCAGTATTCGACGTCCAAATATATTCCAGAATTGAACGTCCTCTGAATGGTCAAAAGTGTGACATTTGTATACTTCACTGGACGTCCATTGGATGTCGGAAGTCCAGAAAAAACTCATTTTTGGACGTCTAGACATCCAAAACTGTATATCGAATGGACGTCCAATGGACATATTTGTATTGTCTGGGTGATAGCCAGGCCAATTATTTAACTCTAAATACATGAACCTTAAATGATATCTGGCTTAACTTGGCGAGAAAACACTTGTTTATACAGAAATGAGTGATAAACTTGAAAGTCCTTTTAATATAATATAAATCCAGAAATTCTAAAAATATGTAAGTACTTTTTAAACCTAAAAGTTTTGAAAATATAAGCAGATTGCAAATATTTAGTTAAACCTCTCAAACTTAATGTCTTTTTAATTGTTACCTAAATTTTTTTTGACACCCTTAATTTTATTTACCTTATTTTTAGTTAGGGAAAAGGTAATTTAATTTAAATATGGGGCTTTTATTACATTTTTAACAATCAATAAACCAAATATTGAACAAATTTTATAGATAAATTATAAAATAATAAACGTCTTTTACTTTTATAATAAATAATTAATTATTACATAATAAATTATATTTTGGTGCCGAAATTTCAGCAGTCCTATTAACCCTAACTACTTCAATGTAATTAAATCACATTGCAACATTTGCGCATGGACTATAACAATAATTTCAGATAATTGGCCAAACTATTTCGCTCAGTGTAGAAAATAAGCATGTTTTCTCAGCGTGCCAAGTTGTGTTATCAGTCAAAGTCATACTGTGAAAAAGGTACATCCGATATCAAAGGCACCGACAGCTACTGTCGCTTCTCCTTGATCGGTATTCTCGGATATAAGTCTCCAAGCCTGCCAATTTAAGAAAAATGACTTTTTTATGGTATTACCAATTTAAGCTGACTATTATTTCCCCCCCTAGCCTCAGTAACCCCTTCATCAATTTACTGTTTCTAGGTCGTAACCCCTTAAATACACTAACCTTTTTCTTCAGCAGCCATTTTGTTTGGAATACCAAGTCTGCCAATCCAAGAACAATTACTTTTTCACGGTGTTTCCAATTTAAGCTGAGATTAGCCTCAGTAACCCCTTCATCAATTTACTGGGTTTATGTCGTAACCCCTTAAATACACCAACCCTTCCCTGCGACAGCCATTTTGTTTGGAATGCTTAATTCGATTTCTATGAATCTTTTTCTTGGAAAGGGGATACCTCAGGAGTGGTCTCATATAAATTTGTTCAAGATCTGATGATGTGATACATGAGCAAATCAACAAACTCTTTAATTTGTAAATTACTTTTTACTGTTATTTACAAGGCAATTAATTAATGGCAATTACTTACTTTAGGGCCCACTCGTCGGCTTCTCAGTTCAGTTCGATAATTGAAATCTCGCACCATTTTTGTTACTAGAATTTAGGTTTTTTGAAAATATGGTTTAAAGGGGTTTGAAGTTATGCATGAAAAGTGATTGTATAATTTTGACAGTAATTTAAAAAGTGTATTGACGTGTTAACAAGTAAATGAACATAAGCGTAACCAACAATAGGCATTCAGATTGGGAGATAATCTTTTAAATAATCATTTTTTTAATGAGAAAAAAGTGAAGTGGGAAAAATCGGCAATTATGAAAATGAAAAATTCCCAATTCCCCCTACGAAATTATGAAAATTACACCCTCATATCCATAGATTACTGCTCATATCCTAAAAATGAAAATGAATTATTTTTTACTCAGAGGCGTACATATTTGAAGTTCAAAATATAGTATCAGTGGCTTAAATATAAACGTTCTATGGGGTCTATTCTGTAACAATTCCTTTATATTTAACGGCCTTTAAAAATATTGGCGGCTTTTAAAAATATGTTCGTATTCGTTAATTTACTTCTGTCATTATTTAAACAGATTTCTTTAAGATAGTCCTCTAATGTATTTTAAAGATCCGTTTAAATAATGACAGAAGTAAAGAAGAAAATATTTTTAAAGGCAGTTAAATATAAAGGAATTGTTACAGAATAGACCCCTATATCTGTTAGTCCAAGAGCTAGTAACACAAATTTCATTAAGTGTTTGATGCACTTTGAAATTTTGTAATTTGAAATCATTTGGATGGAAGCAGATATACCTGTGTTGGCTAGACCCACCCCGGGATACCAGGTACTGCGCATAATATAAAGGCGTCGTAAAATATGACCCAAAAAAGTGTTTGATTCAGAGGCCAACAAACAACAATTGAAAGTTTAGGTAATTCTAAAAATACTAGTAATTTAGGCAGACACTTTTGAGAGGGTTTATAATTAATAAATCAACCCCAAAGTTGATTTTTTAAAAATATGATTTGAAGTGTTTGATTCACGCTGAAATTTTAATAGTGTCTTAATTAAATATAAAAAAAAATTAATTCCAAAAAGGCATTATTTGGATAACAATTTTACAACTGTAACAATTCTTTCCAAAATTTCATGCCATTATTATTTTTTCAGTTATTACGTACATAGACCCAGTAGTCACTGCCAAAAAAGTAAACTCTAAATTCAAGTTGGCGCTGGTGAGTTGACACTTATTTTAAACAGCGAGATTTCATTGGCAGAAAACCGAGATCACGCACCCTTAAAATTAATGCCCCTATTGTTGCACAATGCCAATCAAAGTAAAATATGTGATCGGATGAAATTTTGGTAGTTTATAGTTTAAAATAATTCAAATATATCGTGTTGTGTATTTGTAACTGTTGTGACTTTTAAATAATTGTGATAGTGTTAGACACTTCCTATCCCGACTATGTTGAATACAACAAAAAAATCCTTTTTCCCAGTCACTTTCTACTCTACTACAATGAAAGTTGATGTCTTTTCAACGGCTCAAAATGATCTAGGTAAGTACTTATAATTAAATCGATTGCAAAATCAAATATTAGTTTATGTTGAAAGACGAAAAGTTGGTTTTGAGTTGACTACGAGAAGTCCAAAAAAATACTTTTAATTCCTGTCTCATACATTATTTATTATTCGAATGTATTTAGATATTATCAAAACTATAGAAAATTATATTCAAAATGATGTGTCACTTCCAATTTTTTTTATAACTGAGATGGCTGTGATCTATAAGAATAATTATTGCTGTTATGTCAGTATGTATGACATATCAATTTAATTACAGTTTAAACGTGGATGGTGATTTTTAAACAGTATTAAACATGATACATAAATTTTATATGAACACAAACTAACAATAAAACAATTCAAATATGGCATGCATACTACTAAAAAATCTTAAAATGTACTATCTTGTCTTCGGCTTTGGTATTCGGGTACCGACGCAGAGCTCGGTCGTCTAGGCAACGTTAGACAGGACCGTATCAAGGGTTAATTGATATAACGTGCTATATAGTTTATTTAGTTTAGCTCACATCAATTAAAAATGCTTGTATTCAAATTTGATATGCATTGGTGAATGATGGATCCCTACTTTATTAAAGGAAAAAACTATAGCCAGCAATATTAAACAGGCAAATAAAAAAATAACTTGGTCATTTGAAGTACTTGGAACGACTAATTCATAAGGTTTTTTTTTTGTATCATAAAAAGTGTTGTCATTAAAAATATTTGTTTATTATTTATTTAACCTCTTAAATTAGAATTACTTGTTTTAAATGGAATTTTATACATTTCAATTATTTTTCTCGAATTTTCAGTAAGTATTTTTTTGTACTATTTGTATTATTTTTTTTAGGTTTTTCAGATATTTCATAATGAATTTTTACGAAATTTTTATAACGGCGTATAATAGTGTATAAAATAATTTTAAAACAAATTTATCGAAACTGACGCTTGCTGTCGAAGTTTTTGAGAAGGTCTACTCCCGATTTAAAACTTATTCAGACTGAAAAGTTCAAAAGGTTCATATACAAGACGATTTTTATTTTGTCTGATTAAGGATTCCTAGTGGCTGTATCTCAGAAAATATTTACCCTACAACTTTGATAAAAAATTGTATAACAAAGTCGGTCAAGAGAAAATACTGGAAATTATTTTTAACTTTATATTTTAACCTCTAGAAAGCGTAATGCAAAAAAGAACCGTAATTTTAAACAAATTCTATAAAAGTATCTTTTGAACTTCCTTTAATAAAGTTTTTCTTATTTTTAACATGTAAGCATGCGCATTCTCTCAAAATTTTATGGTACTTCTTTAATGTTTTATTAAAATAAGCCCGCATTATTCTGGCTTATCTGACTGTATTTAAATAAAGAAGAAATTGCTTTTATTAAAAATTCTCTTATTCTGACAATGTTTCTGTCAAGATATTTATTGTCTGTCAATCGAGAGAAAAAGCAGTGCTATCCTTAGATAATATATGCCATCATTGTAAGAATGATTGTTGTAGTAAAGTTTTTGCCAGTCAAAATTTGGCGTTCAGAGGAACTAGTACAAAATTGTACCATAGAGAGAATGCTAATTTTTTAAAGGCAGTGGAAATGTTGGCCAAACTTAATCCATTTATTTCAGAACACCTGATTAATATCAGTAAATACAAAGATAACAAAACACGTATTCCACACTACTAAGGGCAGCATTTTCAAAATGAAATAATTAATATTTTCCATCTTGAAGCTCAGGAAAAAGGTTTGTTTATTTGATTACGAAGGCAGTGACGAATGGAATCGTTTCCAGCAATTCAAGGCTGCTTTTTATTTTGCAATTCTTGATTATGCGACATCTGAGGGGTATTCAATATTCGGGCAATCGGTGGTTTAATTTTCTTTTTAGCATCCTCTGCAGTGTGAGAGTTCTAACAACAGCCTCATTATGTGATCAAATTTGTTAATTTTGTTGATATCTTCTAATAAATAAAAAAATAGATGTTTTTAGTATTGGTTGCCTCAACTTGTATGACTATTAAAACACGAGCAGTACAATTTTATATATTTTTTTATTTTTAATTAAAAACAATAAATAAAAAATCTAAATATAAATAAGTATATAACATATATATGTATTTTTTGTAGAATTTATATTCCTAAAAAACCGCCAAATTATAATAAGTAGACTGTTTTTTGCAAAACATTTTAAAAATAATAAAAAATACCCTAAACATAATCATATTGCATAACAACAAAAAAGATTCATAAAGAAGATCATTGTCTAGTGAGGCTCACCGCAATTTCAACACAAAAAAGTGGATCTCTAAGGGCTACAGGTTCACTGACATACCCTCTAATTAGCAGTCTTCCTGGCCTCTGAAAATTAAAAAAAAGTTAAGATTAGATTAGCATTTGTTTCATTTGAAACAACTTCATGGCTATAGGCAATAGAAAAGTACAAACTCAAACGCGGCAGGCATGCCAGTGGCCAGAACTGACAATTCATAACAAATTTGAGAATTGATGAGAACTTTCAATTTGACATTCCAAGAAAAATGGAAAACAACAGAGTACTATAGATTATTTTGAAAATAATGTGTTTATAATGAAAATGAATAAACTGAATGGGAAAATGTTTGTCTTTTTTTGTATGCCATATAAAAAATACAACTTTATGTGCTACAACTCGAATTTGAAGAATTAAAAAAAAATTGATTACCCCACTGGATTCTTATCAAAAGAATGTATAAATCATTTTCTTCAACTTTCATAATTAAGTGCGATAATGCCATATAATGAAAATTTGAAAAAACGAACTTTTGTTTATAACTCGAAAACAGAAGACAATATCCAATTTTTGAAAGTGCCATTAAGTTTTTTTCAAAAAAAGAGATCAAGGATATAAGGTTTTATTTTTCCATACCATTTATAGTTAACGAGATTCTCTATTAAAACATCGAAATTTGCCCATCCTGTACAGTCCTACAGTAAAAGAGATTTAAATTATCAATGCTGAGTGTGGCATTCAAATTTATATGCCAAACTCCATCAATACCATAGTTCTCGTGGGTGGAACAAAACAACAGTGTTGCCACAAGCTTCTGACATAACCAAATTCTCCGAATTCACTCGAGATTCTCCACTCCGCTCAGGATAGTGACTGGAAGCGTTTATAATTCGTTCCCCATCCCGCATGGAGCAAAAAGCATACTAATGCGCAGTCAGCAGGGCATACTTTTGAAAATTGGTACAAGACCAACAAATAGTTTTAACCCATGACAAAAAAAACACTGTTTGTTCTACACCTCTGATGAACGCGAAAAGCAAAGGAAACACACGAGATTCTTCACTAATAAAAATTCACCAGTCACAAATCAACTGTCAACGCTAGGTGGGCAAATTATCCGCCGGAAAGCGGAGAATTCTCCGGCCATTGGCAACACTGCAAAACAAACCTATTAAAAAAGTATGTACATACCAACAACGCTATGTTGCTGAAATCAACGGTTGCGCTTAGTGATTGATCCGTAATTGGTTTACTAAGAGGACAATTCCAACTGGTGCATGGATTTTCCGGGGTTATTTTCAATTCCCAGGGGATGTTCATTTGCAGTAGATTTGCCGTGGTGCGTATGGTTTGAAACGGAGGAACTGATTCTAAAAAAAAAAAAAAAGAAAATGAACAAGAAATTTTAAAGGTAGTATTAAAAACATCCTACAGAGTTTAACTTTATGAATAGATACATACCAGGGCTGGACAGCTTAACAAATATTTCTTGTGGTTTGTTTATATTAACCGTGCATGGTGAATATGTGCAATAACCAAATGTGACTTCTTCTATTCCCATTGTATAACCTAAAATAAAATTAAATTTAAATCATCTTCGTTTGTCAGCTGTATTGTTTGTATGGATCTATTTTTCTATATAAACATTTTCAGCGATTAAACACATATGTTTGATTTAATTTTTATATCTGTTATTTAGTATAAATAATGTTACATAGTCTACTTCAGCGTTTTTGAGCATTACGTCACATTCATACAAAATAATTAAGCAGTGACATGCGAATGTAGTTATATGGTCCGTTTACGTTGCACTGACGTATTCACAATTTTAGTGGTGCAATAACGAAAGTTTTTAAAATATTTACGGATAGTTTTCAAAACTACTACAGATAGAAATAAAACGTAAATATTTTGGGCTGAGATTTAATGCTCTCGGCTCGGCACTCGAGTTTAGTTTCAGGGGAAATTCACAGCCGTTATTTCCTCTAATGCTTCCATCTCAAACCATTGCTTTCATAACTGACAATCGGCAGGCGTTAGACAAATATTGTTTTTAGCCGGACTCAGGATAATTTGGAAGAATTATTAGACTTGGTATTATTGTAGTAGGGTCTGATTACAATTAGAAGAACACATGTCTGGTTGCCTAATATTTAGTAAATAAAACAAATGTAAAGAACAGTAGATCAGCAAATGATTGGCGTTAAAATCTGTTTTATGGATAATTTTATCAATATTTTCAATCAAAATTATTTAATCTCTTTAGTAGTACGCAGTATTTAGACATGTATTGATAAAAATCTTGTAGTAGTAAGAAAATTATTTTTTTATTAGAAATTTTCTAAACAGAAACACAATCACAGGTTTCTTTCTGTAGAATCTTGAATATCTTCTTAAATGACATTGAATTTTATCTATCTATATTTTTAAACACTTTAAAATTTGATATTATCTTATAAATGCACGGCGTAATTTTAAATTATTTGTCTACGTCAATAATTTGAAGAATTCCCAAAAATGTAATGCAAATTAATGCAAAAAATTAATTATTTCATATAAAGCTACATATTTTGTTGAATAAAATTTTAGAAAATTAGTCACATATTTGTTTTAGTTATTTAATTATCGATATCTTTGACGGTATAATCTCTTTGAATCCAATCTAAAGTGGTTGAAAGCCTTTAAATTATTGATATATAATTAATTCAAATAAATTATATAAAAGTGCACTTCATCAACAAGTACGTATTACTTATATGATAAAATTATTTACAATAATTTTTTTAATAAAACCTACTAAAAAAATATTTACACATAAAGTACAAGAAAAAAAGAAATTCTGCCCTTCACTCTTTCTAAACCTAGCTCTGACTTTTAATAAAATATGGTTAGAGGTATTTGAATATGTAATAAACTTTCAGTTAAAACATGGTCACTGCTAAAGTGAAAATGAATCACGAATGGGATGTAAGTCAACCAAACAACGAAAAAGTAAATATCAATATTAAAGCAATGAACGTAAAGAAAATGAAATATAAGCAGAATGGAAAGTCATTAAGGAAAGCATAGAATTAGCAGCAGAAGTAAGAAAATAATGGTATAATGAAAAATATGATGAAGCAACAACAAAAAAGGCACAAGCAAGAATCAAGTGGTTGAGAACAAAAATAAAATAGAAGATAAAATGGCTGAGAAAACAAACCAAAAAAATTCTAAAATAAAATAAAAATAATTGAACAAAAAGAAAGTAGGAAAAATACAAAAGACTTTTACAAGAAAATTAAAGAACAGAACAAAATCTACAAAAGCAAAACTAAGGGAATAAAAAATAAAAAAGGGGAAATGATACTGGAAGTTGAAGATGAAGAATACAGAAAGGTGTGGATAGATTACTTAAGATCTCTTAATTGATCCAGAAATTGAAGAATTTGGGATGATGAAGGAAGAGGAAATAAAAGAAAGGGACATAATGGATCCAACAAGAGAAGAGATAGAAAAGGTAGTTAGGAAAAATGTAAATGGACAATCACCAGGAAACGATAAAATATGATATTTGTTAGCTGTAGCAATGTATTTAGTTGAAAATTGGATTAAAATTATGCTAAAATGACGGATAGACGCCAATTCAGACCATGAATCTGTTTTGCTGATTCTTAAATCCACATCTGCATTTACTTACCACAGTCTAAGTAATCAAGTACACTTGGACTTGCATTTTCAAAAAATAGAAGCAGTAAAATCAAACCTACTACACGCATTTTATGAGCTTATGTCGAAAAAATAACACTTTTTTAGCAAAGCACTCGAAATTGTTTGATAGCAATTAAAATGGTACTCTCGATTTTATATAAAATATATTTTTGATAAGTACCTACTGATAAACCAGAATGGGATTGATGCTAATTTGAAAAATATAAATATTCCAATGCACTGCTAATTACGTAAGAGGTTTTGATTTTATATCGATTCTACAATCTTAGAAATCAATATAATAATAATAATAATAATAATAATAATAATAACTTTGTGAAAAACAATAAATATTACAGTTTCTTCACTTTTTTTTACATACAAACATGCGAAAAATAGGATCAAGCAGTCTAAACTTCAAATTTCAAAAACGGAGATTATTTTAGATTGTTATAATACTTGTTGATTTATATACTTTTGTAAATCCTGGTGACAAATCAATAAAAAAAAACATACATATAGTGGAACAAAGATTAAAGTTAATGCGTAAAAAAATGTTGAATTAAAATAGAAGTTTGTGCAACAAAAGTGGATATGACGGCCAAACCCCACAATACGGACGTCAGTATATATAAATGTATATTTTTTTAATAGGTGTAATATCTTATTTTGGTAGTGTCGTTAAGAATCATCTTGTATTTTAAAAAATATTTACATTTAGACTCTTTATATTGAAGAAATTATGAAAATGTACTTTAAATCAAGCATCAAACATAAATTTAAGGACAAAATGTATTAATAATTTGTCGATTCATTACTTGAAAATTAATTAAATAATGTTTTGAATGATAATATTATTTATAATCGTTATTAATTTTAGGCACTTAAAGATAATATTAATTCAGGCGCCTTATAGACAAATTATGTTCATGTCAACTTAATCCACTGATTTGTAATCATTAAACAAACTTGCTACTAGTTTTAATTCCTATATTTTGAATATAATAACTATTAAATAAATAAGCATTGATAATAGAGTAATGCGATAGATATAAATAATTTATTTTTTTAACATCTTAGCACCTGCTATTAAAACTAGTCCCAACCTTTTTTATATATTTCACTTGATGGAGGTCTGCACACATACCAAAGAGCGTTCACTTTGTTCCGCAATACTTTGTTCTAAACTGTTTGGCGAGACTTAATATTGCATCTCTGACACATCCCCATGTAGTATTAGGAATTAAAAATTCATAATCAAACATATTTTTAACAGTCATGCTGGGTTGTTTGTAGGGCAAGAAAATAGGATTTTAACAGAAATGTTTTTGTTAAATAACTTGACTATCGTTTCATCTAGGAAGAAGTGATTTGCATCATTAAATTTCTTTTTAAAAGCTCTACAAAATGATTTTTTAAAGTCACCGCTGAGTTGTCGGTAAGGCCAGAAAATAGTATTTTCAGAAACAAGTGTTTTGTTTTAAGGATTGATTTAATGAATGACCTAAGCGTGCTCCTAAGAGAGCTCCCTGTAATTCTAATTGAGAAATAGATAAAGGTCTGAGTGGATATACTCTAGTTCTAGTACATACAAAGGTCACTTCCTCCCCACATTCTTATTGAATTCTCAAATAGACCATAGTTGCATAACATGTCTCAAAGGCACCAACAAAAACGTGAAGTTGTATGTCACTCGTATTTCTATCCAAGGTGAAGTACTGTCTGGAAATGTTAAATTTGTATATATTTTTTAAATCTTTCATAAAAATTATTCATTTTTCATTCACATTAAATGTGATTTCGTCATCCCATCCAATCTTGCTTCTCCAAATGTCTTGTAAAATCAATTTACCGTGAATATTGTTTGCCTTTTCTTTTAACCATTGGCTTAGTTCGACCAATTTTGATTTTGGATTAGGAATTTTTGAAAGATATTCAATCCATAAAAGTTTATATCAAGTAGGTAACTTATTTAAAATATCAGTAATTATAAAATAGGGTTTCGGGTTTCGTAAATGATCTTCTTCGTGCAAAGATTCTAAAATGGCTACAACATTTTTGATTTCGTCCGAAAATTAAATAAAAAGATCAAATTTATCTTCTTTTATGTTAGAAAATTTCTTTATCTTGTCCAAAAGTACAAAAATTATTTGTTCAGAACGACCAAATCGAAATCACAATAATTTTATGACTTTTTCAACATTTTGTGGCATAATACGACTTTTTTAGCATTACCTTTCAGACATTTCTGTAATCTAAACTGATTTCCTCATTCGAATAACCACAAAGGCCGTTTGAATTTCGATATTGATTTATAAAATCCATAGGGTTACCATCAAAGAATGGTAATTCCTTTGGCAACGATTGTCGAGTAAGAAATTTTGAAATATTTGGAAGGCTCATTTCATTTGGTACTTTTGAAGTAGACGGTATATCTGGATTACAAAAGAAAGGTTCTCTTACTATCCCATCTTCTAGATTTGTATGTGAATGCTGGGTATTCTCACCACCGATCCTATATGTTAGGACGAGCTGACTCATGTAATGACGATCCGGACTCATTGCTATCAAATTCATCTCCTATCTCCTAATTGCGTTTTTTTTATTGCATTCTGTATTTCAGCTACCCTGATTTTAGATGCTTGGCTATTCTTACTCTTGACTGTCTTTGTAGTGGAAATATCTTTACTTGAATTACCTGCTATCTGTCCTGTCACATCCTCCGCTTGGATTTTCGTATGTCCTGTCAACGAGGGTGCTCTCTCAGATTGGACCTTTTTCCGTTTTATTTATTTTAAGCGTTTGCTGCGTCTTAGTAAATCTGTCTGTGCTCGTCAATAGATTCGGCAATGTATTGTGTGAGACCAGGTTGGTGATTGTTGAGCTACCTTTCATAAACCCATGTTGATTGACTGATAGCATTTTACTAACATAATGATATAAGGTTTTCTCCAATAAAATTTCAAATATTTTGGAGAAATTGCATATTATGGATATTGGTCCGTAATTGGTTATATCTCTTTTATCCCCCTTTTTGAAAACTGGACATACTTTTGAGGTCTTCCAAATATCTGGAACTGTTGATGTCCTGAGCATATATTTATAAGGGTGGCTAACGGAGGAGCAAGTTGAAAGGCACAATCCTTTAAAATAAAAACTAGAATATGGTCTGGACTAGTTGTCTTCTTAGGTTTAATAGACTTTAGAGCTTCATATACCTCTTTTTCGGCAAAACTATTGACATTAAGGAACGGAACATTGAGTCGTGAATTTGAATTAGCAATAAACGGGCTAGAGGTAATATATGAAGAAGTCAGCAAATCCATTGAGAATATCTAATGGAGTTTTTAGTGAATTGTTGTCATAAGACATTCTTTGAAGGATTTGGATTGTGATTTTTTACTATTTATAAATGCCCAAAATTTACTTGGATTACTAGATATCTCTTGTTCAGTCTTTTTAATATATGCTCTGTAAGAAACGTCTATTTCAAATTTTAAAGCAGCTCTTATGCGTTTGAAGTCTTCAATATGCTCACCTTATATCTTCAATTGGCTGGAAAATAACAATAAAAAGTACACTTAAAAAAAATATCAAATTTATTATCATAAACCTACAAAATTTTAAATTTTAAATCAATCTAGGGGACAATTTTGACTAGAACTTCGAAACACGTCACATCATGGCCGTCGGGTGAAACAAGTGACCAGTGAACAACAGTTTTGAGCTGCAACAAAAAATATAAATAACTAAATTAATGTTTGTAAAAATGGCTACAAAAATGGCGCCACCTGTCAGTGTTAAGAATGCGCTAGTTCAGTGATGATGATGTAATTATGGTTCCACTGACAATTAAAGTGACAGTAGATTTTTTGAGTGCGTTTTGTTCGTTTTGTTTACCTAAATTATATCGTTTTTTCACTTTTATAACTATATTCTTAAAGTAAGTAGATAATATGCATCAAATATACAATTGTTTAGTTACCAATTACATACCTTTAAACTATTTTTTATGGCCTGTAAACAATATTTTGAAATAAAATAAAAACAGTAAACACGTATATGTCAAATGTATTGATGTTTCTGTTAAAAGTTTGGCTAGAATTAAATGTCAGTGGAACCAAAATGACATCACACTGAACTAGCGCATTGAAACTTGAATATAAGTAGTTTGCGACTTGGCTAAGCGATCCAAGATGGAGGCCATAGTTGACGTAAACAAGGAAATATACGAGGTAAATGAAAAATATATTAGGTAAACGAAAAAGCAAAGACAAAAGGACATAAGCTTACATCTCTGTTAATATTACATCGATTTAAATGGAGCAAACGGTATTGAATGTGAATTGTCATTTAGGCTAAATGCTGTGTTCAACATATCAAATTTATGTTTTATAGGTCGAAATTATGAACGCGCTAAGAAAAAAACTATCGGGCGCGGAATATAGAAAAAAAGGCCAAAGATAGAGTCTTTCAGGGAAAATAATATGCGGAAAAGATGAAAAAGTGGCTCAGCGGAGGCGGTGGCCCGTCAGTACCTGCCACAGCTTGCGAAGATGTTCAACTAGAGGATATTTCTTGCACTTTGCACGATCCTGATGATCAAAATTTATCACCTGCATCGTCTAGCCAAACTGCGAGAGTGCAAGAACAATTTAAAAGAATTGATACAGAATACAAAGAATCTGAATCGAATTCGAATGAAGTGAAAACCGAAATTGATTTGACAGACCCGGGCAATTGGCCAGATGTTGAAAAAATTACCGACCAGCAACGATCTTTCTTTACTACTCAAGCTGTGTTATTAGCAGAAAGTCATCCAGAAAACATTGAATTTAGATCAACTGAACGCGATGGTAGACATTTAACATCTGCTATGTGGTACAAAACATTGACCAATGACGAAAAGCTTAAAAGGTCTTGGCTTGTATATTCTAAAACAAAAAATGCAATTTTTTGTGCATGCTGCAAGATTTTTCAGAAATCTTCTTCCGGTTTATCTGCACTGTGTACTACAGGATTCATTAATTGGAAAAAAGCTTATGAGAGATTTAACCCAGCACGAGGCGTCTCAAATACACAAAGAGTGTATGATTAAGTGGAAAACTCGAATTCAACAAATTAAATCATGCCAGGATATTGATGAAGACATTGAGCGAGTAATTCAAACCGAAAAAGAAAAATGGAGACAGATCCTGCATATAGTTATGGATGCTGTATTATATCTAGCAACAAACTGCCTTTCTTTTCGTGGTTCCCACGAAACTCCTAGCGATCTCATCACACAATGTCCTCAGCCTGGTCAAGGAAATTTCTTGAATATAATTTTTCTTCTCTCCAAATATAATTCAACTCTTAAGTTTCAATTAGAAAACTTAAACCAGGGACAAGTATCATATTTGTCAAAAACAATACAGAATGAAATTATTGACATAATGGCAAATAGCATTCTAAACGACATCAAAGGAGCCAAATACTATACAATAATAAGAAATGAATCGAGAGTATTTAAAGTGTGTAAATTGAGTTTTATTAATAAAACTCTGTAAAAATTTGTCTAAGCGCTTTCGGCCTATTAGGCCATCTTCAGAGACTCTACAAAGAGAAAAAAACGGAGCTGTAACAATATAATCAACTCGTAATAATACTAAACAATGAATAAAAAACTTGAACACTTACTCGTCAAAAACTATAGAAAAGGCATGAAAAATGCACACAAGTTAAAAAGGACAGCAACAGACTTGTCCCAAGTCACCACCATAGCTTGTAGCTAGGATAATTGAACATAAAAGAACCACACTGTACATGTGGTTGAATTTTAACAAATGAAGTGGGGGTTCATCCAAAAAAGTAAAACTGAACACTCCACTTTTTTTTATTATTCTAGCTACAATCCAGTGTGTACCACCACTCAACCTCTTCTATACAATAATGTTCGATTGCACTCCAGATGTGTCGCATACAGAACAAATGTGCCTCATTTGCTCATTCGCTATGTAAAAAAAAACTGGTGATGTGTTTGAAATAAAAGAAAGTTTCATTGACTTTATAGAAGTTGCTGGAAAGACAGGAGAGCACATTTATCAACATATACTGGAAAAGTTGACAGTTGATGGTTTAGATATCAGACAATGTCGTGGCCAATCTTATAATAATGGATCAAATATGGCTGGCACCTATAACGGAGTGCAAGCCAGGATTACAGAAAGGAATGAGCTGGCCGAGTTCGTACCGTGTTTGGCTCACTCCTTAAATCTTGTCGGTGTCCATTCTGCCTCATCATGCCCGGAAGCAATAAATCTATTTGGATTAATTCAAAAAGTATTTTGCTTTTTGTCGGCACTACTACTCGATGGGATACTGTGAAGAAATTTGTTAAAACCAATTTAAAAGGAAGCAGTCAGACGAGATGGTCGGCAAAACATGTTGCTGTGAAAGCCCTCTTAAAAAATTTGCAGGAAGTGGTGGAATCCTTGGAAGAACTTAAGCAAACTTCTCATGCTCCGGAAGCAAAGTACGAGGCAGGTAGTCTCTTAAATGCAATAAAGAATTTTAAATTTATATTGAACTTGACGATTTTGGCAAATATTCTCCGCGAAATCAATCGAGTGAATATTGAAAATCAAAAGCAAGATATAATCCTTGCGCGTTCCGTCTCTTTAATGGATGGCCTGATGAAAACTTTACAAAAAATGAGAGAAAATTTAATTGAATATTGGATAGAAGAGGCTAAAGAAGTTGCTGAAAAAATTGGCGTCGAACCTATTCTGCCAAATAAACGAATTCCGAGGTGCAAAAAACAATTTGACGAGATGTGTGATGACGAATCACGAACACTTCAACCAGTTCAACTTTTTTCTCAAGCAAAAATTATGATATTTGATAGAATCTTATCAGAAATTAAAAAGAGGGTTGATAGTGCTACCACGTTGAATTCGAATTTCGCATTTCTAAATGGTACTGAAATTTTGAATATGTCAAATGAAGAACTGCAAAAGCATGGAGCAGATCTGGGACGAAAATACGAGCGAGATTTAAACGCCGTTGAATTCTGCCAGGAACTCTACGTTTTTAAAGAGCAAGGTCCACTTTTATTTTGAGATATAAAAAATGCTAGCACTTTCAATCTCTTGCAACAGATTTATACGCATGATTTGCAGGATGCCTTTCCCAATATTTGTATTGCTCTAAGAATTTACTGTACGCTTCCTACTACATCCGCAAGCTAAGAGCGAAGTTTTAACAAACTTAAACTTATCAAAAATTATCTACGATCTTCGATGAGCCAGGAACGTTTATCAAGTCTTGCCATATTAGCAATAGAAAATCAAATTGCTCATCAAATTAATTATGATAAGGCCATAGATTTGTTTGCAGAACAAAAGATTCGAAGAGTAAAATTATAATTTCAATGTGTAATATAATAATAATAATAATAATAATAATAATAATAATAATAATAATTTTAACCTCATGTTTTATTCAGACCCCATCCTGTCCTAACCTAATTAAAATATATGTCCGAGTCTGACACATCCTGGTATTTTTCGAAAAAATATTGGCTTAACAGAGAAAAAGCAGCGGTATACCGGTAGTTGTGGGGTTCTTTGGGGAAGGCCTATGTCCATCAGTGGCGGGTGAGGGCGGCATTCTTCAGTTTTTTCCCCGCCTTGAAAAAATTCAAGATCCGGGGCTGCATTTAGAATGTGTATAAGGAATAAGGAGGAACTAAATCAGATAAGTAAGATGGTGTAATTTACAGTAGTGGACACTGCATCAACAGCGAACGAAAGAATCTAATAATACAAGCTTAAAAATACTTACTGTGGGGTATATCTTGAAAATCTCGAAACTATTTTTGTAGAAATAGTTTTTACCAGCTTCCAAGTTACAGTTGTTAAGTTTGGTACCACTTTCGTTATATATAGAACTACATGCATCACCACCATCTACACCGACGAAAGGTAGCTTGGATCCCAAAATATTTGCTGTCACGTGGTTTTTCAGTCCTTTGACACTTTTAACTAAAATAAAAAAAAAATGTTTTGAATATTTTATATTATCTTTGTAAATCATCATTTTTAGTTTATAAATACTAGTAGAACGTTATTATTGCTTTGTAAGGTAGCTTCTTTGTAAGCTTTAGTCCATAATAATTGTCTTAATTAGTCAAGTGTATATTATTAAATCAAAACTTTCAAAAATAAAACTTCTGTTTTATAAATTATGAACGAACAAATAGAAGAGCCGGAAGTGACAGGTACGATGTCTACAAGAAACGAGAAATGGGAAACGAGAATCGAGAAATGAAAAACGAGAATCGAAAAATGATAAGCGAGAAACGAATAACGAGAAACGAATAATGAGAAACGAGAAACGAATGATGAATAGCGAATGACGAATAACAATTAACGAATAACGAAAACAAAACTTTTTCTAAAGTGTATAAAACTTTTGAAACACACTGTGTAATGGATTGCGTCGTTAATAACAATGTTTGGCTACATATAGCTGGTAATGACGACGTGCTCGAAGAACACGTCGCAATCTATTATACAGCATGTCCCAAAACGAATAACGAATGACTAATAACGAAAACAAAACTTTTTCTAAAGTGTATAAAACTTTTTGAAACAAACTGTGTAATGGATTGCGACGTGCTCGAAGATCACGTCGCAATCTATTATACAGCATGTCCCAAAAAGTTATAAACCTAAAAAAAAAACGAGAAACGGGAAACGAGAAGCTAGAAACAAAAAAACAAGAAAAATTGTCATTTAAAAGAAAACTTGGAGTCAACAAAATAAATAATCGTTTTTTGTTTAAGAGGAGTATTTACTTGGCTGTAGAGCGGAGCATGCAAGGGTTTCGTAGTACCCCACTTTTAAAGTTTATTTTTGACTTATTCTGAAAGAAAAAAATATGTACGTGTAGGTAAAGGATAAATCTATGCTCCTCTGGAAACACTTTTTTAAAATTTGAAACTATTTTTTCTAAAAAAAAACTACAAAACTCGACTTTTTTACCCATTTTCTCAATTTTTTTTAGAAAAAACTAAATTGAATTTTGAAAAAGTGGTTCCAGAGGAGCATAGATTTAACCTTTACCTACACATATATATTTTTTTATTTTAAAAATAGTCAAAAATAAACTTTAAAAGTGGGGTACTACGAAACCCTTACACTGCAAGATTTTTCGTCTGGAAAGTGGCGCCTCTGTTAGATTTTTAAGAAATTAATATTTGTGAATGAAAACAATTTATAATATATTTTACTGATGTTTTACGAGGGATAAATAAATTTTACGTATTTGTACACCTTATGTTTTACGTAATTTATTTCTGTAATACTAAGATTAGCATATATATTATATGCAAGGGTTTCATAGTACACCAATTTTACGGATTATTTTTTAATTTTACTAAAAGAAATTTTATGTAAGTACAGGTAAAGGCTTAATCCATACCTCTCCGGATTTTGAAAATATCTAAGAAAAGAAACGAAAAGAAATAGAAATGTTAAAAAATGCTAGAAGAGAAAAATATATTTAATTTTTGCCTACAGGAGCATTTATTTTTATTACAATAAAAATAGATATACGTTAAAAGCTTTTTCGTCTAGAAGGTGATACCAACAAAATATATATCTTTTTCTACTCTTTAGTGATAAACAATACGTAAGTGATTTGAATTCATGTTGTTATTTTTTACACACAGTAATTTCGCTCAATTATATTAAATTAATTTTATCATTTATTTATTAAAAAATATATATATATATATACGAAATTGGAAGGTATACACTGAGATGTGAATTATATGTTTTTGTTTAATGAATACTTCTTCGAGTCAACAATAATTATTAATTCCAGCATGTTAATATCTCTTCAATCCGTTAAAGTAATGTAAATATTTTTTTTTTGCTTTCGCGCATGGCTTTGATCTGTCGCACCCTTTGAGGCGCGTTGCAAGAGAAAATTTTCTAAAAAGTTAGCCAATGTTTATAAATGAGAGAAAAACGATTGTAACAAGCTGATTGTGCATTGTGGTACAATAAAAGACTCGTTTCCACTGCTTTAAAATTTGGAAAAATTTGTAAAAAATCTCCTAAAATCTTTAATTTATTTCCAAAGCCACCCGATATGGCATGGAGCATAAATTCAGAGCAAAATAAGATTTGGAAATTTATTTGCATGTAAAAGTTTTTAAATGTGGACATTTTATTGAATTCGAATTTGATTATGTTGCTGCCAGTCTGAATGGAATTAAAAAAAAAAAACAAAACTCTATGATAGAGTTAAAATGTCCATATAGAGCTGAAGGGCTGACTGTAGAAGAAGAAATATGCAGTAGAGAAATAACTTTTTGGAAAAAGAACAATTCCATTAAGGACAACCACTATTGGTATTTTCAAATTCAGGGCTAGCTGCACATAACACAAATGGATTTTTGCATTTTGTGCTTTTGTGCTTTTGGACTTCTGGAGGAATAAAAGTGGAGAAAATATCTCATATTGACAGCTTTTGAGAAGAAAAGATACAAAATAAAATTAAAATTTTTTATATGCAATATGTCTTGCCGGAACTTGTTGACAGCGAAGCAATAGAGACATGGAAGTACGGGACAGAATATTAAATAATTCGTGAGAAATTTTGTTTAATGTTTATTAACATAACGCAAGGAATCTTATATTATTTTGAATATTTTTATTAATTTAAGAATTAAATTTTATTTATTTCTAAAACATGGTAGTAGGCGATCCATTTAAGATATGATTAATGTCTTATTATTATAATACACTATTTTAAATTTAAGATTTTACCAGTGGCAGTGGTAATTGATGATATATAATTATTATTATTATACCAAATGTTTTAAAAGGCTACACCAACTAGTGGACCACGATTTTAAGTCCCCAAATAATAGTTTCAAGATTTTGATTCGGATTAGAAGTTTTACTATACAGGGTTTTGTGTCAAAGCCAAGTCATGTAGGTATTGTTATTGTAATACGTAGATGAGTAACTATTATCAATAGAAATTTAAAATTCAAACATAAATCTTTGTAACGACGTTATTTATAACTTTATTAACTTCATAACGGTCAAAAATGTTAGTTAACTTATTTAATTTTAAATATAAATTGATTTTCATTTAGAAATTTTCGAAAAGTTCACTATATTGTTTAGTTGTTGCAACTTTACTGTGCTTAAGTAGCGTTCAGATTAAAATACGAATTTATGGAGCTTTAGTGAAAAACAGAAACTAATGCTTTCATTCCAAAAAAAGTTTTATGGCCAATAAAAAAAATTTCGAATTGTGATATCTGCAAGTCCTTATTTAAAACCTTTAAATTTAATATTATCATTATACAAGAGTTATTTTTACAAATTAATACAAATATCGAACATAAGTTTGTCGACATAAACATTTCCATAATACAAATAAATATATCTCTGTTAAAGAATACTCATAATTTATTTAATATATTCATTTAAACATGTTTTTGTTTTTTTGTCTAGATGATATTGAATACTAACTTTTTCTATATAACTTCTTATCGAGATATTGTGAGATAAAAAACAGACAATTAATTAAAAGTGTACTCACAATTTTTCAGGTATAGAAGTTTCAATGCTATACTGTTTCCCAAATTATGAAAATACTAAAGAATATTAAAAAAATAAAAAATAAAAAGCCAATTAAACAATGTGTTAATATCTACAGAAGAACATCGTATTTCTTTTTTGGAAATAAAAAGTAGTCGAAAATTGTGAAAATAACAACATATTTTTATTTCACAAAAATAATAAGTCAGTTTTTGTTTTTTATGTAAATCATATCATTTTCAAGGCAATAAAACAGAAGAAAAGTCACCGAATACCGATTTCAAAAAGTTCTATTAGTTTTTCTAGGAAATGGAAAGAGAAAGAACGCTTTTTAAACGAGTTAAAATTCTTTACTAATTTCGATAACTATAAACGGATTAAGGTATTTTGTACCGTGTTAAAAAATTTAAGAAAAATTTTGAAGAATATTTCTTTTTTTTTTAAATTAGTAAACTTTGACAAACATATAAAATATTCTAAAAGATAAATCACATTTATGTGTTTGTACAAAAATTTTATTTATTTTTCTAAAATAATATGGATTGTCCTCTAAAATATATATAGTGGCTCGCAAAAAGTCTGCTTTTTATGTTACTTTTTTCAGAAAATGTTATTCCTGATAAAACTTGGTGTTTAATTAAACCTAAAACTTTATTTATTCAAAAAATTCTGTACCATAAATATAAATTTGGCTGCACAGTGAACTAGGTACTCTTTTAGGAATCGAACCCACATTTTTACATATAAGATTAATTTAAGAAGATGTATATAACTCCACATAGTAGTTTTTTAGTTAATACAAATAATATAGATTATTATATCCTTTTTAACCTACTTCAAAAAGGAGGAGTTCTCAATTCGTCTGTATATATTTTTTTAAGTATGTTCAGCGATAATTCTTTAACACAATGTCCGATTTAAATGATTCTTTTTTGCTGGAAAGGGGGTACTTCCGGGATGGTCCCTTAAAAATTTGGTCAAAATCTAATAATTGGGTCAATGGGAAAATCCTCAAACTTTTCATTTTTTATGTATGTTTAGCGATAATTCTTTACCACCTTGTCCGATTTCTATAATGCTTTTCGTTAGTAAGGGGGTACCTCAGGGGTGGTCCCATATAAATTTGGTTCAGATGTGGTGATGGCATCTGCACGATTTTAAAGTCGGTTTTTTAAAATTACTTTTAATACATCTTACGTAAATAAAAAGTTTAATAATTTGGTGCTTTCTTGATGCGTCGTTTTATGATTTCACTTTGCATATGTTTAAGTACAGATAATTGTTATTACTGGCAGTTTATTTTAAATCATTAAAATAATATTTTGTTGATCCAAAGAAGGCAAACAAAAAAGCCATATCACATTCAGTGTAATAATAAAAGTTAGATATATAAATATAGTATATATATAACAGACTAAACTTTCACTTTCAATCTCACCTTTTGTCGTAAAAGACTTTTAAATTTTTTCCAGTGACGTCCGTACCGGGTTTGAACTGAATATTTTTGAACAAAAATATGGTGCGCCACTGCTTTTTCTAAATACCAAATTATCTTTAAAATCCTTATTTATTTTGGAGCAAATTTGGTTCATGACGTACTTTCGTACAAAGCACCCTTTTCGGGTAAGAAAATAAAAACCAGTATATTTAAACTGCTTTTGATATTTTGTTGAAATTTGGTAGGAACCCACCATGAGTGGAAACACTTTTTTTGGACAAAATTTCATAAAAATATCTAGAGTGATAAGAAACTTATGATAAAATAGTTTTTTTTTTCTTAAAACTTTAACACCCAAACGATTCACACCTCTAAGTATCGGCACTCAATTAATAAATACCCTGTATTAATTGATATTACCTTATTCGAACCAATCGTCTATTTTTTCGTTATTTGTATTTATATTTCACAACTCTATACTCTTAAATGTAATTTAATCTAACTAAACCTATTCACTAAATTAAAATATTAAAATAATGTAAAACCCTCTAAAAATCGAACTGCGTTATAACAATATCTCGCAATGCACCGAGAAAAACAAATACGATTCTGGTTCCCCTAATTTAGGTAACTCTGACTCACTCGGCAGCCGTGTTAGGTGTTTTCGGTTCTTTTTTCTTAATTTCGCGCGTTAGAGCTTGAAATACGTATCCCTCGTATCTACAGGCAATTGTTAAAATTATGAATGAATGCGGATTTTGTTTAGTCTCGGAAGTAATTTTGTAGTATTTAGGCTCCACCCTAAAGTTGTAATTTTTATACCTACTAAACTACCGTTGCCCCGCAGGTCTTTCAGTTTGTAATGTAAATTTTCCTCTTAATCTCACACGTAGCTATATAATTCTTAGAAATATCATAAAAGTATGATAATTAAATACAACATAAAATTAATTTATTCGTAAATATCATTAAACAAAATTAAAACGAAAAACTGGATAACAAATTATAGTAATTATAAAAATAAAAACCACATTTCAAATCGCTGATTAAAAATGACAGACACCGCAGATTAATGGAAATTCGTGGAAATATTTTTTACAAAAATCGACTATTTCCAACTCCGATTTTATGACTATAAAAGAAATAATAATTGGGGGCCTTGGAATAAAAGGGGTATAAGTGATTTTTTTTGGATTGGAGATAATAGCATATATGAATATTTAAAGTTGATGTTTGTTTGGTGCAAAACAGATTTAAGTGATATATTGACCTAGGATGCCATCTTTTGGTGAGTAGAAATACTATGTGAAGAATTCCTACAGTTTGGTGAGAGCAAAACAGGTACAAGCCCCTTTTTATTTCAAAATGCACTTATACCCCTTTTATTCTAAGGCCCACAATTGAAATATTGTTTTAAATTTTAGATTAATTATTATTATTATTATTATTTTGAATAGATTAGAGTGTTATTGGATTAAAATTGTTAATAACTCTTGTACTTGTGAGTCGTATGGCTTATTCAGATGAAGACCATCGTAAGACAGATGACAAAGAAATAGGAAAGAGCGCAGCATTCGGTGAACAGCACGCGATGACAATAACCATCTTTATTTCCAAATAGTCTATCAATTTTATGTAAAAAATTATCGGTCATTACTAATAAAGATTATATTTGTGAAATTTTTTTATAAAGAAATAGATTTAAATGCGGTCAATTTATTTCGAAGAATAAATAATCAAAATTCTGTTGTTATTAGAAATTCCTACTCAATAAAAATGCAAAATGCAAAGTTTTTATATGTATAAATCACAGTAGATATCACAGAATATAATATTCTTTTTCTTTTAGTATATAAGTATGAATGTTATTATCATTGGTGTCATTTGCTTTCAAAATTGGTAGGATGATCTATAACAGCTGTACTCAACCTTTTGTTCTTTCCGGCCACATAAATCTATTTGGTATGTTACACGAGCCACAATATTTTTGGGTGATACTCAGAGTTTCCACCTTTTTGAAGTGTAAATAAAGCCCAATGGGTGACGATAGGGATCCGCTTTAAATATTTTCTAAAAAAAAGATCCTCATGTTGTTTTAATAAGCTTTGGGACAATTTTAAAAAAGGGCTGTAGGTCATTCCTAATAATATTGTTCGGTGCTGCCCAAAAAAGCTTAGAGGACCGCACAAAACAGCTTGGAGGGCCGCAGGTTGAGCATGGCTGATCTACAATGTTCTGGCAATTCTGTATTCATTTTCTCATCGTCTACTATTTCTTCTATTGGATTTTACGTTATTTCAAGAATACCACATTTTTAAGATAGTAAAACGTTTTAATTTCTCTCTGTTTTAAGCCTACGCACTCTGATATGTCTTCTAGAGGCTTTTGTTCAGTTCTTACTTAGTTTTATTAATATGGCTCAATTATATTACATGAATATGATTGTCCCAGACCAGTACCACACTGGTTATATTTCTTGACCAATTCTGTACGTCCATGACAACGGTAAATAATTACTGGAAACTATTACATTGATGTTTTGTTAAAAGGGATTGGACTTGTAAAGTGAAAAAAATAATCGAAATTACATCGAATTAAATCGACCAACCTTGGATGTTACAACACGTTGAATTATATATTTAATACCTATTTTTATGTTTTCAATATATTCTCGATAATTATCATTTCGTCATGAGTGAGTTAAAAAATGTATTTGTCATAAATTGGTTGTTAAGAATTAGCTTGTTAACTCAAACGTAACAAATTTATTGTTTCCCGTTTTAATTCTAACTGCATCTTTATGATCTTCTTCTACTGACTACTATATAGTCCCGATTTAACATAGGTCTCGCTTTTGTCTGATGAAAAAAATCTTTCAATTTTTATGGTGACGTGACAACCCACTCTTTTATAAACTCAGATGTAACTAAAACGCAACAAAATTTGGGTCTAATTGAAAGTGTTATAACTTAACAAAACAATTTAAAAAAAAATATTAACACATCATATGAGGACTAAAAAAAAACAAATGAGTTGGATTTAAAACACAAATAAATTAAAAAACTTTATCAAGAAATTGATTATGGTGACCTCTATGTGAGAAGTTTTTAATAAATTATAATCAATAAAATGATTTACCAATTTAAAGTATAGATGGTGCTGTGAAACTGAGTTAAGAAATTAAATATACTTTTATGATTTTTAATCTAAAAACTTACCTGGTGTAAATTTGAAGGACACCTTTAGGAAAGTGTCTTTTTTAAGTAAACACGGAAGTGTATCGCATCCTTCTATTTGAATCATTTTAGTTAGATTTTGAATTGGATTTTCTGGAAAAAAAGAAAAATTGCTTTTAATGGAAGTTGTGATGACTATGTATGTATAATAATATTTGTTTCTGCAACAAGTGCACAAAGCGGTGTTTATTACACGAGTTTAAAAGTAAGTGACGTGAAAACTCAATACTAACGGGATAGATGTGTTACAATTTTCCTAGGAAAGGAGTAGTATACGTATTTTTTATGATATATTAAAAACAGAAAATTCTATTTTAAATAATATCATTGTCCAGTTAAATGGTTTAACCAGGGGCGGTTTCTCCATTGGTTCATTTGTGCAGTGAACACCCAGTTAAATTTCATAAAAACACATTATTTTAATATTTCATAAATAACATAAAAATATAAATTTAATTTTAATATTTTTATTTTCACACGTGTTAATCTATATTTTTTTGTACATCATTGTCCTCTGACTTATCGTGTCTGTGTCACAGTATACCTAAATATACTGTGTCTGTGGCGCATTATGATGAGTGAGCCTAACACGAGTGAGACGATATGCCGAATGCATATAGCTAAAAAGAGAAGACAACGCGCCAACAGATCCTTTAAACTGTCAAAGAACACATTAATTGGCGCGCCGCTCACAAACAAGGTTGCCAATACAGTGTTGCCAATCTAGTACAATTCAAACGTTCGTTTGATCTGTCTACAGGCACAGCATAATTTTGTAAATAATCATAGAAATAGAGTAAGGGTTATATTTTAATATTTTATCATTCCATTTCTTTTATTTTGCATAATAATTATTTTTATTTGACCATAAATATGAGACACGAGAAACTGGCTGAACACTACTTCTTTTTGGTCTTAATAGGTTGGCAACATTTTTCGTTAGAAATTTGTCAGTTCTATGATCGAACTGTCACTTAAAAAAATAACTTGTTTTTTTTTCGGCCCTTTCCAATTTGAATTTTGGAAGAAGATGGGCGTTGGGATTTAGCTGCGCATTGTGTTAAATAGTGTTGAGTAATAATTAGTTTCCGAGCTTTTTGTTTTGTCCAAGGGTCCCCGTGCCAATGTTTATGTTACTTTTATTTTGGATGAACCTGGTTTTTGACCAAAATCTGAGGCAAGTGAGACGCCGAAAGATACTTTCTTCCACGTGTTGCTGGATCCCGGTAGCAGAGAAAACCCTCAAAAGAGGTAAGTCCTTTGCTGCTCCTGCATTTTCTTTGTCTGGCAAAACACTCATATTTTTATATATATAGGGTTTTTCCCGTGGATGAACAAGAGAGCCACATCAACCGTGGGTGGTTATTCTCAGAAAGCTACAGAATGGAATTCTGTCTTGCCAATATGCTGGTCCATTTTATTTATTTCCTTTTTATTTCAAACGTTCTTACGATGGTCCCGTGCCCCAAGCAGTCCTGTAACATGATGAGCTTCGGTGTACAGTGTGTAGCCTAACAGAGGGCTCTTTCTAGTGCCGCTGTCAGACCTAGGATTATATTTTGGTATTTATTATTTTTTTCTTTAATTTTAACAATATGTTCGCAATGTCTATTTAGACACTTTACTTATATTGACAAGGGGGGTAGCCATGTGTGAGTTGAGGTAATTTTAAGGTGAAGGGTGAGAAAAAGTCCTTTATATCTCACAAGGAAAGCCAATGTTTAATTGTTTAACAAAACATTGAGTGCGACCGGTTTCGAAGTGTCATCACTACATCTTCAGGCTCGCCTAGTGGAAAGGAGAATATGTGGTGTAAGGTGTGTTGGAAACAAAACGATATATAAAATAATAAAAAAGAGAAAACTCACCATACTCTCCATCCACTAGGGAATACTACAAAAACAAGTTTCATCAATTTTGGGTTGAAATAAATTGTAAAATGAACCGATTTACACGATTTTATTACGTGTAAATCGGTTCATTTTACAATTTATTTCAACCCAAAATTGATGAAACTTGTTTTTGTAGTATTCCCTAGTGGATGGAGAGTATGGTGAGTTTTCTCTTTTTTATTATTTTATATATCGTTTTGTTTCCAACACACCTTACACCACATATTCTCCTTTCCACTAGGCGAGCCTGAAGATGAAGTGATGACACTTCGAAACCGGTCGCACTCAATGTTTTGTTAAACAATTAAACATTGGCTTTCCTTGTGAGATATAAAGGACTTTTTCCCACCCTTCACCTTAAAACTTTACTTATATTTTGAAACGGGTGTTTCTTTATTTTCTGTATGATTTAGTTTTAAGAATACTGTTTGTTTCTTCTATTTACAACCAGTTTGTAAATATTATTTTGAGTACTCAAAACAATATACCTTAATTTTAACAAGACATCTCGGATAGGTATAAATAAACCTTCTTATTTTATTATTCATATATTTCTCCAACTATTGGCGAATGAATTGAGAGGATATTCTCAATTACACCATTTCTATTGACTATAAATTTAACTGTTTAAAAATGAATTGAGTATTTTCAATTATATTGTTTCTACTGTTTATAAATTTAAATGTTGATGAGAGGATTGAGAAAATACTTCCAATTTTATTAATTTTAGAGTTTGATTCATCAAATGAATTGGGTTAATATTGTTAATATATCATTCTTTTGAGCAAAGAACGTTTGTATAATTTAATGCTCATCGAACAAATTGAGAAAATATTGTTAATATATCACTTTCATTTATTTTTCTATTAAATTTAATTTAAATTATGTATGACTTTCATTTCACAGAATATCATGATCATCTCTACAAGTGTCTATTTGCAGATTCATGTATTTATGGTTTAATTATTTAAATTTTATTTACTATGGTTTCTGAATTTACCTTTAGATTTTTAAAACTTCTTTATCAAATAATACCAAATTTTTTAATCTATAAAAAATTCAGTGGCGTCCATCTATGGTTTAAATACTCTTTTTTGTATTTTATTTAAGTGCATCTAAAGTCAATTTAAAATAATTAAATTTCAAGACAACAAATCCTTACTCACACCTTTATGCCACCGACGCACAGTGGCGCGGAGCGCCACTGTGCCACCCAAATTACTCTACGACTCACAGAATTGATCCGTTTTAGACGTGCGTCACCTTAAAATGTTCGTCTTGAGTTTGCCTATCGACCCTTGTTCCTGGATTTTTGATTTCGAATTTTATTTTTCTGTAATTTGTGTCCAAAAATTTACTTTCATGGAAAAATGGCGATTTTGGGTGCAAAAGTCATCCTAGCGAACGCAACATTGAGTTTTTACAAAACTTTTTTGAAGGAAACTCTGCCTCTTGACAACCCCTACAACCCTGTGTACGTCAAATTGCGAGAGAAATTGTACGAAATTGAACGAAAAGTGTTCAGTATCACTTAAGGAATATGTCCGAATTTTTACAGAATTTTTGGAAATTTTCCGAGATTCTGGAATTTGGCGATTTCCTGGCCAAATTAAATGGCCAAAAATATCCTCAAACATTCTGAGAAAATTTTTACGTATTTCTGGATTGATTACAAACACTTTTTATTGAAACAAATTTAGATTTTTGTTCCAATAGATTTTTGAGGAATAATTTCCTTTCGCATCAATAGTTTTGGATCACTATGGTCGTTTTTAGGCATGACGGCCAATTTCTCTCGCAATTTGACGTACACAGGGTTGTAGGGGTTGTCAAGAGGAAGAGTTTCCTTCAAAAAAGTTTTGTAAAAACTCAATGTTGCGTTCGCTAGGATGACTTTTGCACCCAAAATCGCCATTTTTCCATGAAAGTAAATTTTTGGACACAAATTACAGAAAAATAAAATTCGAAATCAAAAATCCCGGAACAAGGGTCGATAGGCAAACTCAAGACGAACATTTTAAGGTGACGCACGTCTAAAACGGATCAATTCTGTGAGTCGTAGAGTAATTTGGGTGGCACAGTGGCGCTCCGCGCCACTGTGCGACGCGGTAGAGCTGCTGTGCTGTATATAACCTAAACTCTTTGTCAAAAGAAAAAAATAGGTTACAAAGTTGAATATTATTGTTGAACTTTTTAAATTGTTTATTTTACCTTATACATTTTTTTTCTACTCTTCATACAGTATTATTTATTTATTTATTTATTTAATTTCAAACAGGCATTTAGCCTAATTACATGAAATTTACAAAATTAAATAGTAAAAGTTTTATATATATTATCGACTGTACAAAGATAAATTAAGGAGAACAAGCAGGTACACATTTATGAGAACTGTTCTAAGTAAAATTTTAAAACTCTATTTTTAAATTGCGTATGACCCAATGAAAAATCTAAGTCAGTTAAAACGCTGATTTCGTTTGCGGTTCTAAGCATAGAAGATATGGGAGAGCGGGCTGTACAGGTTAACGTAGAGGAGGTTATTCTGAATAGCTGAGGAGATCTGATTCCACATCTTGGAACATTAAAATTAATTAAATTTAGAATATAGGGATCATAAATAGCTCCATTAATTACTTTGTGTAAAAATGATAATAAATTTATATTTCTTCTCAAGGATAGATGATTAATTTTAAATAATTTTCTTAAATCGGTAGTTCTCGTTACTGTATAATCCGGCCAAATATTATGTTTTTTGTAATAAAGATATCTTAAAAATTTATTTTGAATTTTTTCTATTCTAATTAGGTATACGGCTGGCTGTGATTGCCAAATAATAGACGCATATTCCAAAATTGGTTGCACAATTGTGAAAAATAAAATTTTGATTGCATTTAAACTTGAAAAACATTGTGTAGTTCTCATTACAAAGCCTAATGCCCTATTGCCCCTACTACAGACTTCTTCAAAGTGCTGTGCAAAAGACAAAGTCGAATCATAGCTTACTCCTAAATCTTTTACTTCATAATTTCTTTTAAGACTTTCTGTTTGCATAATATAATCAAATAATATCAAATTTCTTTTATGAGTAAAGGTTATTACGTTACATTTTTTTGTATTGAAAGGCAATTTATTCACTAAACTCCACTGTACTATTCTGTTTATGTCCCTTTGTAATCCAACACAGTCCCTAACTGTTAAAAC